TTTGTAAAAAATTTGAAATCTGAAAGAAGCGAAGGGAAAACGGGTATCAAGGTTCGAATGCTGAAGCACAAGAACAAAAAATTCTTTGGTATTAGGGTAGGTCTCATTTTAAAAGTCGAATAGTTTGAACGGAAAAATTATATTTTAGAGTTATGCGGGAAAACGGCGATCTAGGTTTCGTGGAACCAAAATCATTAGGGCTAGTGGAAACAAAAAAAATGGCAAATAATCTCCCTAAACTAAAGAGCGTTTTAAAAAAAGGTGAAACACTTATAAAATAAATTAAGACAAGGTGAAACATCTCAAACACCAGCGACTACCGTAATCTACAAAAAATGACCAAAACCCATGCGCTTTTAGCTTGAAAGCCAGCATCCTTTCTTCTCCCGCACCTCCCCCACCAAACCTCGCAGCACGGCTGAAACCGTTAATTCTATTAGGCGCGCGTCGGGGAGAGAAGTGATGGGCAAAAAACTCGATCAAACAGCTCTACCGGCCATAACATCGCTTAGCCACAGGTGAGTCAAACAGCGGTGGGTGAGGCAGAACATGGAAAAATGATCAAAGAAAGTCAATAAATATCCAGTAAAAAATACGAGGCCCGGTAGTTGACTAGTCGGATAATCTTGCGAACCAGAAGAACTGGGCCGCCCTCAACGACGAAATGTGTGGTCAAGGACGAGGGTGTACAGCTGCAGTTTAGCGGGCAAAAAGTGGCGCATTTTGTGAGGTGCGGGAGGGAATCGAGGGATGGGAGTGCGACTGCCAAATGGACACAATCCAATCGGGAAATATTCATAAGGTCAGCCACACGTTACAGGTCCCGGAAGTGATAGAGCATTAAATGAAATACGTCAATATTCTTGCACTTATTAAATGTCCAACTTTCCATATTCTCTGTGTTTTGGAAACTTAGTAGTCAAAAAATGTTGAAAACTCGTCGAAGAGCAAATTAACATCCATAAGGAATTTGATTCTAACAGCTAACAAATAAGCTAAATAAAGTTTTTAAGGAATTAACTTGTTAAAATGCTTTTTCCGGAATACTCTGAAAAAGTCCTGCACCGCAGACACAATAATGCATAACTTATTGACACGGTGACTTTTTGACAGCTCCGGAAATTCAGGAAAAAACCCGTTAACAACGAGCAAAAAAACATAGCCACACCCAATCCATCAATTTGATGACAAGAATTTGAAGAGAGTTGACTGTGTGGCATTGAGCGGCTGCAAGTGGTTGAAGGGTGGCAAAATTACATGCAGAGAGCGGGTCGAGGGTGGAAGTTTGGCCTCAGCCGGAGTGAGTGCTGGCAAATATGAAAGTCCGGAATGGACGGGCGGGTGGTAGACCGCGTTTTGCGCGGGAGGCCATGACCGGATTCTCCCTCCTCTTCTTCTTTTCTACAATAAAATCCCGACCATCCACCCCCATGCTCCATACAGCTCCCCTACCCTCATGCTCACCCGCCCATCGACACGTTACAGCGTAAATTAGCGTGCGAATTTGATGCGAGCGGTCAGCGGCGATTAAAATATGGGCTATAGTCCGATGGGACCGGTCGACTGGAATTCTATACGATACGATCGAGAAGTGTTATGGTTTTAACATGCAAAATAATTTAAATAAAACCTGAAAAATTGAAAGTGCAGAGTATCGCGTACGTCTGTTGTGGCGTTCAGCCGGAAATCCTCACTTATCGGGTTTTAATGTTGTTGACAGGAAGTGTACTGTAACTCTCACGTATGTATACGTATTTACAAAAATCACGACAATTTATTCAGGGTTGATTGAGAATATGATGGTGATTGGCAACCAGACCTAAAAATAGGGTTTCCTCTACTTCGCCACATCGTCACCGGATTTTCAGGAAGCCATTCCCAGGTTCCCCAAAAACTGCAAAAAAGTTTACTCCACACTTCCTCGTCCTTTAATGCAAGAACGGTGCATATTTAAACGGATTCAACTCCTCTTTCAGCTCCCCCTTCAAGTATCCACTTCCTTTCCAAACCCACTTCAGTTTGACGAGGACTCCGGGGACCCCCAATTTCGGTCTGCCTATTGTTTCTAGCCATAACAAATGAAACCGGAAGGGTTCGAAGTGTCTAGACGTGTTAGAGACTTCACCCTCCACCCAACATCCCGTTTTGTTCAATGCCAACGTGATTTCAGGTTCAACTCTGGCCCTAGTCTGGTCACCCGCACAGCCAACCAAGACACGACCCCACCCTCTTGCCCCCGCGAATTTTCCGCCTCATTTCAGGGGCGTTTCCGACCTTTTTATGAGTGCCTCGGCCACCAAAACATTTCTCATTCATAGACCATTCAAAGATCTTGCCAAAACGCTCCTGATGGTCAGCTGTTTACCCATAAATTTATCATTCAAGAGCGAGCTTGGTCTGTTTGATAGCGGCTACCAACTTGCAAAAGTTCTGTTTTGATTTTCTATGGCTTTAAAGATAGGCCATCATAGAAGATGCGTATAATAGTCTTCAATGATATATTTAGATAAATGAGAGTTTTTTTCGCTTATGTCCATCTTCACCATTTTAGATGTTATGCAAACTGCCCCCGGGTCATCAACATCTAACCACCACGGTTCCAGGCTTTCCCAGTAATTCCGTAATGATGGTGGAAGCTTTTAATTAGATGGTTGGCAAAAGAAGAAGCCCCCCCCTTGGCTCACGCCATTTAAGGACCACTTGGCACGAGGCTTTATTTTTGCGTGGGGGGGGAGGTTCCGGGCCGGTGAAATTTCTTTGCTGTGAACATAGACACGAACAGGCCCGTAGCGGAACCGAAATTTCGGGGGCCCAAAATTTTGGCAACCTCCCCCCGGTCGCCACTTTTAAAACATCCGAAAATCTCGTCAATAATAGCGCCGCAGGCAAAAAATAGCACAAAAAGTGTTCGCTACACTCAAATTCGTGTGAAAACACGGCAGAAAACGCGCCGCAGGCGAAAATTTTTTATGAACAATTGATTCACGAATGAAAAACCAGCGCCGCAGGCAAAAATTTTTGAAAAAATAGGCTTCATATAAACAAAAACTGTCTGAAAAACAGTAACAACAGCGCCGCAGGCAGAAAAATCTTTGTAAATGAAAATCATAAGGGTCCCCCCTTATGAATTTTTCAGACCTCGACCGATTTCGGGGGGCCAGGGCCCCCTGGCCCCCCCCCCCTCCTACGGGCCTGGACACGAAGAACCCTTCTATCGGCTGGATATGGCAATGGTTCGGTGCTTCCATAATTCGTATGGGATTTATCGGAAGTGATTAATAATTAGTGGGTTCTCCTACGGGCCAGTCCATCCTCCTCCCTTCAGTTGCCCCATCCCACCAGATGAGGGGGGTTGGGGTGAATTCTAGAAAAGAAGGGGGTTGGGCCCTAGGGGGCTAATCTGCGTAGTGTCTGGATTCACGACTTCATCTCAAATATGGCTTCTTCGGATTAGGACCACGGGTATATTAATCGGTTCCACCCGAAAAGAGCTTCTAGACGTTCTACGCGGGATCGGAACTTTTATGACATCCTTGGATTTTGAAAAACGATCACCGAAGTTAGTCATTTCCGTATTACTGAAATTTTGGAGGCTGTGATGCTGGCTGATTCAATTTGCATCATTCATACGTGTTTTTCTAGACTTCTGGTACCACATTGCCTACAACCGTCTATTTTATGCCCTTAATGCGCTGACGCCTATATTTGAAATTGTATTCGTCGGATTCATTTTCCACCAAACCTTACTCATATTTCGAAATACTAGCCTCGTGCCAGACAATGAGAGGAGATTACCCTTTTTCGAAATTCAAGGGGAAATTAGCAGCAGCCTTTTTGATATGTGTGGGATGGGGGGCATTCATCCGAATAGACAAAAATTGAGTCACTAGAATTTTGCTATGGCACATTTTACGTTTGAATAGGTTTAAATACAAAGCTATGTTGAACCCGTCCCGTTTTTTTGGGTGCAGCTTCCAACGCCTTTTTCGAATAATACTAGACATTCTAGTCGCGTTTTGCGGTGATTTTCGGGTTCTTATGTGGTGGCATGCGGCGGACTACTGATTCAATTCCCAGAATAAGCCCTAAAATTTGGTGGCGTAGGAGCTAGTCCCGATTTTTTGGAGGACGCCTTTTGCTTGTTGGAGCTGTTCCACCTGCATTTGGCAGCTGCTCTACCGTTTTTCAGAATATTTTCTGATTACCCGAGGTCAACAATGTTACTGAAATTTGGCAATGCGCTGAAGTACATCCGAGTTGTTGTCGATTCAACTTTGGTCTTATACAAAACCTTTATAGTTTTATTATCAATACCGAAAAATTGTTCAATGCGTAATTTCACAATTCACCCGCCACTGGGGACCGATAACAAATTTTGTAGCGTCCCAGAGGCGCTCTCAGGTTTTTAACTGGCTCAAAAACGAGCTCGGCCCCTCGGCGCCGGCAGCTACCCCCATACAATTCTTGTGTCAAAGCCCTGAAAATGGTTGTTTATGAGCCGGGGGAAATCAAATTTTGGCTCTACTTATGTCCACCCGTCCAGTATGCGCGCCGAGACCAGGAAGACGTGTATTTTCGAGCCTTGCTGTGTCTCTTTTTGCAAATCCCGGGTTGGAAAATCCTATTTTAGCCCATACAGGGTTGATGTCATTAGGTAGCAGACCGGGTTTAGAATTTTACATGAGCTGGAGCAGTTCTTTGGACAGATGATTTTTGTCTCACTTGAAAAATTCAGTAGGAAGGGTCGAGTGAAATCTCCCTTTCCCCGAGGGGCCAGCAAGGGGTGAATTTCTAAAACATACCGCTACTTCGATTTGTTGGCTTCACTCCGAATCCCCGTCTTATTTCGAAAATATTTTTCGTTTTGCAAGGCAATTCCGCTGTTCCGAGGATTTTTCGAAAAATCACTAGGTTCCATTGATACCGCTCTTCTTTGACCCCTTCGATTCATGTCCGATTAACGGAGAAACATTTTTAAAAGCCACTTGTCATTTTCAGGGATGCAGACGCTAGTTTTTTTGTTATGCCTTGCGGCGGCCGTCTACGGGCAGATGACGTTCAGTGATGGTTGGGAGAAGCGGGCACCCTTTTTGGGTACGTAAGCCAATTCAGCCATTATCTGTGCTCTAAGAGTTCAATCATGTGATATTTTAATTTTTAGGCAAAACATCACATGCTACTACTCCGCAACACCAGTGCAATGTTCGCTTGCAAGAAAAAATGAAGGAGATTCAAGCCCTCTTAACGGTAACTTTAGATTTGCTAAAATTGGGCGATTCCCACACTTTTGCACGGTTATTCTGGAGTGGTTTTGGGAGCTTTGCTTTTCGCACGATTTGGCATTCACGGAAGTGAAACCCATTTTTGAGGCTCGACTTGGCAAAAATTGAAAGAACCTTAAAAATATTTATTGAAGTCCTCAACGATCACGAAAAATGTTTTTCAGGCAGCCGATCTATCGTATGAAGCATGCATCGAATCCCTGGCCGCCCCAGCACAACGCCGATTGAAAGAGAAGAACGACTACAGCTTCATCCCGCACTCTTCAGCGAGCCAGTACAAAACGGCCCAAGCGAACTGACCACAAGAACATACACAATAAAGTTCTTTCCGTAATAAATTGACTACACTGTTAGCGAGCATGACTTCAAGATCACATGAACAAGAAAAATGGCAAGCTAATCCGGGAAAGGGTCTGGATTAATTTTCTGGACAATGCAATAAGTCGTTGGGATCACAGGGATCAATTGGAGAATAAGTTCAGGGGTGAAAGGAATGGCAAAGGGAAATTTTAGGTACAATAATGTCAATTTTATAAGTTGGACGACTCGTCGGGGACATCGTTAGTACCCATTGGATAGTTGAGCGAGATTTGCTAAAAACGGTTTCAGAAAAGGTGCGCCTTTCCTACCGTAATATCCTTGGCAGATGGCAGCATGAAATTTCCGTTGAAAAGGTTACCATAACTCTGTGTGACCTGTTTAGACTATTAAGTAATAAAACTGATTAACTACCGTATAATACGCGATCCTCTGATAGTCCCATTCACACACCAGAATGTTGCCCTGGCAGTGGAACTTGTCGCCAGGGTTGAGCCTGAAATAGCCTCAAATATTTCATTTCCGGGATTGCGATGGGTGCATCTAGCTATTCCAAGGGGTGGGAGGATGATGACGCTGTGGGAGGATAATAAAAGAATGGGGAATTCCATGCGGCTCAGAAATTTGCACGCACACCGGATTTGAAGCCCTCCCGGCGATTGTAAGGTAAGGAGATTATTTTCCTTTGTGTTCGGGTACGAAAATACCTTGCATAATCAAGGGTTCGGTTGCAAGAATTTCAGATTTGAGTTAAGAATGAAGGAGTCGCGTTTTAGGAAAAAAAAACATTTTGCTTTTCAAGATTATAAGGTTTTAATTAGGATTTGGTGTCACTGCGCAAAACTTACGCATTGCCGCAATAGTAACACCGGAAGCAGTCAATGTGATACGGTGTCCCCCGACATCGCTGCACCATTTCGTTCCCATTTATCGTCAACTCACAGCGCCCACACTCCCCTAAAATGACATGCATTTAATCCATACCTTACTATTTACCTTTAGAACTGAATTCAGCATGGTAATGATCATTGCAGTAGATATTCCCCTTCCGATAATGGTATTTGAGCCTGCCCCGATACTCAAGGTCCTGACCGCAGATGCAGCACTTAAAATAACAATGATTTGAATAGAAAATATAATCTACATTGAACTTTATAATCTACAAACCTTCAGACAATATTCATGCCAGCTGCCAGACGGTCCGGTGAGTTTATAGCGATTGTAAATGGGATGAAGACATGTTCGACATTTCTTCAATTCCTTCACCATCACCGTTCTGAGAAATCAGGATTTATCAGCTTATGCAAAGCAGCTGTCGATTCAAATACAAGAACAACGATAATTATAATAAAGATTTTCCGGATTCACCATAAAAGTGATTCATCATATTATACAGCAATTGACCATTAAATACTGATAAACGGGAAAGTTTAGATTCAGGGATTCAACTTTTTTTGGTTATTATTATTATATTATAGGTTTTAATTTAAATTGAAGGGAAATAATCATCTTAAAAATTCAAATTAGATTATAGGTGCACCAGAAAGCCTTTCGCTTGCTAGCAGCAATTTCAGTAGTGACTACAGAACACTGAGGCCAACTTTAAAAGACCATATAGCCCCATCCTAGGGCTTGAAGTGTAGTAAGGCCACGTATGCCCGGCGCGGCAAATGGTGTGCTTTAATTTGGCAAATGCAACTTGTTGTTCCCTTCGAAACACCGTCAATCTAGCCCGAGTGCCCTCCCACTCCCCCATCCACATCCACATGTGCACTGGGGTACCTCGATTCGGCGCGTCGAGGCTTCTCCAAAAATGAATGTTCCTGCCCCCACTCAAATCGCCATCTCGACTACATATCTAGCTGGGCCAAACGACTAGATGGCTACGATTTTATTAGAATGTAAGTTTGAAAATATCGGTACACATTGGGTAACCGAACTACTCAAATTTTTCTAAAGCTGTGAATTGTTGGCTAATAGCTAAATTCAAAAATATACTAAGATATTATTCAATTTCTGCCCGAACAATGTCGATTAAAAATTTCATTATATTGGATCTTCGCTCAAAATTATGGATATCAAATAGACGATCGAACGAATGTGGACTTTTCGGCATTTTAGTTAACTTGAAGCTGCCATGCAATAGAGTGTGGTAAATACATGTAGCGCTTTTACAAAAGAAAAACTATTTTAAAATTGTTTTTATTACAACAAAAGTTTTTACCCTTTTGTTATCGGTACCAAAATTTTTACAGAAATGAATTTTACAACAATTTTATGCGGTGATTCAGATCTAGTACTACCGAAAGCTAAGAAAAAGAAAGCTTTGGAATTGAAATCAACAATTGCAATTTTTACTTAATAATAACACCTCCGCAAAAAACTATTCGGGCCTACAACCATCTCCTGAGGGAATAACTGCAGTGCCGTAATTAGTATCATTTGCACTTATGCATCAACGACAAGCAATAAGAGCTTTCATTCATGAGTAGTTTGCAGATTTACACACGCTCTATTAACTTAGATATACATGTTACAAGACTACAGACTTTTATAAGATTTTACAGACCTTTCGCATACCTACAGTAGCCGCATATGAATCCGAATGCGAAAACTGAATTTATTAAACAAGAATACAAATAATATGGCGGTCTTATGACACTAAATGGAAGGCCGAGGCAATGGAAGCAACATTAAATAACGAAAAGTGCTGGGACGGGGGATTGGAAAGCGATCTGAAATCAATATGACTGTCACTGAAACGGGGGAGGCAGACTTCTCAAAAAATGAATAAAGATTCGTTTTGAGATCTATAGGCAATAGATATTTGTTGCGTCGGCAGATTCTCAGCCGTGAATTAAATAGCAACCGGTGACTCCATAAAAAGGTGCCGCCAAATGTGGGAAAGCCGAAAGGACCAGGCGAAAAGGGGAGCAACCACGCACCAAATGCCAAAAATATTGACTCATCCGAGGGTAAATCAAATAAGATTTTGGAGAAAATATCTAATTCGAAAAGGCCCGAGGCGGACTAATGAACTTGTTTACGAATGAGCAGATACCATTATTGTAGCCTCTTTCGCCCATTCACTTCAATTGGGAAAACTAATGGGGGCCCAAAGACTTAGCAACGGAAATGTTCAGCAAGCTAATATTACTTACAAGTATACTTTTTTTGATTGTTTAAGGAGTTTCGCAATAAGACCAAGCCCGGCTTGTACAGAATTTTTTGCTGATTCTACCATTTGTTTAAACATATGTGAAAAGACCGAATTTAATTAGTTTTGAACGCTTCAAAGGGCGAGAAATAGATCACTATCCGCATTTATCATACTTCAGCGCTGCACATATTTTTATTAAGATACACTAACTTAAGATAGTACGTCTCCTTATTGGTTTCTTTCCGGTATCCATAAATTCAGCTGAAAATGAAAGAAGATATCTGGCCCTATAACTCGTACAAAATCGAGGTATAACCACGGCTGCGGGATGACCAAAAGCGATCGGCGGCTCGTAATTAATTTCTAATTGCACCAGTTTGCCGCTTCTAGTCGGGGGGACACACACGCACACACACGAATACACTGCCCCGGCAATATCGCCCCCCGGACTTTCGGTGTCTCATTTGGTGGGGGGCAAAGGGAGGAAATTGGTTTTGGTGAATAAGAGACCGGGGGTGCAAAAAGGATTTTTCTAATTTTGGCAAATAGGCGGTGGTTGATACAGGGGCACAGGGAGAATTAGGGTAAGATGTGACTCGATGGGTCAGCCATGTTTTTAAGGATTAAAGTGACTAGGAAGGCAGGCGTATTGTTTTATGGAGCCCTAGAATAGGCTATTTTTTCGTATTATGGTTATGAAATGTATAGAAAAAGCAAGAAAATAAGACAACTGCTTTTCTAGTTTATTTAGAAAATACCGTATTTTCTCCAAAAGTAACCTATTGGCTCGATTTTTTTTCAATCAACCCCCTTGGCCTAGAATATTATGGGATTCTGAAGAATTACATAAGAGTATAGAATTTTACACTCTTAGCTATTTGAGAGAAAATACGGTTTATAAAGGATATAGCTTTTTCACGAGAACACTAGACAAGTATGACTAGATAATAAACCCGGTGGAGCATTAATGAAACAACCATGACCAGAATATCTACTTCTCAGTGTCTAAATAATAAGTATAATAGGGAATTTTGCGGAGCTGCCGCTTCAGCTCCCGGATAAAATCGTATGGCTGAAGTGTAATGGTGAAGCTTTGCCCGGGCCACACTGAGATCAGTCGCTTCTCGAATTCGGCGTCCCGGGAGTAGGGGTTGAGCCGCCGGTGGTTCACCTGCAAATCCGATGTATTTGTCGGTGGCTTTTCTCCTGAGGACTGATATATTTTGGCTAATTGGACCGGGGTGGGTAGAGGGGAAGGCGAGGTATAGAAAATATGTTGAGTGGGGGGGGCAACCGGCTCAAAGGCTCACCTCAGTAATGACGGCAGGTGTATCTTTGCCTGCATCAAAATATGCGGGAAGGGTCGCTGGGACGCCACGCATGTATGCAGGGCTGTCGGGGCTGATTTTCGCGATTCTATTCTAAAAAGGAGTTGATCCCGAGGTAGAGCATCTGATTTTATTGTGGTTCTTATGTCAGAAGTAGACAGGTGATTTTTGGTACTCCGTTTTCTATTTATATTTCTTCGCTAATATGGCTGGTTAGTGGTTGGCTAATAGTTAGGGAAAACTGTAAGATATAAAAACTATAATTTTCTGAAACTGTACCTTTTGTTTATGCAATTCAATCCCAAGCGACTTATTCTCTTGGATAGGCTTCGTCAACTGGAAAGTGACGGCATTTGGCATCGGCCGGATTTGCAACATCAAAGGATGGCCTGGTTTTGATCTATATTCGATTAAGAAATTTTTTAGGAAACAAACTCTCTATGGTAGAGACTGTGCAAGCCTTCCAGATCGCCAACAGGACATTTCCCGACTTTCACAAGCTCATCCCCGACCCGGAAGATACAGGAAACTTGATTGTCGACTTTTCGAGACCAGCCAGCGACCCTGGGAAGGCATAACTATCATCGAGAAAACACCAGACAAACCATAGCCTTCTTCCCACATCGACAATAATCACATTTTCGATCATCATAGTTAATGAAATCGAAATGTCGCGAAGTTGCTTGAGGGAAGGCAACGTGTGCATAGACGAACGGCGGGGCTTTTCGTATCCTGCATCAGGAATATTCTTTGGTATATTAAAGCCTACCATTTTCAACGTATGGCGCCAAAAATGAAATTGAAACTCGTCGAGGTTCCTTGAGATCCGCCGACCCACGAGAATCCGTACTGCTACTGCTGAAGGTTAGCAGTCCTGCCAAACCTGCGACCAAGAACATACGCGATACTAGTGGTGCTCAACGCAGATGAGAGCCGCTTCTCACAGCTTGGAGATAAAGCAGCAAGATGACGAGGAATATCATAGGCTCTCGGCACTCCATAGGCTCCGGTCTGAATCATTTTCAGTTATATGGTGGGTGCCCAAAAATGGCTGGTGCCTCCGGCCGGGGAATCTCGAAAGATCGGGAACTGAGCTGGCCAGAGGCCACCCCGACCCAAAGCGTCTCAAAAACAGAAAAAGCGTTCTGCCATAAAATCGTTTTTCACGCATCCACAATTCGTTCACTCGACCGAATCACGAAGGGAATGGGGGTGGATTGGATGGGTGGATGGATGGAATGGAAAAGCACACAACAAAAGGGCATCGGAACAGTGCTCTCTATCAGAATAACATTGATAAAATATTATGATTTCTGGGATATTATTTGTTTGCTATGACGCGAGCTATTGTTCCTGTTGTATTACGACAGAGTGGTATACCCTAAGCCCGCGTTTTTGGAAGAGAATACTAGCATAACTAGCAGCTGTCAGCACAACGTGTGCTTCGGGAATTGAAAAGCCCTAAAAATTTTTGGAAATCGAAAATATTAAATGAACTAGTGAATTATCCGCTTACCGCGCTTGCCGCTTGATCTTGACTCGGCGGCGGAATAGCAATATCCAGGGGAGAAGCCGTTTCTTTTTCGTTAAATACAAAATCCTTCTTCGGGGTCGGTCGTGGAAATGGAGTAGGCGGAGCGAAGGTCTCTAGAATCAAAAACCTCTCTAAAAATGCGGTATATACCTGGTACTTCCTCCTGCTCACTTGGGCTCTCACAGCCGGAAATCTCGAATTCGGGACTGGTGACGGCTAGTGGTGCCTTGTTGTGACCATCTAAAAATAGTTTGTAACATATGGGAAGTTGAGAATCTTACTGCTCGTCGTCGCGTAAAGTGCGGAATTTTCCATGGAGGCTTTTCTGGCGGCGTCACGAGTAGCAATCGCTTCTGGGAAGGACATTATGAGAGTGTAGAAATACATACCTATCATTGCCGGACACAATTCCTCATCTATATCGTTTTCTAGCATGGAATAATCTTTTTCGACAGCAACTTCCTTCCACCAAGGCTTTCTGAGTAATTTAGAGTTTTGTGAACATTTTCTGAAGTTAACTTACAGGTTAAATTGGTAGAACGGTGATCGCTTGGCTCCCAGATAAACACCAAGACCTTCGAGCCCTTTTTCAATAGCTTCCACCCATTCGTCACGCAGCCGACTAAATGAGAAAAAAATTCAAGCAATATATGGTGTGGGGGGAAGCGAGGAAAAATTGCCCCACAAACCCAAGGGGCCCATCTCAGGTGTTTTTGTGGCAAAGCCCCGCTAAAAGCCCTGACCACCCTAGAAGGGGCTCAATATCCCTAGAAACCCCCCGCGTTTGCCCCATCGCTTCACACTTTTTAGAATACACGATAAAGCGAGAATCGATGGGGTGGGGGTTCTCAAAAGCTCTTCGTTTTTGGGGTAGGGCATTGATGGGTGGGCGGAAAAGAGACGCACAACGGCCAATTGGGACCATAAACGGAATCCGGAGAGGAAGGAATGGAAAGGGACCCCTCTGGACACCCTCAAACTCAGTCCCAACCACAACCGACCCCCAACCCTAAATACACAGGACAACCTGAACTACTTTGTGACGAACCCGACGATCCCCCGGTGTGGCCCACTAAATCAGTGCCCCTCTTGCTCCACCCTCCCGAGACGAATGGGACCACTTGCCGGAAATTGAGTTTCTTAGAAAAGTGGGATGAGTTCGAATCCAATTACAGTCGCAAACGTTTTTTACGAAGAAGTGCAATGGGATGGACAACAAAATTCTAGGGCGAGTTCGTGCCAAAATGGAAGGAAGGTTCTCGGCGAGATCGCGAATATGTTTACATTGGAATACATATTGGGTGAGACCCCGGAAGTTGTGAAGCGCCGCATTTCGGAGGGGAAATTGGAGAAATTTCGTTAGCCTTAATGCACTTTTGTTTCAGTAGAGAGAAGGCCGGGCTAATAAAAAATTTTGTCTTTAAATAGAATTTAACCAAATTTTGAAATAACATACACATTTGGAGCTGTCCAGTGTACTACATCACTTTCATCCTTCGGATTGTCGGTATTTATCAAAACGAAAGTGTTCTCGTCTTTCATATCCACTTGAACTTTGTAGATGGTTCTATCCAGAAGTGGTTGCAACTAAAATTAGTCATGAGTGTTGATTTCCGCTATGTTTCATCAAAATAACAGGCCGCGACACATCAAATCAGTTGTTTACGAATTTGTAATGTGAATGTAGCAGCGACTAACCCTGCCTTGATGAGTCAGACAGTCCTCGTTGTTCTTATACCATTCCAAATACAGGGTTTCTCGATGCAGACATAAATGACATTGAATTGGATCTTCATAAATGACTTTCTAAAAAAATACAGTTTCAATAATTAAATTCCGGGCCTACCTCTTTCTTGAAAAATAGCCCAACCATAGAAGTGGTCTTCTTTTTCAAAGTTCCGCATTTTAAGACACGATATCCACGTTTTGAGAGCATCCTAGGAGGGTTTGAGGTGACAAGTCTACACTCCGTACTGCTGCAGAAATGAAGGGGAGGCGACGATATCCGTGGAGACGTTGTTAATAAGATGGTCGCCGCATGTGTGCGTCCCGATCAAGGGAGCCGGCACCATTTATTCTGGAATATCGTAAATTTTAGTGGGTTTTAGCCCCTTGTTCATGAATAAGAAATAATAGAGCGGCTTGCTAAGGGTTTGTATATTGGATTGTAGGAAAATATTAGAATCGGATTTTGGATTTTAGCAAAAATAACGAGATTTCTTGGCTTGGATGAGCCGGCAAAGAACGCTGAAAACCTTTGAAAAGGAAGGTATAAAGTTGCAAATATCTTCATTTACTCAATTAAAATCAAACAAACTGTATCGTTGCTCCAGAATTACTACGGCAATTTTAAAAACAGCGCAAATGCTGAAAAAAATGACTCTGGATTTTGTTACTCAGGCGGAATCAACATAAAACGCGAAAATTATCGAAAAGGTTTCTAAAATCAAGGCATAAAGCTTGGAATTTGGAGCTTATCGTTACAGGAGAATCACACCAAGTTTAGCAATGGAAAAATACGCCAGAACCACTATGGAACTTCCAACCCGCACGCTAAAAATGCCGCAAAACTATGCCAAATTTCTGACGCAGGTGGTTTCAGCAAATAAAACAACAACGACAGCATCTCCCATTGTGGCGGTAAAGCAGACCGACTGGCGAGACAAGAAACGGACGGTTGGGGAGGGGGAAGAAACTGGAAAAAGGAGCGACCGGGGGCAAAAGCACCGTTCTGACTCATCGTCACTCATCACCCCCTCCACCATCCTAGAACAAATATTGGCCATGAAGATCACCGGCTTTTGCCATCCCGACCCTCATAACCACCGTGGTCAACAGAAAACAAAACGCGGATTCTGCAATCTAAAGGAAAATGCCCGATTTCTAAGTTTAGATATTTTTTAATCAAAAAAAAGTGCATGTGGATATTCTATAAAAACTGGAGGAATTGCAGATACACTAGCGTTTATGCAAGATCAACCGTTCATGACCTTGGCGTAATCGGATCGGGATTTTTCTCGACCGTGACTCAACCAGGTTGGCCGAATTTCGGTGGGCACTTGACTCGTATCATGTAGTTGAATGACACCTGGAATTTGAAATCCGGAAATATCACGGGGTAAAAACTATGGTAGTGTTGATACAGAGGCGTTGGTGATTTAAATCTGGAAATTTTGCATAGATCTGTCGATTTTCTCTATGCTTCTTTGCGAAAAAATGTTTCTGATATGATTTACATGAAAAAATGATAATTTGAATATGCGGAAAAGCGGAAAGTGGTCAGTGGAAAGCTTAAAGGGCTGCCGACGGCATGTGTCGATCCCCCCATCAACAAATTGGCAAGTAGCCGACAGGGCAGAGAGTGCGCGCAGGGGCTAGGCGCAGAGACATTTTATTACCGATTGACTATGCCGTCGACGTCCCTTTAATCATGTCCACAGTTTTGTAAGTCGCTTTGATTTAAATCGGTATTTTCAGTGCCATTAAATAAATATTTCTACTAAATAAAGATCCCCAAATTATTTTTTTAATGCAAGATTTTCGTTATCACCAACAGATCAAACTTCCCCCAAAATAAATCAAAAATCAACCATTTCCACGGTACCACCTTGCCACTTTGATTACCATAAGTGAAAGGCGCGGGGGCAGGCATGCAAATTGTGTGTTCCATGAGCCCCACCCACTGACCCGATTCGGTCTGCCGGCCAAGCGTTCGGTTAAGGGCGGCTCGCTTCATTCGACCCCGGCTTTCCCTGCTATTCAACCTGCTCGCTTTTCAAGCTGCTTTCTCCCAATTCAGGGCAGCTTTTGACCCTGGGGGTTTGAACTTGAGGGTCGCGTTTCTGGTAGATTTGTTACGTTGAATCGGTGTCCGTATGGGTTCAGCTTTGCGATTTCTTTTATTAAAGTTGGCGCTATTAAGCATTCTTTATTGTTTAAACAGTTAATGCGTAACAACTACAGGTCCTTTAAAAATAATTACCGTATCTCTTATCTATATCTCATCTATCTCTTCTTAGACAACCACCGCCAGACGAATGAAAAAAACCGCTCCGGAGATTTTAGTCAATAAATAACTGAAAATCCATACATGCGAAGAGTAATTTTTTTAGACTCGGTGATGTGATGCTAGTTGCGTCTAAACTTTTACAGTGCTAAAATGCTGCAATGGCTCAAAATATAGACTTAGCCTTACTTACCTGAGGACACTTTACCTTGAAATCTCTAGATGCTGGTCACGCCAAAATGTTGCCCCTCCCCTTCACCCAAAGAAATAAAATCCCCATCCGAAATAATTGGAACCAAAACCGAGACTATGTTAGTGTAAGTAAGGCACATATTGATAGTCCTGACCTTCTAGCTGCAACCCAAAAATTTTCCCGTTTAGCTCGATCTACCCAGTAAAAACTCGCTTTTTGCCCCGGCAGGCAACTAACGACCCACCACCGATTTTTGTTTTCCAAGCCATCCCCCACTGTTTGGCGGTGGGCTCGGATTTTTGGGAAAAATGGCGCTCCGATCGGAGCAGAACCGGTAGAGAATTCAGGGGGGGCTTTCGGATAGCCTCCGGCCCTCCCCGCATACACCTCACCCAAAACGCTGGCCGAACACAGTGTGCCATTCATCGACAGACACAGCCATCCCTCCACCACCACCCATCATCCTCTCGATGCCACTAGAAGCCCAGATTTGTCGCTTAGTCATGCGGCGTTTCTTGAGAAAACTGGCAGTGTTGGAATCCTCCCTTCTTGGTGAATTTGTATTTCGAATTTTCTGATGCATATCTCTGAATTTAGACTTTAAAGGGTATTTTGAGAAACTGGCAATGCTGAAAATTGTCCCTTGTGTCAAAGAGCGTATTTCCCATGCGTATCCATTAACTTAAATTTTGACGATTTGTTTGCAATTTCCGTTGTAAGAATCGTCCCTTAAATACCTAAGAATGTAGTTTACTATTGTTTTCATTTATATCTGTTTGGTTATACTTTAATGATTATCATTACCTTTATGAAGATCGAGGTTTCCATTTAAATTCTCCTCTCTCTCTCTCACTCTCTCTCTCTCTCTCTCTCTCTCTCTCTCTCTCTATCTCCCCCTGCTTCTGTGTCGCTTTCTCGCATTTCGAACAGCGTCATTTACATATCTTGAAAACCCTATTTTTTTCAGCGACCGGTCAACCAACAACATATGTAAGTAAGCATCCCTTCTAAAAATATTATGCGAAATCTGGTTCCGATACTTCTCTGCTTATTTGGAGGTAAGTCCCCTTTCAGTATTACCAGACTGCCAGCTGGACAGGAAACCATGCCATTGCCTCGGCTGGCAGCTGGCCGAAATTGCCGCCTTAACCCTTCAACTTTTTTCCAGCGCTCCCTGGCTGGGTGACTGGCGATTCTATTCTGCGCCCAAATGCGATAATACCATGGTCGAAATATTATCAGCGGTTAAAGTTGGTCCGTAAAGTAGTAGAAAAGTGTTTTTAAGTACAAAGCCCGATTTGGCATCTATTAACTTGCCGATATCGGGAAATGTACGAAGAGCTCCGGCGAGGATAACAAACTCTGAAGAAGTCATGTTGCAACAAGCTGCGTTGGCCGAAGTGTAAGTTTATTAGTTTAAACTTAGTTTTGCTAAAATACCGAAAAGTGGCATTTCCCTATTTAGCTACACCTTTTTTAGCGAAGCAATGGAAGTCGAAAAAAGCCTCCGAAATCTCCAACCCCCAAAACAACCGGCACCCCCAAAATACAGCTACTCTATACGACCTCAATCGCGCAAGAAACTGGTCTCCGAACCGGCCGACTTCCAAAAACTCGGCATGGCAATCGCAAAGAACATGGAACAGGGAAGGCGGTAGGTCAACACCCCCACCCTAAAATGTCATAAAATTTTAGCCTCCCACCTGATTACCATCCGCCGCTATACCCCGAACAGTATCCTTATATGAAATTGAATAATCTGCAACGCAAACAACCACCACGCGGAGATGCTGTGAAATCTGTACTTTCAACCCTTTAACCCTGAAATTGAAATTAATTAGATTGCGCGATACCATTCGGAGTCCGAAGTCAAAACTCGATTGGTGCCGAAAACGGCTTATGAAAAGCAGGTTGAGGCTTATGCTGCGAAATTACCTAGCATTGAATATGGAAAAATACGGCCGCAAAAGGGGATGGATCGATTGGGGCACTCGCAAGTGATGCCGAATTCGGATGGTAAATCATTTAGCATATCTATGGAATTTGAATTTAGGAGCATTGTCGCTATCACCAGAAATGATCGCCAGGTTTTCTAATCAGTTACCGCATGGGGTGTTACGGTAAGTTAGGGATTGTCTCGATTATCATTTGGTCATTTGCATGTCATTACGACAATTAATCCCGGTCAACGTCCTCACTTTTTAGAAATGGCGTCTCGGATGGAGTCGGTCTCCAGCAACTCCCGGCCCGTCAACAAGGTGTCGCGAATTTTGCTGAAACTTCAAACGCAGTTGGTGTGGCCGAACAACTCGGAGAGTTTTCAAAGGTAATCTCTACCTTAACTTGATCGAACTACCATCCAGGTTCTCCCACATTTCACTCGGATCGCTCCAGCATCGCAAGTTGATCTGGGAACGAATTCCATCTTAAACCCGTTTGGAGGAGCTACTGGAGATATGCCACCCCTACTTGGTCAGATTCCTGGGATCCATCAAGTAATATTGTCCTTATTTCAATTATTGAATCCCAGGTCCCACCACAAACAAATGGGCCCAATCCATTCGAAGCTTTATTATCAAATGGAAATACAATTGAACAATTGGGAAAACTGGCGAAAAGCTTGTTGATGAGCGAGGATGGTGGGCAAGTAAGCTTTACACAGCACACTACAAATAATAATTCACTTCGTCTAGAATAACCTACTTGCTGCTGGGCTGAAAGCTTTACAACGGCAAGGTGCAGGAGGGTTGGAAGGAGATCTATTAGGAGCTGCCAAGGTATACAACTTTCTACGCAGAATAATCTTTTAAAGACCGAGACACGAGCAGCCCCAACGATGATGGAACGGCTAATGGCTTCGGCGGCTCAGGCGATAAATGAGAGTAAAAAACAGCAAAAAGAACTGCGTAAGTCGTGGTGCAATCTTTTTGCAATAATTTCCTTCAGCCAATTTGTTTCCTGTAATAAATATCACGACAACAGAGAAGCCAGTGGATGCGGATATTGAGAAATCCGTCGCCTTGCTCAAGCAAGTCCCTGAAGAACAGAAGAAAATCCTTGAAGCTGCTATTCGATCAGGGGAGCTTGATTATTCCAGTGTCGAAGCGGCCATTAGGTAATATTTAATATCAACTTTCGTTTCCTAATGCTTTCTTTTTCATCCTGATCTCAAAAGTTTCCATTGCACACCGTTTCCTGTCAAAACCATTTCCTTGGAAAAAGTAGGGCGCCGCAAGGCAAACAGCACACAGTTTTATGCAAACACCACCGTTTGAGGCTCATTTTTCTGGAGGAGCGCGAGGGGGGGTACAGAAATGGAAAAGAGCTCTCAATCTTAGGTCACTCGTCCGCGAGGATTCGGCTTCCCAATCGAAAACGGAGAAGACAACGAGATTGATGGAATGGATCCAGAAGAATAGGCCCGCCAAGACTGAGCTCGTGCTCACGTCGGACCGTTTGCCCTATTATGGGAAATACTGTGGAACGTTTGCGGAACAGGTGTGGATTGGGAAATGGAAACTTGAGATGCGAGATTAACATCTGCTAGAGAGTTACAAATAAAACAACCTGTATCCGGAAAAGATATTGATTTGGATGCAAACTCCAAACTTCAGGGAAAAGGTCCTTCCGCGTAGAAAAATTAGGCCACTTCGATTTGCATCCTAATTTACCTTTTTTCGGGATATCAGGTTATCTTAGTAGTTTACAGAATTTTCGTTTTATAAAACTATTTTTTAGCTGTCTCCAAACCGTAAATACAAACCCGGTGGCGCTGTCTGGGCTGTTGACAATCAACATATAATTGTCTCAAAATTCATCTTCCAACCCGAATCCCTATCAGGTTTTCGCAAATCCGCCAAAAAAAGCCAACGGCCGATTCAGAAAACATCACCTTCTGGGCCGGTCCTGGCGACAAAGGAAGCGATCCAGTGGCGGATATGTTCCCATCGGCCAATGGCTTCTATTTAAAACCAGTTCCCATTGATGTGGCTGTCTTTGCCGTGGGAGAGGCTCAGGTGCCAACCCGTCCCAAAAGCCTCAACCTTTTATATTTTAGCCTATTGAAGCGAAGATTCGGCAAAAGGTTAACGCTAGCTCTACAGTATTTGGGGCCACGCCGGTAATGCCGATTGGGAGGAAGAAGCGTGAAAGTAAGAGAAATTGCTTAATTTTTACTATCCTTAGCAATCACCATCGACTCCCGACCTACTGGCATTACAAATAAGACTGGACAACCGGTGCATCTAATTGTTCAGGTTTGTCGAAGATTCTTTTATTAGATAACTGCCACCTAGGGAGCGGTGATACAAGTTGAAAACCCAGATGATAAGAACCAACAAATCCTGGCAAATACAACCGAACTAATGTCGATCAACCCGACGAGTAGCAGTGTATTTTCGGCACCATTTCATATTCAACAACCAGATGAAGATCCGGTGCCAAATCCTATGGTTTGACAGCTTCCAAATTTCTTAATATGCTATCTTAGTACCCGGTGGCTCTTGAATGGCATGCAGGTTTTCAACCACTACTCCTAACCCTCCCGGCCCACAAGTCTATGAAGACTACGCATTGGATATCGCTTTGGGACCATAAGAATCAGGTATTTCTAGATACCAGCTCCAGCTCCTCAATTTCATTTTAGAAATCGATTTCATCAGTCGTATTCCCGAATGGTCCGGCATTTCAAGTGCCCGAGGTCATCACGTTGCGCTCCCTATTTCCAAATGCAGGGCTCCTTGCCAATGTGACATCTGGGCCAATTAGGGTACAGCAAAACCAAATACGCTTTATAAAAGTTTAGCTAATTGACGCGAAAACGATTGAAATCGATGAGCTACGAATTCCGGCCATTGATGCACCTATATGGTTTGTCGTCGGAAAGGATGTGTTCCCAAGCGCTAATGGACATATTGTACCGATCTACAACAAGTTTGACATTTTTATATTTTATTTATACTTGTAAACTAGGCGAACAAATACCTTCGACTGTGATAGCTTACAAGAATATACTGGCCAAACTGTAACCTTAAAATTACCCGGAACAATGTATATGAAGGTGGGTAACTTACCGAAATAATAACAACTTTTCCAAATTCAGGACGTTTTCTGGTTTTCAATATTTTCGCTGACCACTGGTGTTTCCTACTCCCACATTTATTTGCCATACAACGACATGCATTTACCTCCTGATCTATCGGCTATTCCGGTAAATCGACGGTTCAATTTCAATTGACAATACAAAATTTAGACTCCTCGCTGCACTTGGAAAGACTGAATAAGTTTTCAATTTTTTGATCTGGTTGCTGCAATAATCACAAACTTCTCGAAAACATACTGGTCTACAACGCTTTTCTGGATACATACTGTGCTTTCGAATAAATGCTTAAATTTTGTGACAATTTGTGATGGTTCTATTATAAGCAAATAAAAAGAGAAACCTCAAAATTCCTCCTATTTCGACATGCTCACTTCTGATCAGTTAGACCTTGAGCAAGAAAAATTGAATATCTGTTCTTCGATGCGGGTTCCATAACGGAAAAGGGATAGCGAGATTGCTTTTCAGCTCAGGTATAAAAATGAACGAAATCCAAAAACATTTCCAAAGATGCGGCTCACTTTCTTGAACCTCTGCTTATTCACATGGGTTTGTTTAATATTGTAGCGGCTGTGATTTTTATAGGTTTATCAAACGTCGGCACAACCGCCAGCAGGCAATCCACATGCGTTTCCTCGTTCCTGTAAAATGAATATATTGTTGATTATGGATCAGTCCTCTTCGACAAAAGTAACTTGCGTAAAAGAAAGTATGTCGTAATAAATCAGGGAGGATTTGATGCTGCTCGCGATTTTATTGTCAAGGTGGCGCCTTCAGCCATGATTGGACCTGATCAGCATCGGGTGAATCCTTCATTCCTTAGTTTTTTTAAATATGAATGTAGATTGCCCTTATCATTTTCTCTGGCCGCACTATAACCCTACCCTGGAATTTCGCCAAATCCAATGAAGAGTTGATTACACGTTTGAAGACCGTTAGGAATAATGGTGGTATTACGAGGATCGGAAAGGTAAAACTTTTTATTCTAGATAAACCTAGCCAATTTCGTTGTAGGCACTTGAACAGGCGATCACAATGATGGAGAAGAGAGATACAAAATTGCCGACTTTCATCCTAATGGTGACAGATGGTAGAAGCAGTGATGAAGTAAAAGGTCATGCCGCCAAGCTGAGGTAATATACCTAACACAAATTCAATTTTTAGGTCTTTCCCGAAAACTTGGCTTTTTGCAACATCTACTAATCGACCAGATATGTAAGAAATTTGGATATTCCCGGAACAAACAAATTAGGAAGGGTTTACTCGACATTGTCGGGCATGAGGACTTTATCATCGAGTCCGGGAGTCGTGAATCTGCCTTGCGAAGCGCGAAAAACATCTTGGAAGACATCAAACGACAATGTGTCACGACGACGACGAGCACAACAACAACTACGACCACCACTACGACAACGACAAACCCATTTACAGGTATTATTCCCGAAAAATTTATCAATTTGATGCTAGGATGCGAGCTGGACTTGGTACTGGTCGTTGATCTCTCTGCTACAACCCTAGCGATCTATGACTTTTACAAGGAACAAGCGAAGGCTTTAGTCGATAAGTTGTACATAAGTCCTCGACATACGAGAGGTATCTATTGGATGATACCAGACGTAATATTCCATTCTTTGCCAGTGGCTGCTGTCTCGTTTGCCTCGGTGGGGAAGACGCAGACCGAGTTCAGCTTGCGGCGCTACGACACAGGAGATGGGATAATGGAAGGGTTGGAGGCGATGAAGAATACGGGGGGAACAACGGCTATCGGTTTTTTAGGGCTTTGCGGTTTAGATGGCTTTTAGGGGAAGGGATTATGATGGCGATGAATCAATCGGTGGAACGGGAGGGGGGCAAGGCCGGAATTTGCGACAAAGGTGAAATATTTGCATTGAAATCCCTATCTCATTTGAGACTTTAAAGTATTTTGATCGTGAATTTAGGCAATGGTAGTTTTTACTGATGGTTGGAACAATAAAGGTCCAGATCCTCTAGAAGCCGCCAAACAAGCGAAAGACGCAGGGTATAAGAATTTTTCAAAATCACTATGCTTTAGCTGGGAAATGTATGTTGTAGTGAAAAGGGAAGTCGTAGAGCATGAATCACCGGAGCCACTCGACGAAATAATACAGCAGATAGGTAAATGAGCTTCCCTGTCTATCCGCCATCTCCACCCACCCTTTAGCCGACGATGAGGCGCATATTTTTGATGAGTCTAGCATCTCCAAAATGTTTGACCAAATCTCGAAAAGGAGTGAACCATGCAGGTGGGTCTCTAAAGACAACACCTGAATTTCCCCCCTTCTAGAAAATCCAAAGATGGTGTTGCGCCAAATGCTAAAGCCCTATTCGCCGCAATCCAGAAAAATGGCAACACCAAGCAGCCGGCAAATAACAAGAAAAAGCCGCCGCCCCGAAACGCCGAGGATAATTTTATGAGAATAAACTGTTTACTTGAAAATGAACATGACTATTGTCGCGCCTCCTTCCAAAGTCGCAATTCTTGCACACGCCCCCCATTTCTTTGGAACGCCCTTCTCCTTGAATAAAGTATTCACTGAGCTGAAATCATCATTTCGCATGCATTTGTTTCCTTACTGCACGAGTTTTTTTACGCAAAGCGCCTTTCGAAGATGCAGCACTTGTGGGTTGATTGGATTCTAGGGTTGAGGGTTATTGAAGGGGGTCCACGTCAAATAACTTTGGTCTGGGAGGGGTTGGGCTTTCAAGAATCAGATGGAATCGAAGCGACCCTTTGCGGGGTCTGGCTTTACATTTTTCAAGCCTGGATTCTCCACAAGAATTCAGCAGATTTTCCGAATCCCCAATTCCCACATCTTCACCCCTCTAGACCGCGATAAAACCGCATTTGCAGACGCTTCCCCGGCACCAACCCCGAAAAACATTCATTTCGCCGGGTTCCTTAACTTTTTGCCCACACCGAAATGTCGGCTGAGTTCACATAAATTAAAGCGAGCCTTTGGCCCTAGGTTGTTGAGTAGCAGTCTTTTTAATGGCCCTGACGCGCTGTGAGAAGCGCTGTCACTCTTGCATCTGTCTACTTACATACTCCCAGCCGTACCCCAGCCAAGGGGGCAATTACTCGAAAACAAAACTTCAGCATCCACCACCGTGTCACATGTCTTTCCACATATGTACACACAACGTTATTAGGGGCTGGCTACCAATCGAGGATGGATATTAGAGATGTGACTTTTGGATGGGAGTATTTGGCCTTACTAGCCTATGCCGCTTTTCAATTTTCGCAGGGGGGCCCCCTATGTGTTGATGTTGGTGTTTCGGAGTCCATTTGGTTGAGTGCATGCTAATTGGTTAGGGGCCAAAAATAGTAGTTTACGTGAGCTCGAGGTAGAAACATCAGAAGAGTTGGTGTACTTTTGAAATAAGGTAATTAGCTTATCTCTTCCTTCTTAACATCTTGCTGCAAAATTTTTGAGGTGATGCGAATTACGGGAATAAAGGTTTGAAGTTCCGAAGCATTCTACAAGAAAAAGAAGTCGAAAGCATCATGTTAAGTGCTAATAACTACGCTTAATGCTAATTAACTTTTCGGGTGGCTTCAAAATATACTTCCAGAATTTTTTGGAGCTTTATGGAGATGCAGGAATTGTCCGCAACCCAGCATATCCCTAAGTAACTTTCCGCTCTGGTTTTCAGAAGCTTGGAACCGATCGCCTGTTTTCCAAAAATTTGAACCGAACCCGACCTTAGAAAGCATATTTTTAGCGCTCAGCCAAACCCGAAATGTGCCCCGTCGGCCGGTGAGGACGTTTGAGGGGAAATTCGTTTTGGGTTTCGCTTCAAAAGGGCCCTCCTTTGGGTGAAAAGCATACTGAAGAGAGGGGAGCTCCCCCCCTGTGGGGATCGTCAAGGATCACGCTGTAAGAGAAATAAGCAAAAGCTACGTTCAAAGACAATTACACGACCAAAGAGATGGGGAGGGGCACTCATCCTTGAAAACAGTTGCCCTCTGTTGGAAATAAGGGCTGGGGGGGGGGGCTTTTGTTCTTTGCTAGCCATAGGGGTTTTTTCGTCACACCGCCCGTCCTTGTCTATTTGGCTCTTTATCGGTCCATGATTTAGTGGCTGTTATCGATAGGGGGGAGATCTCAAAAACCAGCATTTCTTTTTGACGTAGACAAAAAAGCTTGACGGCAGGGTTTGCGAGTTCAGAAAAAGGAAATATATCTTTTCACTACCGTATTCAAAGTATGCTTTCTGTAGCGTTCCCCTAGGAATTTGCATTTATTTTAAAACACCGATCCTCTTTCCGCAACCCTAAAAGTTGATGATACTAAACCTTCACACCCCATCCATTACAACACATTCTTGCAAAAATGGCTTACCCCCCTTGAAATTCCACTCGTCTTCAATTTCACCCCTTTTTTCAAGCCGCCCTCTTGCTCCCCTTGCTCCTGCCTCGCCACCACCCACCGAGACCAATTTTTTTCAAGAACGCTTGAGGAGGCTAAAGCACTTGGGCAGCAGCCCGTTTTTCGATGAATAAATATAAATTAATCATTGGCTTCTCAAGAGACGTAGCGCTTGTTTGCCGAGGTTCTTTCCTTTCATCCAAAATCGGGTAGCAAGCATTACGCCCAAACCGGGGTGTTTCTATTCCTGTTTCTTTTTCGGGTGTGGTTGTTGGTGTGCAACACGGTTCCTGGATTTTTTAGGTTTTGAAAAGTATACGGGATTTGGATTTGGAGATAGCTGTTGTGGATCAGGTAATTTGCCATTTATTCGAGATATCTTTTTTTTCTAGATTCCGAAATGTTTTCGGAAGCGTCATCATCAAAGATGGTGCTTGTCAGGTGAGCAACGTCTTTAAAATAGCTTCAAGCTAATTAAATTAGCAGTGTTTCTTGTAGTATCGGGTTGTGCAGAAATTCTCGTGGTTTTACTTTTTGGGCTTTCAAGACAGGCTTCCATGCCAGAATCTGCTTCGTCTTGCAGACCCCTCTAAACGAAGAAACTCAGGGGTTTCTAACAATTTGTGGGGTAGTAAAAATAATGATGGCTTGTATCGTTATTGTATTTATTTTGAAACCGATGAGAGGCTCCTCCCCGCTGCTATCAAAACCTGACCCTCGACCCGTTTTTCGAAACTTCGAACTGCCCGAACTCGTCTGCGCGTGATTCCATAAAAAAGCGGAAGTGCTATGAAATAGGACGAACTCTAGGACATTCAAAAAAAGGGGACGAGACAGAATACGTCGACATCTCTAGATTCATGCGAGGGAGATGCTCAAAAAGGAAGGGCATTGCTGGGGTGGGTTGGCTCTCCGGGGAGGTCCCTCCATTCCCGATCCCCGCAGCTTCTCGTCGTTTGTTGGAGGCAAAAGGAAGGATGGGTGTGTGATGGAGGAAACTCTTTGTTATTCATAATTGCGGCTTGCGGTCTGGCCGTGGCAGTCCAATGTCCCGGCCGCCAGGAATCCCAAAATTCTGTGCCCCCCGCTCCAACCCTACCACCCTTAAAAAAAGTTCCTGGAAATGAGTCGCCAAATTGGACGGGTGTCCCCACAACCACCCTTCTCCTATCTTCCCCTACTGCCAACCTCCACTCGATTTTTTTGAACAGGCACCCTATTTTATTTTTGGAGAGCCACCCGACACAAATTGGACAAAGTCTAGTTAGCCTCCAGCGTCGCGTTCCGGGAATTTGGTTTCTAAAAGAGCCTTCAACTTATTTCTGCCGACTGACCGCTTCTTCCGGCTTTTCTTCCCTTCCCTTCAGTGCTTAACCAAATCCAGAATCTTTTTTCGGCGTTTTTTGACATTGTTTATAGAAGCCGTGGGAGTCCGAGGATTAGCAAGTCGAAAAACAATTGCTTTTGCTATACTTTGGTGTTGGAAGGGCTGATGGCGGAACAATTTAAGAGAAGCGCTAAATTGATATTGGCATCGAAGAAAATGTTTGGGAATTTGTAAGTTTTATCAGAGAATCACTGAATTCGCCTCACGTTCTGAAAAAGTTCTGCAAATCTAAATTTTGAAAGGGCACCCTTGAAGTGGGTCCCCTTCCCTCCGCATCGACTTTTGATCTGTCTGGGAATCAAATTTCAATCCTTTCTTTCCGACAATTATGCGGGCGGCCTGTGCTGGCTCGACCCCAACTCGGCAACTAATTTCCTTCAGTTCCCCCCCCCCGCCCTTCCCTTTCCAACATCACTACCAACAATCCAGCTTTTTAATTTTTTTAAACCAAACCGGCCCCTAATTTCTTCCATCAAAAAGTGAAGTGCCGCCATCAGGCCTTTTCCCCTTGATGCGGGCTTCTCTCCCCTTCACATGCTCCGCCCTCCTTGATTCAATTGATATGTTTTTAAAGGGAGGCTTCTTCTTTGGCGTTGCCCTCGAGCTTCTCCCGGACCCAAGAGTCAGTCAGTAAGCCGAATTTGAACATCCGCGAAAATTGAATTCCCAGATCCCGAGCCCCCGAGTGGGCCCTTCTTTTGGCGACCTTTGATTCTGGAGGCCCGCCTCCCTCTGAATATTATCATTTCTCCTCCACTCCAAAAGTAGCCGTTTTTGGCCCCCTGGTCCTGGGAGCAGAAATTTCTCGGGTTTTGGATCAACTTTTTATTGCTTCGCTTTTCGGGGGCTATTTCCTTGTCCGCCAGACTAGAGCCTTTCCCTCCCCACTACCAGATAAAATTTTATGGGTTTGTATATGCTAGATCTTCATAAGCTGTCCCCAAGGACATCTAACGTCTCGTACTCAAGACTATGTACTTATTGTTAGCTCAGACTTCATAAATATTCGGAATATAGACTTTATTTCTTGTTTTGACGCGCCGACTCCAGCATCTAGCGCCGGAATTTTATGGTCACTACTAGCAAGAAAGATTGTCCAATCGAAGGAAACAATTATTGCTTTCCATTATCCTGGCCCCTACCGAACAATGGCCCTCATAAATACCTATTTTGGGGGATAGAGAAAGAAGTGAGGCAGCCGAATGGAATGACAGGTTATTAGATTCCAGTTCCCCCTTTCTTTCCACCAATTCTCGTTCGGAAAAGGGCAAAACTCACTCAGCCCTCCAACCACTTTAATTTTTCAAATAAAGATTCTTGTCATATTATCGTAAGAAATTAAGGAAATCCCTTATCCCACGCTCTACCCGAGAGCTAACTAATAAAGTACAATTTGGACGGCTTCTTCACGCGATATAGGGCAACACTTTTCGCTGTGGGAACCAGGTGGAAATACCCACCCCCTAGGGCTTTTAAATTGATTCCTGAGCATTTTGTAGTGGACCCCAGACCTCCCAGCCTTCATTGTGAAAATATATGGCCCTATCCACATACTTCCTTTCCTCGCTCCTTTTACTTTTTTGCGGGAGTAAAGCATCGCGCTCACCAAAGATCTATGTTTTCTGAATGACCCTTATGGGAGAGCTTCTTTATATCCTCCCCCAACTCAGCTGACGCTCTCACTTATCCTTTCAATTATTCCCTGAAAACCAACCTTGCCATTTCCAAAAATAAAACGCTAAAGATTTGAGAGACCGGTCGCGTGGAAAATGGACTTTGCTTTTTGTAATGCTTCACAATCGCTAATCCTACTTCACCTCGGGACGTAGCCCTCATTCAACGGCTTCCGCTTCTTGTATCCCTCCCATCTTTTCTTACAGCTTCCACATAATAGGACTGATCCCAGCCGGCTTATCCTGATCCGCTGCCCATGGAAAGCCGCCCAGGCGTTGGGGGCCCGATTAACGCTCCAATTCGCCAAAATGAAACATAATGTCCCACAGCCGACCCAACAGAAACGCCCGAAAAGTGAATCGAGAAGGGGCCCGCCACGGCTGGACGCGGCCCGCTTTTTCGGTTATTTCATCTCCTCGTAAAATGACTTTTCTGGTCTACGTTTTTTCGTACATGGCCTCTGGGTGCGAAGTGTGGCTTTCGAGGAAAATGACTTTTTTGGCGTCGCCTTCTCGCCGGGGCCATCATTTGCCTATTCCAAGTCTTACCCAATTTCGATGAATTTTAGACACACTTTTTCTTGCTTCTATTTTTTTCTTTTATTGCCTTACCCATTAGGGTGGCTTGGCTGGTGGATACATTTGCATTACTATAACCCCCCTATAACAATTATTGTTTTCGCGGTCCCGGTTTTTTCTTTTTGCCGTTCCTCGGTCACACAAAAAAGCCGAGGCTGATAATTCTGAATCTGGAATTTTCGTTGCAGATTATGCGACTTGCTGTTTTGTATTACCGAATATGCGTATAAATTTAGAAAATGTGCCCTTTACGAAACCCAGTTCCCATGTAGCCTTTCAGCTCAAGTGTAACTCTCTTGCATCCAAATTGTCGCTTCAAATGGTCGGTGCATTAACGAATCAGCTCATCAAAACCCATCCGGGATAACCGGTCGAAAAGGTCAGCATGCGTGGAAGGCAATTAGTATCCGAGCGAATTGGCGCCGGCCGATCGTCCACCACCCGCTGGTGCTCCTCCCTTTCTTCTATCTCTTTTCCCTAATTGCCCATTGGAGTAACATCCCCTTCTCCTTGATGAAGTTCGCACGCTTTTTGGCTGGGAATGGGTGGTCGTGTCACGAATTTCTGAATACTTGCAAACAATGTCGGGGCGACAATTTTGGTGATGTCTAGTATAGCCGACTCCCATTGATAGTTCCTAAAACACAGCTATTTCATAAACAAAATCAATAAAACTTTTACTATCGTAAACAGTGGTATTAAATAGTAGGCTACGTAGTGGTAAATTTAATTCAATAATAGGCTTGAGTATTATAAATTCATTTATCAACAACCGCAACTCCCCACGGGCACTAGGTGACTAATTACCCGTGCCCACGCTCATTAAGCCTTTCTCGAAAGTCACCTTCCAATCCTAAGAATTCCTTCCAGCAGCTTTATTAATAGTAAAGCCAGTCGATACCATTGCAGGATTAAACGCGCGAATCCGTTTCCTGCGACGAAATTCCGCTCTGCCCTCAAGTTGGAGTGGGGGGTGCATAAGTGATTCCTATTCCCTGGACCCCTTTTCGCGTCATGAACTCTGTTATTTTCGAACGTCTACCCAAATGGGCCCTCTCTTCCGTCTTCTAGCTAGTACATTCCAAAGTGTTGGGCAAGGATGTGCTTGTTCGTTCATCCCTTGCCCTCTCTCCTTTCTCGGCCCCTTTAACTTCTGTCACGCACACAACTTTTTACGTCCGGACAATGGGAACTCGTGGGACTTTTGTTTTGACATTTCACTTCAGCGTCTAGGGTCACTGCTTTTTTCTTTTAGACGACCCCCCCTTGGAGGGCGTTCGCGGTTCATCCGGCAAGTGTTTGATGGATTGGCGTGGTGCGTGAAGCCTTTCATATATTTTCCGTTTTTGAAAGGAACGCCACTGGGTTTCGCGCGTTTAGTGAATCTCCTAATCCTCCCAGGTGCTAAGACGAATCTCTTCCAGGATGCAGACGTTTTTGGGCTCTTTTCATTCCCGCCAATCCGGCGGGTTGGATTCATCAGATATCACATTCATATTTTCGCTGGTTCATTGCATAATTCAATTTAATCAGATTTTGCAATTTTTGGTGAAATTATAATAGCCTTTCTTTGAAACCCCAACGTCTGGGTTTATCAGATTTCTCTCCCGTTGGTTCAAAGCATAATTAAAATCACGAGTAATTTTTTACAGTTTTTGCGATAGTTTCAGTTTAAATTATCATGAAAATCAATGATCTGAATTTTGTGATCTCCATTTTCTATTTCCAATACGAAATATTTGACGAACAAGGCTAGGAGCTCCAAAAATCTGCCAGGAACTTGAAATCTAATCTAAAGATCAGTTATTTCGCAGGAAGTCAGATTCTTTTTGAAACTATTATGCAAATGAAGTAGAGACAAACTCTGAGCTTTGATTTTCAAGTCAAGGCACGTCAGCAGTAAAGTATAATCGACTGTAATATATACAAATTATCCAGGGTAGACTAAGGGTAGGGTAACTTAAAAGATCATAGACCGTAATCCGTCTTCCGGTTCCTATTATCGCACGTGTTGATGGTGGATGGAAGAGCGCGACCCACCCCACCATCCACCCCAACTGAAAGCCCCCCCCACCCACCTCCCTTCAGCCTTTTGCGAGTAAATTAGGCCCATATGCCCGGAGGCCACGAAAAAGAGACGCAAAGGAGGGAGGCTGAGGCTTTGTGGCTCACGAAATTCCGTCAGAAGGGCTAAGCCGCCCTGTACTTGCCACCCCGTCTGCCAATTGGAACCCTCCACCTTCCACACCGCACCGCATCAACGCGAAGGAAAGAAGGGCGTATATATTCACTAATCCAAACATATTGATCCCCACTACGGGGCCATCCGCCCCTCCCGTGAAGCCATTTCCCCTAATATACATATTCCTAGATATTTTCGGTATATTTCTAACAATGCAGTCGATGCCCCATACACTATTGTATCGAAAATTAAATCTGCAGCAGAAGTTTCCCCATGGATTCTTATCGAACCACCGTAATTCGATGCCAGTCACCCCACAGTCAAAGCGGTCAATCAGGTAGCCGAGGCATTTGGATTAAGCCCCCCCCCCCAGACCAATTCTCATATATTCTCCGTTCCTCTGAAATGAAAGACGCCCCGGGGGAGGTTGATTGGATCAAAAGAAATTGCTTGGGTAAATATATCCTTTTCATTATTGCGCTTCTTGGAAGAGGTGGGTCCTAAGAAAGGAGAAGTAGAAGCTCTTGTAACCTCATGTGACTTTCATGTTTTTGGACAATTTATCATCTTCTTGAAAATTATAGTTAATTTATTAACATATGCGTCTCCCTGTGCCTCATTTTTCGTGAATAGGTCTATACGTAACAATATCTGAATCGACGCTTTGGCGCGCACGTATACAGCTACTCTTTTTCCGAAGGTTTTCTGCGTAAATAGGTGTATACGTGGTAATGCCTGAATGTACGATTTAATGACAACCATAATATATCGCTGCCAATTCTCAATCCTTTCTTTTCAGCTCTGAACCCGGATGCGAAAGTATGGTCATCCCGTCGATGCGCAAAAACCCAAATACCGAAAGGCTACGAGGACATACTAATCGCATAGTAAGCCAAACTTCCTGATGCTAATTACCTTCCAAAAGCAGCAGGTCGACGACCCGAATCGAAATCTGTTGGATGAGTATTGTTCGGGAGCAAATGGCCGTGTTTCTTCCGGTGCCCCCCTCACATCTGGTATCACTTACTAAAACGCGTACACTCATCGTTTTACAGGCGCCGGTGACTCAATCCTAAAACTCAACATTGGAGGCACCGTATTTCGGCTGAAAATTGCCAGCATTTTTGCGAGAAACGATGATTCGCGGCTTGTGCATTTTGCCACATTTGATTTGGAGAAGCGGCAAGCTAAATGTGATGCGTATATTCAGGTATTTATTTTGTATCTTCTATGCTAATTAATTTTTCCCAATTTTAGAGCACAGATGAATATTATTTTGAGCGATCTGCTGTACTATTCGATTCGATTTTTAAATATTACGCGACCGGACAATTGCATAGGTAATATCAACAATTTCCTAGTTGTCATTGCCGAATTTAGACCCCTCGACGTGTGCCCCAGTGAATTCTCACAAGAACTTGGATTTTGGCGAATCTCCGAGGGTTTCATGTCGCCCTGCTGCCAGCGCGGATTAAATCAACTGTAAATCAATTTAACCCCGTTTATTTCAAACAACCAACCCGCCTTTAGACCGGCGGAACCCACGCCACCCGGGTATATCTGGCTATATAACTGAAATGAAAAACTTTGTGGGGCGTAGAAAACACACTGCGTTTTTGTAATTAGTAAAAGTACAACTTTCCCGGGTTTTTCTGTACCTATGTCGTATTTAGGACTGGGTGTTGGTGAATCCAAAAAATGTAGCACCCCCTATCTTTAGAAGCGCTTCCCTTGAAGAATTGGCAATGAAGATTGATGAGCCTATTCAACCCAGTGATCGCTCGTTGAGGTGTTGCAATGGTTTCAAACCCCGAAAAACAACTTCCGGTTTTAGATCTCGTTTACACGCGTTTTGCGAAGGTGATGGGACGTTTGGGTCGACCCTTTTCACCTTCATCAGCATATGCTTCGTCTTAATTTCAGTGATTGGTGAGCCATTTCCATCAACGTGGGTGGGCCCCCCAGCCATGCCCCAGCCATGGTAAAAAGCGCAATCTCACCCGTCACGAGATGTGGCTTATTGTCCCGATCCCGTTTCGCCATCTCTCTAAAAAACGGGGGAGCCGCAAAAAAACGCGGAATTGAAGATTCGCGTCGGGCCATGGCCGTCCACAAAATACTTGAGATCCCGGCGACCGGAAGTCTGGGGGAAGCGGCTAACTGAAAATTGAATTTAGGCCTCGTGCTCGGCTCGATCCACGATCTTCAAGTTCCCATAAAAAAGAAGCAGAATCCGGATGGAAGCAAAGAAACGTTGCGGCTATTGGCAAATGCAACGGATATAGGTTTGGGAAATTTAACGGTTGCAGTAATGGTCAAGATACATCCTGTAACTTGAAATTTAATGGAAAACTGAATGCCGTGAAACATGAGCTAACATTCTTTGGTCGAGTGGCAGTTGCCAAAAAAATCGTGAAATAGCTGCTCGCTTCCGGTCACGTATTGCAGTACTTCTTTGGCTGCGGCTGTCATCGTTTTATTTTTACAAATACAAAAAAAAGAATGTTTTTTTTAGAATTCCTTTGTTTTAAATTTTGGTGATTGTGTTTAGGATATGCAAATAGTCCTATTTAGGCAATACCACGGAAGAGATATATGCAGGTGCTCCTTGTACCCCCAATACCTTTGAACCACCATTCATTTATACATTATTTTTTTTGCTTATTTTTGCTGACATTATCATTGAATTCGAAGAGCTAGTGAATCCCCCCACACAAATATCCATTGACTGCATGCCGGCTTATCGCTTTTCTTCCGTTTCGTAATTTCCTACCCCGAAAAAAACACACTAATCAATTCTATAACCTTTTTCTCTTAGAAAGCTTATTAGCGGATGCGGTGGTGAAAAGGGGTTCGGTTCTTTAAAATATTTTGTTATTTAGCCGATGATCCGGATGTGATCTGGGAGCCACATCCAGCATTTGGATATGTGGAAACTGTTTGTATTCTCTGGTATGAAGAATATTTGAGATTAAACGGTGAGATTTTCAGGTTTACATTCGAATACCTACTCCGAATTATCGTAACTCCAAATCGGTTACAATTTTTCTGCGGTAAGGACCAAGAATAGATTTGAAGAACATCTAAATAGGTATTATGAATATCGTGGATCTAATAGCCATCCTGCCGTTCTATCTCGAGATGGGATTATCCATTTTTGGAATAGACATCGCTAGTTTGTCCGATATTAAAGGTTAGTTTTAACGGGATTTTTTGTTTGTTTTATGGGTGAGGGGACTTAATATGAGTGCAAAAATACATAGTAAAGTGTTTTTAGTAAAGTTCAACAGTGTTACAATTGGAAAAGCTGTCTAAAATTCTAAAATACTTAGAAAATGTTCGAAAATGCGCAATCTTGGTGATAAATGGTCATTTTTGGTAGAAAACCGATAATTTGTGTAATTTTTTGATTGCAAAAATTTTTATACCTGGCGATAGTAAAAAAGTTCAGAAATAAGCGCTTATTTGCCTTAGAGAAATCGGATCCCGAAGGAAAAACTTGTTCCCCGACAATGCGACGCCTTTCTTACTTTTCTAAACATGTTTATAGGAGCCCTACTTGTGGTTCGTGTGCTCCGAGTACTACGTGTGGTTCGTATTCTAAAACTGGGCCGTTATTCGTCCGGAATGCGGACGTTTGCCCTAACACTACGGTCTTCGGCCCGTCAGCTCGGGATGATGGGAATGGTGAACATTAAAAAGTATATATAATACCAAAATATTCTAGGTGCTTTCTACGGGTGTGGTCTTTTTCTCAACATTGTTATATTTTGTCGAGAAAGACGAGAAGGTTAGTAATAATCATTAATAATATCGAATTACGATGATGCATTTAGGACACTCCATTCACCTCTATCCCGGCCGCTTTTTGGTGGGCCATTGTCACAATGACAACTGTTGGTTACGGTGATTACGTACCCGTAACAATCCGTAAGTTTTTAATAAATGTTTTTATACATATCGCTTTTTAGCCGGTAAATTAATTGCCTCTGGGGCTATCATTTCTGGGGTGCTCGTATTGGCACTTCCCATCACCATCATCGTCGACAACTTTATGAAAGTCTCTGGGAAGTAAGTTCGGCACAAACCCTCCATTAATATCCAACCATTTACGATTGCATGTGGAAGATCTGTAAGTCGGAGTGGTGCAAACAAAAACTCATGGTGTCCGGTGCGCACGCCGGCAATAGATTTTTTGGTGCGCTTCAAAAATGGCAAAAACAAAATCGTGAATAATCAAGTGGTATTGTTTGGTGGATAACAGTTCTGTGGCTGAAAACGGGCACTTGCAAAAGACGACTAATTGACGGGCTAGTCTGGCCACATGCAATCGTGAATTTTATGAAAGCGGTGGTTCTTGGTTGATCACTAAACCAATTTAGCATTGTCGAATAATTCATCAAGTCCACAGTACCATACCCTCTGGCCCCAAATGGTATATACAAATCAATGTCTCTCCCTTCTCTACTTTCCTTTTTCTAACCAAACATGCACAGCCACGTTTCAAAGTTTGATAATGTACATTTTAGATAATTTGTTACCTCTCTCGCTTCAGAAATTTAGGCTCTATAAGTCTAATACTCCTAAAACTACATTGCCGCAAAATTCTTATAAAAACACAACTTCTCGACTATCTTGTAAAAACACTTGTGCTTTGTCCGTCCCGTCGCACAGTGCTGCGTTTTTTCTACAAATTTTAATTGTGGACTTGTGTCGGGTGTTTTTGGTTTGGTAAAGCTCTCGCGTCGACCTAACGCTTCACCAATGCCAACATGAAAATATTTGAAAAATAAATTGGGCTTTTTCAGCACCCACAACATCTTCCACCATCCCGACCCACCGCCAGCACCAACCCCGACCCCAAATCGGATGACTGCATAAAAATGATATTGAAAAGATTTGCATATTGTCTGGTCTATCCCCCATAGATTTCTACTCCCTTCCCATCCTGTGACATTGTTTTTGAAACATGACAAACCTCATATCCCCCACAAAATTCTAGTTATTATGAACGACAATCCTTGTAATTTTGGTTATTTTCCGTCTCTTCAACATGGTGCAACATGAATTTGTATCGTGAATTTCGTTCTTACTTCTGCCCCCCCCCCCCAAACACCAAACACCGATCTCTCAGCCTGGATCAATAAAGTGTTTTTCATGTATATTTTGGAGTTTTAGCAGATACACACTTTTAAGATTATGCTGAAGATAACAAGACAAGGACGCCGCTTCGACGCCACTTTATGAAAAAAAAACGTGGCTGTGTCAGATCAGATCAGACCAATAACTACGAAATCCGCATCAGACGACCGGTTGCGCTTCTTCTGTGTAAAAACATCATTATCACAACAACGGATCACTCAAATTTGCACGTTATGGCAGTAACCTTGACCTTGGTTGGCATAAACAAGACTTCCCTTACAGCCTTATACACAGACTCCAACAAAACAGTGGCCCTAGAAGAACTTTCCTAAAGTCACGCCTTGTTAAACAAATTACGCCATTCTCCTGGATTCGCCCTTGTTCTTGCATTTTCAGATACCTTTTGCATCATTCTTAGAAAGCAGCAATTCAGATCCTCCGCGTTCTTCCTAATAAATTCCCGAGGTGGGAACGACGACGCAGCCCGACCAAATTCCTATTTGCCAAGATTTATCTCGGGTTGGGATCTGGGATGGCCGCGATGCCCCATCGCCCACTTTCACCAAATGGCTACCGTCCCCCTTTGATTCTCGACCGGTGCTATTTTCGCGAAAAAATACGGTTTTTGCAATCTCTATTTTTTTAATGAGCCAGTTACAGCCTGCCTCCGACAATCTTTGATAATAAGGTATCCAGATTCGTCAATTTCCTATGGCAGATGACGTGCTGAGATCACCGATTTCTGCTGCTCCATTTAGCAACCAAAACACGGGCGTTTCGCAATCTTCCTCGGCTCTTAGACCACGGGACCGACGATATGGGACCGAATACGAATCAGTCACACGCCCCCGCCACGCATTTTGAATCGGAAATCGACATATGAAAGCGTCTTCGACATGACATTTTATTCGCAGTAGCCGCGCCAGCACTCCGCTTATCGTTATTTTCAAAAAGTAGCAGCGTCGAATTCTTAGGTATAAATTTTCAAATAAGAAGCTTGGTAATAGTTACAATGAAACTCGCAAAGATTTCCTTAGGCTTCTCATAAGAATACATGTACGCGAGGTTGTCGCTTCCCTTGGCAGGCTAGAGCTGGTAATCCATAGGGGATTAACTCAAAGATTACTTGTCTCCGTGGTTTTCGCTGCTTACATGTTACTCTCACGCTGTTTCGGTTTTTATAATAATAAACCGCTAATTACTGTCAGAACCTTGGAAAGGCGCCTGGGGTTCCTTTGCACAGTCCATGCACTTATGATAGGTGTTTCCCGCCTTTTTCTCGCGGCAACGCGCAAATAGCGTTAGCTTTAGTGCATCAAAGTGTCGGTATGTCCTGGGGGCCTTTCCGGGGTCGCGTATCAGATAATTAGTATCACTTCAATCAAGAAACAAGTAATCAAATAAGGCTACAAATTGGCAGATCCCAATACCATGGGCATGCGTTTGTGTTAACAGACCTGTCCGAGTCACGACCCCTGCGGGCTCATTAAATTGACCACTGGTCATATGGACCTTCCACTCAACCTTTTTCCTCTTTTTTTTCCACAACCACGCCATCGAACAGCCCGCTCCGTCTCCAACGGGCTTGTGAAAACATCACCATCGATCCTGATCTGATCCTGGAGGGGGACACGTGCTGTCTCTTCTCGCCAGCTCTCCCTTTTTCTCTAATATCCAGCTCCCTACACCCCTCTCCTTCTTTCCCTTTTCTATTTCTTTCCATCTCCTACACGAATAGCCGTCCTCTTTCCCCTGCCAAATGGCTCCCTTCCCTCCCAGTCCTCAACAGCTCTTTTTTTCCACGATGCTCACTACAGCTCTCTATCTCGTGCTCTCTTTTCGTTCTCTCTCTTCTGCCATGTAGACCTTTCTCCTCTATTCCTTCTCCTCCAACAGCCACTTTCAGGGCCACGAGCCTCCCCAAGCATGGCCACTTTTCGGCCATTCCTTCCGCCTGATGCCCTATCAAAATGGGCCGGGATTTAGCCAATCAGGGCGTAAAAAGTTATTTTGAATTCGGGGATTGTTTTTTTAGAAAATTGGCTTTATTTTCGTTTAAGAAAATCGGCCTAGAATTTTAGTATTTGGTTGGCCGGGTAGGACGTTTCACTTTGAGTATTTTGGCGTATCTTCATATATTTTCCATCAATTTTTAACGGATAAACTTTAATTCGAAAAATATGGAAAAGATCTACCTTAGTCCTTTCCCAATCTTGTAGCGTTTTTTTTGCAAATTACGACCTTTATAACAATTTTCATTTTTGCCGTTTGCGGATACCATGACAACAAATCAAACACTCAACAATTATATGATCCTTTACGGCGCGTTTTTATCTCAATTTTTTCCCTCCTGCCCCCCCCAGTCACCTGTTCCAAAATGAACAGCTGAACAAAGCCGTCAGCTCCTGGGGCCAAGCAGCGGGTCGAAAAGTCTGACGCCCCGAGAATATGGCCCAAATCATGCCACCCACAGTTATCTGCCCCCCCCCCCGCCATTCCTTTTCCTCTTTCTTTCCTTGCCGCAAAATTTGTAAACATCCGTTTCCCCGAAAATAGTTATCTCATGTTCTGTCCAGCAGCCCCCAATTTTCATGGCTCCCTGCAAGACGTGTTATCTTCCCTTTACGAAACCGGTGGCAACGCTTCGATTCTTGTAACAATTTTCTGAGTTTTGCAGTGGATGAGCACAGTCGGAAAGCTACTGCCGGTCACTTCTAGGCGTCTGGTCCAGGCGGCTGGTACGTTCACCTAAAATTAACATGAATGCAATTTCTCAGGGGCTCATAATGTGAGTGCCAGTGAAAAGCCGGCCGAGAAGCCGGATGCGGCTGCCCCAGATCCATTCAAGAGCTTCTATGTTGGTTGTTTAATTCGGTATCTATAAGCTTTCATTTTTAGTACAAAGACCTCATCACCACACCAGCAATGGGTGACCAAAGAAAGCCGGTCCCAAAAACCGGCGCCCCACTAAAGTTCGGGCATACCTATGCCGACCATATGGTAATTATTCCCTGCTAATACCAGATTATTATTTTTAGGTTGATGTTGACTGGACCGATAAGACCGGATGGGGAAAGCCTCACCTCAAACCTTTGGTCCCATTCAAACTCCATCCCGGAGCAAAGGTTTGGAGTTTTAAATTTTTGCCTAAACAGCTGATCTCTTGAGCTCTCACTTTATCACCGGTAGCTGGTCACCTTCAGCACAAAATAGATATCGTAGGAAAAAGAAAAAGAAAAACCCAGGCCATCCAACGAACGTTCAGCTATTTCTCTATTTGCGAACCCATTGGTCCCCCCGACCATCCGGCCAGCCGGCCAACTAAGTGTCCCGTCCGCTTCACCTCGATTTTGTTTTGATTGGCATCTTTGATAAAGAGGCCTAGCTGATCCGCGAGAATGGATTGATATTGCAAAAAATGGTCTTTCGGAGAATCTTGAACTCCCCACGAAAACCCGATAGGGGATCCGGGTTACCATGTGGAGGCGACAGTTGTTCGAAAATTTGAGGAGTCAAGAGAATACGTCCTAGCCATTCGGGCCTTGACGAAAAAACTAAAAAAGGAAAATGTGGACTAAGAGCCCCGGGTAGCAAAATATAAGTGATTTTCAGGTGTTGCACTATGCGATCGAAATCTTCGAGGGCATGAAGGCGTACCGCGGTGTTGACAATAAAATTCGGCTCTTCCGCCCGGAGGAGAATATGAAGAGGATGAAGAGCTCCGCCAAAAGATCCGCGCTTCCAGTAGGCAAAGCCATGAAATTTACGTACGCTCCTTTAGGACTTCGACGCCGACGAATGCGTGAAAATTATCACGGATCAAGTGCTGCTTGATATGGATTGGGTTCCAGCTTCATCCACTTCATCGCTCTATATTCGCCCTACTTTGATTGGAACTGACGTAAGCCAATTTACTCCTATAGATCCAAGTTATTTCAGCCGACCCTTGGCGTTGGTGAAGCGCATATGGCCAAGTTCTTTGTCATTTCTGGGCCCGTTGGAGCTTATTATGAGACTGGCTTCCAGGTTAGTATAAGATAATATTTTGCAACTTTAAAGCCATATACGTATTTGTTGCTTTCGAGCATCAATTATCGAAGTATTTTTAGCCCGTCTCCCTTCTTGCTGATTCCAAATATTGCCGTGCTTACAGCGGCGGTGTTGGCCAATACAAAATGGGCTGGTAATATTATCTCCATGTTTTTTGCAAAACAAATTCCTTTAGCAACTACGCCCCCACCATCTGGGTGAACAATATTGCTGCCAAGAAGGGATGTCAGCAGGTATTTTGAAAACGGTTGAAAAACATTAAAAAAAATAGGTTCTCTGGTTGCACGGTAAAGAAGAACAGCTGACTGAAGTCGGAACCATGAACATTTTCGTTTATTGGATCAACAAGGATGGAGGTAAGATAAAAAAGTGCTTCCAAAAAAGTTTGATTTCAGAAAAAGAGCTGTGCACACCGCCACTGTCATCTGGTCTGATTCTACCTGGAGTCACCAGAAACTGCATAATCGATCTCGCCGAGCAGTGGGGCGAATTCAAGGTAAGAAGACAATCTAAAAACAAACAAAAATATTTAAGGTCACCGAGCGTACCGTCACAATGAACGACGTTCGAAAGGCGCTGAAGGAAAATAGGGTTCGTGTAGTTCTACGTTGATTCTTCCTTTTTCAGCTCCTCGAAATGTTTGGCGCTGGCACCGCTTGTGTGGTTTCGCCGGTGGGCAAGATCGTGCACGAAAATCCGGTACGAGAGTGGGCCATCTTTTAGAAAACTTCGTTTTTTAGGAAAATGGCAAGACTGAGGAGCTGCATATTCCAACCATGGAAAGCAAAGACAACCTGATGCAGCGGTTCTATAATACGCTTACTGATATTCAGGTAAGAAATTTAAAACCCAGCTTTTTTTATGTAAACCGAGTTCCTAAAAAATTGTGTAGTATGCACGAAATATGTAGGGATTTTACTTAAAGTAATTTTCTCCGGTGAATTAAGAAATCCTTATTGGTTATTGAACTTACCATGTATTATTTATAACTACTAAAACTTAAATTTAGTACGGACGCAGCGGTGACATGCCACAGTGGACGAAAATCATCAACTAAAGAAAGCAATTCTAACCAATCGTCCCCGATGTTCCCCCGATATTCTCCCGGTTCCCTGCATTTCACTACTCAATATACGGCAAAGCTAGTAAACACAATCCCGCTCCTACAAACATGACCTCCACCAACCTAGCCAAGATAGGATTTAAACGTTTTCACCCATGATTACAATCGCAACGAGTTCAACCCCTGCAAAAAACCAGGGAAAGGACGGATAATACTTTCAAGTCCAAATGTGGCCGTTGTGGTGAATTTGAATAATTTCACGCCTTCCCATGCCTCACCCCTGGAATAAAGCTCCAATGAAATGTTATTGTGATTGGTTGATGTCGAGTGTTGGCATTCCTATCGATCTAATCACTGGCCCTCAAATTACGCATGCAATTCACGACTTTATTAGATAATCCCCCCTGTTTACCGGATCCTGGTGTATTCATTGCCGTGTGCCATTTGTTAGTTCCCGTCAGGGGAAAACTCGACCGGCAATTTAACTTCTATATTCTATCAATAAATGGATAAAAAGGCGCGAATTCTGTAAGGAAAGTCCCCTGATTTTGGCAGATGGAACTTGGGAAATTAATCGACGATAGGCGCGACGTGTAGGCACAACCAGGTGCAAACCAGCCGTTGCAATCAAGACATTTTTTTGCTTTTAACAATTCCTCCTTAGGCCTATATTTAAAGCTTCAACAAGATTCGCTTTATTCGGTTCTCTTCCTTCGCTTTTTATAATCCTTCACAACCACACGAAAATACACAGTTTTGAAAACGAAAATTTCTGAGGGGGGAGGGGAGGGGGATGGGGGTGGGAGGAAGAGGGAATATTCTGAACGTTTTCACCGGGGGGTTCGTGGCGCAACGGGGGGATACGAATTGAGTGACCAGATTTGCAACAGATTTCACCGGTATTGCACACAAAGTCGCAGCAGCATCCAACATCTAGAGAGTGGGCGGGCCGGGAATCGATTTGGATCTTTGGGAGCTCCACGGCCAATTGTGCGTGTTTTAAACTCGATTTTTTGGGACCTTTTTGGGAGATTTTTGGTATGAGTGGTAGAACTGGGGCCACAAGCTAAATACATCGGTGCGGTGACTCGCTGAGGTTTTTGAGAAAAATGGGGGCAAGCTGGGTGGGGGTAGGGGTAGAAGATCGGGGGAGGAGGAGGAGGATGGTATCGGAAGAATCGTTTTGTGGGAAGGCGTCTTACTGTTGGCCGAAGTTCGGGTTGTGGATCTGAAACGACGGAAATGAAAATGGGCATCTCATTATATTCATTTGAGCTACGGAAAGTAATCCGGAAAAGACATTGTCACAGTTTGCATACGAAAATCGTTGATTTTTCAATGGTAGTCCTGGCATTTCTGGAACATCTTTTGGATGATACGTCTACGGAAATTCCCTCATATTGTCGTAACCACCCCTTTTTCTATTTTCTAACTTCATCTCTCAAAAGCAGGTCGAAAACGCCCACCTCAATATCACCGGTGGGGGCTAATCCGGGGCACTCGTAGACGGAATAGTTGTTTTCGTCGTCGGCGCACTCCTCGTCTTCGGATTCGATGCCGACGCCTACGAATATGAGCCCGATTAGACGCATTATTTGGGGAGCAATGGCAATATTGCGCGTGTTGATTTAAGGATTGCAAAAGTTCCGCAGTGTGGACATACACACCGGTAGTACACTTGCAAAAACTCACCAGGGGCCTCGTCACCGCAAATGATCTTCTGCTTGGCCTGTTGGTAGTGGTGAAGTTGAGCTTTGTAGGCGAGGGCATCATCTCCCTAAAAATATTTTTATGCCTATAACTGCATTTTAGAATTTTACTCTGATATATGGAAAAAGTGTAGGTAGTTTTTTTATTTAAGATTATTATGGTTATGACAATCTGGCTCAGCAACAGCAACTTTGCATAAAGGGGCATAGAGAGCGATTTTCATGTTTTTGTGATTTGTATTGATGAAGCTCTACCCAAGCATCTTGTCTTTAATTTCCCCATCGACCTTACATATTCCCGTTGCGAGGTCTTTGACTTACCTTGTCACCGCGCTTTCCACGCTTGAAAGGTCCCGTGCCGGCGTATGGCGCATATTCGTTGTCGTCCGGGTTCTCCTTGCGACGCCTGAAAATCCTCGAAATCCCGTTTCCGGTCACCGATTCCCGGCCACGAATTCGGCCCAGAAAAAGAAACCGAAACGTATGGCCTACCTGTAGTAGATACCGCCAACAGCTCCACCAACAACGCCAACGACGAGCACGCAGGCAACAGCTAAAGAATGGATTAATTGTCATACTCGTGTAGTAACCGTAATGTTTTTAGACAAATGGTTTTGAAATTTATATTATATTAGGTTTCAGCATTTCTATGTAAACAATGCTGTAGTCATTCCGCTACACTAAAAAAACTCTATTGTCCTGCCCACCCCCACCTTTAGCCTGCCTATTCATAGCCCGCCGGGGGCTCTGAAGCGGCGGAGGGGTAAGCCATTATGGGTAAACAAAAAAAAAACTGGCGGGCGCCTGGCCAAAAGGTAAGTCGCCTTTTGTTAAGTATAGATCATTAATTACTTTTAATATTTTAACAGCTGCACTCTCGGATTGTCCGCTTACCCATCATGGTCAGGTTGGTGTCACCACGAGGCGAGAAAGAGTTGCCGTGGATGGATTGGGCCATCCGACGCTTCTCAAGGCTCTGCACATCGCGTTGTCGGTACGAGACAACCTCTGGCTCAACGAACGAGACATACTCGCTTTGGCCCTATAAAGAAATCGATCACGGCTGTTTTGCCTGCGCTCAGCCCGATCCCAAATCCCCCCAACAAACACCATTAGACCAACCCCGGCAATAAAAGTCGAATTAAATAACGCGTGGTTTTTTTGGTTTTGACATCCCCCTTTCCATCCAACTCTCCTCCAAACAAATTTCCCTTTTTAGCCCTCCCGAGGACAACGAGCCGTAACCCGATCCCTTTCCTCGCAAAAATCCCTTTCCTTTCAGAACCCTATCCGATAACTGATGAAAAGGATCTCATGAGAAAATCTTAAACCCCTCACCTTCTTCTGCGGCTTTTCGACAGGTGTTTCTTCAGCCAGCTGCTGTTGTTCGACCTTCTGAAAATGTTAGGGGCTTCTGAGAATCGGAGCAACGCGAACAAACCTCTCCCTGCTGATTGGGTTCCGGCTCGGGCTGTTGTTGCTCTTGCTGCTTGACGGCCTCGATGGGCTCTGAAATAGACGAGCGGAATAGAAAATAAAGGAAAAAGGGCATTTTCTATCTCAAAAAACTTACCCTGTTCAGGCAGAGACTCGGCTTCTTGCTCGGCCAAGCTAGCGATAATTTCGGATAGTTTCTGGTGGTAGGCCTCATCATCTTGCATAGCATTCTCTTCTTCCAAAAGCCGCTGCTCCCACAACTAAACAAATTAGCATAAATCGTAAGTCTCTTATAAATGTGCGTACTCGTTCATTGTAGTCCTCCTGTGGAGCCCTCAAAAGTGAATCATAATCATTAACATCGCTTGGTACGTCTCGCTTCTCCTCTGAAAATTGCTTTGTCGGTTTTTGCTTGATTTACATGAGTGAACCTTGTTTAGATTCAAATTCAGAAACCATCCGTTCCAATCCCTCACCATTTTCAGATTTCAACGCTTTCGAAACCTTAACAACCCTTCTACCCCCCGTGGGATTCCAGAAGCGTAAATATGCTCATCGGCCACCCAATTTGGGAGTGACAAACAAAATCTTGTAGTTGCTCGTGGGAATGCCCAAAGATTTATGGGATCATTTTTTAGCGGCTCTGCCTGATTAAAGGCGACGGGTCCCTGGGAACCACGAGGCTTTTTGCGCGGTCATTCTCCCCAGCAGGCACCTGGGCCACCTTTTTTTTTGTCTGGGCAGGGTGGTGGAGACAATTCGTATTCGATTGCTCTGTGATGCCAGGAAAAAAGAGGAGAGGGGAAGGGGCCAATCAGACGGTGGAAGCGGGCGATTAAGGGGGTGGGCCCTACAATTAAGGTTGGGCTTGGAAAGCGGGAAAAGCATGTGGGATGTTAGTGATGAACTTTTTGAGTTCAGGCCAAATCTGGGGTTTAAAAGCGAAAGGATGAATTAATGAACTGAACCATCGGATGGATTTAAATAAAATAAAAACCTGCTTATGTCTGGGCCATGATTTTGCCGTCCTCTTTCTTTGCAAGTCTGATCAGCTAGCAGAAATTTCCGCCCTCAACCCCTTCATTTTTGTTGCAAACACGGTGACACCCTCTCATTGGCAGCCCTAATTTGTCATTCAAAAAGCCACCCTCTCCGATCTCCCCTCCATCTCCTCCAGAAGATGCCCAAATTCTATTGATAGGCCTCATCAAGTGGGACGAGCAGGAGAAGCGACGAGGAGGACACGCTTCCCAGAATGTCTGCGTGGCGCCCCCGTCCCCCCGCTGGCAGTCTCGAAGAAATCGAATTATCTGGGCCCTATTCACTCGAGTGCCAGCCTTCAGCCGGCATTCCAATGCCCTCCCCGCGATCTCCAAATGAGCACGAGACCCCCGCGAGGGGAGAAAGGGTTCGGAGGTCTCTTTTTGCAATAAAAATGAAGCGCGGCCAGTGAGTCAGGGCACTCCAGGCTTAATAATGGCACCTTCCAAAGCTCCATAAATTTATAACCAGGGTCAACTATTCTTTGATGGTAGGAAGGTTTCTCCAGTTCTTCGGCTCCACGCTTTCCTATGCAATTTGAGAGTCTCCGGGGACCCGGAACTTACTCATCAAGTCAGCTGGGGCACCAAATTAACTACAATTGCCATCTCAGGCGGTAGAGGCCCACATTTTCAGAAGGGGCATTGCTTTGTGGGGGGATTAGTTTTCGGCGCTGGACCGGGGCGACGAGGTGCGGAACTAGTATTGGCGATGTGGGTGTATTTGGGAAAATCGGATTTGGCGCAGATTAGGCGAGAAATTTTAGGGGGGATGATGGGATTAATGGGCTCACGTGTGGAGGTTTTTAAAAGATGCGCAAATCCAAGGATCATCTTATTTGGCATGATGATGTGGTGAGGGTTATTATAATGGCTTCTACGAAAATAGGATCGCTTCGCTAAGAAGAGTTTGGAAAGACAGCGTATCCAGATAACAGCATTTACTGGGCTGGAAGGAGCTTGGGACGATTCAAAATCCCTTGAAAAGGCGAGAAAACGTGCGTTTTAAGTTTTTAAAAATTGTTTGGCATAAACTCGACTTGTGATTTTCGCGTTTTTTTTATACTCGTAAAACTAAACACTGATTTTTACGCCGGGTAGGGAGGGAGTTTTCGATAAAAACAAAAAAATTGCTTGGCACCGAGCCGCTACAGGAGCGCGTTTTTGTGATAGGAAGCACTTTGCGCATAGCGGAAGTACCTGAAGTCAACGCTAAGCTTATGAATCTAAGTATGCCTACAGTGCTCTTAAATACCACAATTCATTTCCCGCTGTTTTCACTCGTCCCCACCATCTAATATCAGCAGCAATTTGCCATAAAAACCCTTTTTCCGTGGGTAATTTCCCGTCCTCCTCCTTCCGATCACAAGACGCCAATTTCCACGGCAGGGTTGCCCTCTTCCAGCCATCTCCATCTCCCCCTCCTTCCCATCTTCCCTATTCATGAATTGTGTGAGGCCCTATCCCTATTAGTAAAGTAACTCCGCACTCCCACCAACACCAGCCACCACTCGCAACATCACCATAGAAACCCGGCGCCCCCAGATTCTCTCATTGAAATTAGGCGGTCACCAAAAAAATGTTGCCTCGAATTGTTTGGCCAAGCCAGTTTCACTCCGGGCCCAACTTGACGTGTTAGCCGAATTATAGCCCATTTTGGGCCGGAGTGATAAGGAGGTGTGTGCCTATTGACAAATTCCAAGCGTTTCCGCTTTTCTTGTGATTGCTTGCGAGTGAGGAAACCGGAAGAGTCGGTGATGAAAATACTTAGTGGTTCAGATTTGCAAAAAACCAGTCAACCGTGAGTCTGAGGGCCTGTTGTTTTCAGTTTTCCCCTCTGAACGCGATGCCTCCCGGCAAGATCTGCCGTCCCGGAATTCGTGCGCAATTAAAGGCAAGTGGAAAGCGAGGGCATGGCCCGGAATGCCTTCCTCCGTTTGCCAAGCTCTTCGAAGGGAAGGAGGACCTGCTTCCGAAAAAACCTCCCCCTAGGCCACCAGCCATTGAAGAAAAGCGGCCAAATTGTCGGCCAGAACTGGCCGCCCGGCATTTGCCCGCAAAAAACATGCCATACCTTTGAATAAGCGATAATTGAATGGTTGTAAATGGTGAGTAGGTAGGCCCTTCTGACCCCGTGGACCAGGAATTCAATGCAAAATGACGTAAGGGGAAAGCTTAGCGCCTGGCGATGACATTGTTGAGCTGGTTTTTTTTTGGTGGAAGAGGGATTGCATGACGGAATGGCGAGATTTGAGATCGCAAAAATGATGCGGGAGCAAGGTGAAAACAAAAGCAAGGCAAAATAAAACTCGTGAAAAGCTTATCGACTAGGAAATAAGAATTTCTGCAATTGGCGCGTTCCTTAACCCGGGAATAAACAAAACAAGCTTAAAATATCTTCTAAATCTGAAGACAACAGCTTTTTTGCCGGATAGTCGGCTGCTCTTTTTGGCCTTTTTGACATGGCGTCGCAAAATGATAGCGCTGGTATGCGAGAAATCATGGAAATCTTGATTTCGCTGCGATAATTAGATTTTCTAGTGTACATCTCTTGATCTAAAAACAGCGCTACGTTGTACTTTAAATTTAATGATCTAGTTAAATTACATAAAGGTCCGCCGATAACCAGGAAATTCCTTAAAACCAAAAAAACGAGTACAAATCAGCGTTTCTTTCATCTTTTTTTTTCTACGAAGCCAGCTGATTCTGAATTCGCCAGACTTACTACCTTTTCTTCAAAGTATATTTCGTTTTATATCACGAATGATCAAGCAGTGGGCCTTAAAAACAAGAACAGTTTTAAACCATTTTTCACACTTAAAGTGCAAAAGTAGAAAATGAAGCTAGCGACACCGTTGGAAAGCCATATTATAGGCCATACATTCGCAATACAATAAACACTTACCCAAGAAGAGGGAGGCAGAAGCGGACGGCGCGAGAAGCGCGGCGGCGAGTAGCACGCGCCAGCGCCACATCCCTGTCCGGAGGGGAGAGTGGCCGCCAGGGGCCCACAGGTCCCCCCTTCCTCCCCCTCCTCAAGCGCCCGCCCCATCGATCCAGATGACGTAAGCCTTCTCCCTTCAGAAGACACCCCTCCCTTCCCTCCCTCTTCTTCCATTCTCTTCCCCTTCTCTGACCAGTCCTCTTCTATCGCTAGGCCCCGAAGCCCTCAGGGCCCTTTCCCCCTCATACTCTCACAAACACCAAACCCACTCCAATTCGGCAACCCAATCCAGGCGGTCGCGATTAAAATATGCACGAAAAACGACTTCACCCCCTCGCGCCACGAGAGCCGCCCAATTCCGGTCGACGACGCAAACAAGCTGGCGCTCAATTTTGAGGACTCCTGGAAGATGGAGCAAATCTGATCAAAAATTCTGATATTTTCCGATAGATAAATTTTTATCTTCAAGGGGGAGAGAATTGAGATTGAGAGAGACATAGTGAGACAGAGAGAGGCAGAGAGAGACAGAGAGACAGAGAGAGACAGAGAGAGAGAGACCGGGAGAGAGAGAGAGAGAGAGAGAGAGAGAGAGAGAGAGAGCGAGAGTGGGCGCGTGGCGAGATACGAAGACGGAGGCAGTGACAGTGATAACTGAAGCAGAGGCGGGAAGCAAATGGTAAAAGTGTTACATATACAAAAAACACCAACACACGATCATCAAGTTTCAGGTGTTACGCAGTTATTTCGCAGACAGTCACGATAAATTAATCCCCCGACTTTAGGGCTTCAGTACAATACACGAAATTCACTCCCAATTTAAGGCTTCTGAATTTCGAAAAATTCCCTGAAAAGTGCTTGCGGCCCACCTAATTGCGTTAAATTAATCCGCCTAAACGATCCGTAGCCGTAGGCCTGTCATCTCGTCGCGTAAAAAATTGGCGTAAAGGAGGTTGACAACTGCTGGGGCCATGGAGCTGCTCGGACGGCTGTCTCGGGGTGGAAAAGCAGGGCTCATGCTCACCTCTGTTTATACATGCTCACCCCGTTCCTTCCCGACCAACCACTTACACAATCCTAAGGACCACCGGCTACTCTTAAAGCTATTTCGTAGCATTTTCGACTTATGGTTTTCAGATTTTTATGGACTGCCCATGAATTTGAAATTTTTCATTTATTGTTTGATTCAATTTCGAAAAGTTTGCATGCTAGCCAAACTTCTTCGACTTAATTTATATTATTTTTTAGCTTTTTTGATAGGATGGAGAAGCTAACAGCCCGAAATCAAAATAAAACATGTTCCAAAATGCGACCATCATCTAAGGCAAGTTTCTAAACCTTTTTAAACCCATTTTGCATTACCTTACATGTCCGATTTCATTCATCAATTTCAGACAACCGGCACCGTGGTTGCCTTCCTCCTTGCAATCAGCGAATTCTCATTAGCCGCTATGGAATATTGGCTATCCGGGTTCGTGCTTTGATCTCTTCGATTCTCCGATTCCAAGAGGGGGCTATTTTTCTCCATTTCCAATGCCTTCGTGCCCTCGGGCAATAAGCATGGTTTCCCCTCCTCATCTGGGCCGTTTCTTCTTTCAGCGAGAGCGGCCTCATATCCAGCTTCTCCATGGCAATTTTCGTGGTTCTCGGGCTGTTGGCTGCCCTCTATGCTGTGGGAGCGTTGAAGGATAAAGAATGCCTAATGCTGCCACTTATCACCCTGCAGGTCGCCGTCTTTTCTGCCTTCAATTTTCACACCCACCAGGGGGATGGAAGAGGGAGGGATGAAGGCAGGATAAATTCAGAAAAAATGACGGCCCAAGGGGGGGTTTGGGGTCTTGAATTAGAAATATTAATGTGAAATGGTGGCGAACACGGAATCATCAAAAGATGAAAAGGTGGCTGTCAAAATCTGCGATTAGCCTGGTCGACAAGAGAAAATGATTGGAAAATGGACCCTGGCTTATAGTCCTATCCTATAAGCGAGAAAAGTATGTGTGTTTTCTGTCCGGGCGGTTTCTCGGCCGTCAGGCCGAATATCGCGCTGATTTTTGGCATGGAGGTGAAGAAACACATTCGCCAAAAACGGTTTTTTGGATTTTTTGAAATTCCTTCATTTAACAATTTTACAAGCAAAAAAGTGAAAATCCTTAACAAAATGGGCGACGAGCCGTGGTGTTCGGGCCATAACTCGAAGTACTGATGGAATTTCGGTATGTAATTTGGACCACTTATGTATTCGATGGTGGGGATCACGCGCATCTCATTATTTTTACAAATTTTCGGCGCATTCAGACTAAAAAAAGTTAATTTTGTAAAGTTACCAGAATAACCCCGACCGGGCGTGACCCGAACCCCCCCCCGGCAGAAGAGGCCTTTCCCGCCACCCGTGTGGTATAGTGGCATGGCGCCCGGTCTACCACGCCCATAGTCGAGGGTTCGGATCCTCGGCAAATTTACCTTTTTGCTTTTTGATATTTCAACAACAAAACTTATTTCGAGACTCTCGGTATCCGAAGTTTAGGCCAGGCCCTCGCTCTAGCGCCGCAGGTCAAAAAAAGTCCCTTGGCCCTGGCTCTCGCGCCGCAGGGCAAATGCTAGAGAAAAACCAGTAGCTAGCGCCGCAGGCCAGAGAATGGTTCCTAAAGTCAGGCTCTTGCGCCGCAGGCTTGAAAACGGAAGGAGATTATATGGTTCCTAGACGGGGGCCAGTGGAAAAGGGCCGCGAAGCGGACATTTTCCACTGGTTTACACATAACGCATGTTTTCGGATTACATGGAACCGGGATTTCAATATGTATTATGAAAAATGGAAAAAAGATACGAAATGAATCAAACACACTTATTAAAATATTCAATTTCAGATCGTACTTTGTGCGTTTCTGGGTCTATTTATCATTATATGGTGGATAGGAACAGTTTTGTCGCTGTTCGATTTGGTGCACTATAGCAGCCCTACAGGTAATTTTAATGATTATAATACGCCTTCTATAACCCAATTTTTCAGCTTATTTGACGACAAAAGAATTCTTTCTACTCGCTGGAGTTCTCCTTCTCATCCTATTTTTTATAGCATATCAAATCTCCCGGATATTATACAAGGTACGACACTGGGCAACACTAGAAATCCATACTTTAGGGAATGAGAAGCGTTGAATTGAATTCATACTTTAAACAACACGCTGGAGCAATAATGACGCGATCCCTTTCTTTGAGCACCGGAAAACCGACTGAATTATGATCCTAGTATGATTGACCGATTCACTTACCAAAGATCTGTGCTTTAATTTATGGAATTTACGCACGTTCAATACTATGTTGTACATTTTTTATCGAACTGCCTCACATCGCTTTTTTCTTTGTAAATATTTGTACCCTGTTGTTTATGGAATAAACGAAGTTGCATAAAGGAAGGTTTTTTGGTTGCTTGCCAAGTCAGCGACGGGCTCTATTTGGCCAAATCCTGGCAGTCGGTGGAACCTAATTTGAAGGAGCGGGGGGGGCGAGAAAAGGGGGAATGGTTGTGAAGGACATCTGCCGGATTCGATTAGAGTGCGTGGAGTTATGGAATTTAGGAAAAGAATCTGGAGTTGAAATATTTAGAAGTGGATGGGGTAGGAAAGGACATCTGGACTTCCGGAAATGAATAAGAATAAAACGACTAATTAAAATGCTATTCGTTTATAATTTGATTTATTCTAATAAAAGCGTAAGGCTTTTACTCTTTTAAAATATTTTATCAGAGATCCGCGAAGGAGTGGTTATTTTACGAGCAAACCAGATCCCGAAACTCTGAGGTAAAATTGATAAATTTGCTCAATCGCATCGATTTTACCACTATAAACTTCATAAAACTCTTAATGGCGAGGAGTTATATTCAGGAAACGCGACAATTAATTCGAAACTTATATAATCAAAAGATAAACATGCTCATCAGGCCTCTGGGAGCAATTTGCAAAAATCCCGGGGCCAACGCGCCGGTTCGTCAGGATTTACAAAAGCGTTTTTATAATAAAATCTCGTTTTCCTCAATTAGGCCACCGCTTAGCATGCCGATTCCGTTTCCCGACCCGTAAAGGTGGCCGGAGAGTGACTCGCCCCCAATGTCTCACGCACCGGCTCCCGATCGTGGCTGGCTACCCTCGTTCATTCTTTTCTGTTCCTCTCTTCGCCATCCTCTCCCCTACAGTCCGAATTCGGGAGTGCGTATTCTTTTGGAGGGTTTGGGAAGAGTGGGAGGGATGGTTGGGAGGTGAGGGCGAGGCTGGGAGACGGTGAGGAAGACGACCTTGACGGAGACCCTCCACCTCCCGGTCACCAATTCGAATTATAGATTTTTATCCTGGCCGCGCCGTAACTGTCCTAGTTGTTGTCGATCATTGATTGGTATTACTATTTATTATCTTCGTGACAGTTTAAAAAAATTAACTTAATATATTGCAGCTTAGTCCTAGTTAATCTAAATTTTATCCTCCTTGTTACGGAAAATTTATATACAACGGAACTTATGGCAATCGAAAGGCCGCGAAGCTGTTATCCATTAAAAAAGAGTCGAAGACCACAATAACCTCAACTTTATCAAAACATTTACAAACCAATTTTACTTCATAACCACAAAATACAAAATACAAATGTTTCTCTTCGCACAACTATCAACCATCAGGCCACGTCTCTCACGTTCCGATACCATACAAGTTTCTCCCCCCCCCCCTATAACAAACCCTTCTCTCCTTCTCTCCCACCCCCCTAGACACCCCACTCCCTGTAATCGCATGCACAAAATTAGCATCCTGAAACGGTCTCACCCTCCCTATCGATCTCTCCACCCTTCGACAGTCCATGAAATTCCCCCCAAGGTCCCCCATTACAACATCATTTTTGCCATCAAACCTTCAAAAGTTCAACCCGAAAAACTAGCCCCAATTTACAGTTGCTCCCCGTCTGGGCCCTTTCCCAATCCCCCTCTATTTGGGCATGGTTCCGACGAAAGGCCCTCCATTCCCCCCTTTGCATGCATTGTCACCTTATTTATCCACTTCGATTCAGGGCCACCGAAAAATTCGACCTCGACCATGAGCGCGCGCGGGTCTGACGACCGAGAATCGATAATCCCCACCTCACACTCACATCGATAGTTTTGAGCGTCGCATTTGGAGGAACTAGTTTTTCGCACTCCACGCGCATCGTGCTCGGCCCACCTCGACTGCACTGAACTGTGAATTCGGCTTTGCGTCATGTCGTATTGGGATGGGCTTAGGCTTAGGCTTAGGTGCACCTACATTGGGTGTAGGTGTTGAGCAATTGGCAGCTTGTAAGTTGTAAATTTACGTTTTTCAAGCTTGTTGAGCTTGAACTAATTTTTTGCAAGGTTAATCACCAACAGGGTTTTTGGGTCCAGTAGATCCAATCGTAATTTTGTCAGATGTAATTAGGCCACCGACTTTTTTGTGCTTTAATGAATTATAATGGATTAATGAAGAGCTGCATATCGTCCTAATAAAACTAACAATTTGATATACCTTGTATATCATCTCCAACGATCTCAAAGCAGAATTTTTTTAAATTCTGGCTTTCCCGGCAACAATATTTATCCCGTGCAGCTAAAGTCTTTAACTTAACAGCTTAGATTTTTATAACTTTTAAATCGGATTTCTTTATTCGTTATGATTGGTCTCGACCCTTTGATAATTCAGTAATTATCAAGAGCCTCTATATTCCAAATTCCACTCCATCGGATTCGCCCAATCAATCCCAATAATTTCGTATGCATACCCCCGGAATTGGATCAATTGTAGGCCACTAAAACGACCTCCACGAGGGCGATATCCATCGAACTAGTACAGGTGCGAAATGGCCTTCTCTTGCTCCCCTCCACCATGGTAGATCCATCTATCCATCCAGAGTGGAAGGTTGTGGATGGGATGGGTGCATGTGGAAGAGGGGCACTGTGACCTAGACACAAAGGTGATGCGCGCATCGAATAAATGTCGACGACCCTTTACGATTTATTCGGGCTCCTCGGGGGCTTTTGTATCGATCTCGTGAGGGAAGTGAGGGTTGACCTATTGAGGTGGAGAGGAGGAAGAGGGGACGGGAAGTGGTCAATTCACACTTCGAAGTTTTCGTCATAAGTTTTGGCCCTTTTACATCTGAGGTCGGCGCTTAATACGATTGTTATAATTTTTACCGTATTTTAAAGATGTAGCACAAACCTTCTATTCTTTAAATGCCCCCGAATGTGGAAATTTTTCGAGGGACCGCTCCAATTAACAAGGCTTTAATCCTTAAAAATCCAAATACGAGTTTAACTATTTTTCAGCCGGAAAGCTACAGTATTTATCTGATTTTTTGATCCCAGATACTGTTTTTATTAGGGTATTATTATATGTATGTACGGTATTCCTGGGTTGATGGATGCCAGTTTCCAAAAAATACTGAGCAGGTTGCAAACAATATTATTTACGCCGAAAAATACGGCCTTTTTAAAATGAATAAAGCGGTTCATGAGTTTGTAAGCTCGCCTTAAGCCATCATTTTCCTTAATCCTTAATTGCCTCCAACTATTGCTAACTTTTACCTCTCAATTCCTGCTCCATTTTTAACGATAAAAAAACTTGAGCCTCGTTGCCCCGTCGAGTTTCCCGATTTCATTTGGTCGTTGTTTTGTCGTGTGATCCGCTACGGGCGACCCGTTTCCGGGGCAGCACTGTCATTGATTCTCCGCGTTTTATTACGATTTTATGTGAGAATCGGCAGTAGCCTTGTTAGGAGGCGCTGTAATTCGCTGGAATTTTTCGGAAACAACAGATTTCATAATACTTCTTATATCATGACTTTTTCCATTTAAATAGTAACTTTTGTACGTTCAAGTTAGCTAATAGCTATTAGGCACTGTTTCCGAATGCCTGAAATTTTTACCCTAGGCTTTATGCGCTTTCATGCTGACTTATTATACGTTTTCGATGTCGATACATAACCAATAATTTAATAGGGTCCCAAAATGATCGGTGTGATCGCGCCCTATGTGGCGAAGATCCGCCGCTCCTACCAGTCGAACGACATCATTGACCGATTAAACTACCACTACACGGCCCTTATTGTGATGATCGGTGCCATTACGCTGGCTGCCACGCAGTACGTCGGAAAGCCCATTCAGGTAAGGATATTTCACCTAAGCTGCCGTATTAAAAGCTTTATTCAACTTAATTCACTCTTTAAAAGTAACATTTTAGTGCTGGGTCCCTGCCCAATTCACTGGATCTTGGGAGAGGTAAAAAACCTTCGTGAAATTTGAATAATATCTAATTAGATACGCTGAAACCTTCTGCTTCATCAAGGGTAGCTACTATCTCCCTATGGATGACAACATTGGCAGCGATTTCATCGAGCGGGATGACGCCGTAAGCAACAATTAATTTATCAGAGATGAAAATGTCTTTCTAGGTTATTGGCTACTATCAATGGGTCCCAATTGTGCTTGCCGTACAAGCTTTCCTATTCTACTTGCCCTCCCTCGTGTGGAAGGCACTGAATTTTAATACTGGTATGTATGTCGTCAACTATGGAAGTCTATTGTTAATTCAGGAATTAATGTTAAGTCAATTTTGGTATCAGCCGCCCAGATCAAGAAGAAAATCGATAAGGAATCTCGAGACGACCAGGTATATTAGGGTAATATAATAAGCAAATTCTGCTAAATTTTAGGTAAAACGCGCTGCTCATCATATTGAAGAGGCTCTAGATATGCAGCGGGAACTAAAGAGCGGTAATACACCCATAGAAACGTCAATTAGATTGTTTTAGATTCGTGCGATGTAGTCAAAAGATGGCGAAAATCAGGGCGCTACCTGTCTTTCCTCTACATTGGTGTAAAGCTGCTCTATGTTTTGAACATTTTTGTTCAATTCGCGATCTTCAAGGTATGGGATTCTTAAAGTCAAAACCAACTGAATTTAGATGTTCCTTGGAACGAAGAGCAGTTTCTGGGGTTGGGAGGTCCTCAACGACATCCGATCCGGTCGTGAATGGGAAGAAACCGGCAATTTCCCCCGTGTCACAATGTGCGATTTCAATGTAAGTACATTTTAACTATCTTTATAATATGGAAAGGTTGTGGAGTCTGAATACCGGTATTCGAAAACCCGGCCATGCAGTTCTGCATTATTTTCGAAAGTGCACCTAAACAAAATTTGCCGTAAAATCAAAAGACTAGCAAACTTTTTCTTGACACTTCGCATTTTCATCCAAGCCATTACGGCTAGCACAAAGAATATGACGGCCGGGAGAACGAAACAGGCGACGGCGATCCACATTTCTGACGTTTCGCACATCGTTTAAATCAATTATCATGACTTTTCTCTTACCTATCAATCTCTCGTAAGCATGATCATGAATAACAATAAGAGTATGTTCATTCTTAAACATAGCTTTAGGAAATATAGACGAAGCTTCGCAGGGAGAGTTAAACCCCTGAGACCTAGTGTTCCCACACCAAATTCGATTGTTCTCATTTTACATGGCTGCTGAGGGCGGGGATACCTCAAGAGAAAGCAAAGACAACCTGATTGAGATCCACTAACGTTTCAAGAGTTCAAATACACAGCTTAAAATGAGGAAGCCGCCTGGAAAATTGGAAAGGAAAGGAATGGACTCTAATTTTCAGGTACGTGTTATGGGGAATCTACATCGCTGGACTGTGCAATGTGTTCTGATGATTAACATGTTCACCGAGAAGATTTACGTGTTCTTATGGTAGATTAAAAGATTAAATAGTCAACTGAATGCCCTTATTTAGGTTCTGGTTCCTGTTGGTCGGCGTCTTCTCCGTTGTCTCGCTTGTCTACTGGCTAGCCTCCCTGGTGATGCCAAGCAGCCAACGGGAATTTGTCTCAAAGTTTGTAGTCATAAAATTTTATTTATGAAATTTTCAGGTATCTCCGGTGTAACGGTGCTATCCCTGAATCTTCCGGCAAAGATGATGCTGAGGTGTCAAGATTCGTGAAGAATTTCTTGACACCAGACGGTGTTTTCTTATCCCGTCTGATTCAGGTATACATTAATTTTCTAGTTTCATACTTTTGATTCAGACAAACGGAGGGGACCTCCTCGCTGGCGAAATTGTCACCGAGCTCTACAAAGCTCATCAGCGACGCCAAAACGTATCCATCGATTCCCCGAACACCTCACAATAATTAGGTTCTATTGTTTTCTATAGCTCAAGAATTCTATTCAGGAATCATATATTTGAAAAGCTCTAATTGATTGTGCTGGGATTATAACTATGATAGTTTGATATGTCGATTCCATTCGAACCCTCACTTTCCGTTCCTGCCCTATCCTTCTGTGATCTTCAAGAGATGCTTTGAATTGTCGTCATCGTCCTTGTTTGGAAATGTGTCCCAGGAATAAAGTCTTCACCAGGTCGCATGCCTGGCTTATCCATCTATTCAAATACACCCCCTATCCTAACAATGGCACCTTACACGGCATTTTATTGCCGTTCTTTGGTGGGGGCATCTATAAAAAAAGGAAAACCTGACAGGAGGGATCACTGAAACTCAGCATGACAAAACTTCTACAGCTAGCTGTTGCCATTTTATGCTTTGCCCTAGTATCAGCTGTCGAGCTTGGTAATCTTGTAATCCTTTCCATTATCACCCTTCCAGACCTCATTTCCAAAAAGCACGATGAAGCTCAAGCTCTCGGTGTCCAACTTGAAAAGACCTCTCAAATCGACCTGAACAAAGAAGCCATGACATTTGCGAAAAAATGTGAAGCTGACTGCCAAGCAATCAAGGCCAAACTTGACAAGCTCCTACCAGACCTAATCTTTGACGTTCAAGAAGAGTTGCACAACGCAAAACCAGAAAGTTCTGAGGGGCAACTCTTCCATAGCAACGTACGTTATACTTTCAGGTTATTTTTTATCAACTAGATTTCAGGTCACCGCTTGGCTCCAAGGGATTGTTACCAAGCTTCCAGTGGAAAATATTACTGGTATTTAACAATGAAATACTAATTTTTTAGATTTTCTCACTGATATGTTCACATTGAACCGCCATTTCTACATCCCGTATCTTTCTCATGCGGAAATCCTGATCTCATATGCTCAATTGATCAAATCGAGGAACGATAAGGCTTTGGTTCAGCTCTTTGGGATGTTGCCTTGGTAGGGGATTCAAATCGCTCGTTTTATGCGTGTTTAGGTGCATTGGAGATACCTATAGTATTGACTGTGGAATTCGGAATAAGAAACAGATGGTCTGGAGGGTGGATGCGATGTGTATTGTCTCAAATGGAAATTTTTCCAATTGCAAGGCGTATATTAACAGAGGAGCTGGGATTGCCTGAAATTATAAATTATTTTTACCTTTATGCTATGAAATCTTTGCTTGATAATAAATTTATTGGAAGAGAATGATACTGGAAAGCTACAGATAGTTAGGATACACGATTGGCCGTTTTTGCGTGTTTTGTAAGGTATATTTGAATTGAATTGATTAATTGATTGGGCTGCTGTCTTATCATGCTTCATAAGAAGTGGAAAGGAAGTTCTTCAGTTGCGAACCGTGATTTTTGCGCGAAAACCGGCTTGGCTAATAGGTTGCTGCCCTGCATTCGCCATCCTCTTCCTCACCCCCTTTCCCCCTTTCCCCATGACGATCAATACCAACCACCTCCTTCTCTCGCTTCAGCACTTTATATAGCTCTATGCTAACCCCGCCTCTATTTTTCAAAATTTATTTTTATAGCCATATACTCCAATTTTAGCTGCCAAAATTGCGTCCGATGGTGTAAGAAAGATTCTACTAATCTCAGGGAATAGGTAAGCAGTTTATACTTCGGTATTAGAAATACCGTACGGTAGATTTTAAGTAATTGCTATTCCTCGAGGATCACTTTAGCAACGTTATTTTGTGTTTTTCAGAATGGATACCACAGACTCGTTTCTGTCAGCGGATTTTCTGAAGTTTATTGCATTTGCGTGTCTCATCGAACTCTTCTGGCCTACCATCTCCGAAATGGCAACCGGAGCTATTAATCTATTTTGCATGGGTCTCTTCGGCTTCATCAAACAACGCATATAAACTGCATCACAAAGGTTTTTAACTCAAATGCATATATTTTGCTACCTGTGATATCGTGAGCCGGCTCAGAATAGATAAAATTTTATTGGAATCAGTTAAAGTTGAGCACCATGGTATATCGTTAAAGCACCATTCAGATCTGGGGGGTATTATGGCAAGGCAATTAAAGCTGAGAAGGAGCGAAGTGAAAGACAAAAAAAAGGCACATGTTGAAGTGAGGCATAAAGATAAGGCTTAGCACAAACATAAATTTAGTATTTAAAATTCATTTTCTTCATTAGCAGGTTCGGGGTCAAGCTTGGGAAGGCAGCTGAGATCCCCACCACGAAGGACTCGATGTTGGCAGACCTCTCCCTTAAAAGATGGATAAAACCTTTAAAGAGATTCTACACTAACCATGAAATTCCACCCCTTCTTCCAATACCAAGTCTCAACCACATCTTCATACTGCTCTATGATTGTCTCACAAATACGTTGCAACTCGGCGATTTCAACGGATGGTTGATCCCAGAATTCCGGAGGAAGACCTAGTTCCACCTAAATATTTTGCGATCAGAAGTTTATGACTTTGCCATACTTGAACTCCTTGTTCTCGTAACTTCTTCAATCCCTCCATCGTTTGACTATCTTGCTTCTGGAATCTGGCCAACCCTTCGTGCTCCTTGTGCAATCGGTAGGCGATCAAATTTTTGCAGATATTATCCATTCCCTCGACCATATGGGTTTCCGATCTCTACAAAGATAAAATAGGCAACACCACCTTTTTTACTTTTTCGTTTTCATAAGATAATCATCAAATTCTCTTCCCAACAGCACGCAGGTCTCACAGCGGGTGGGAAGATACTGGTCTTGGGCTCGGATCGCCGGCAAAATTGCCACAAGTAAGAAGCACAGCATGGTTCTGAAGTTATTTTATTAGTAGTTATATATAATAATTGCGTTTTATTGAGGAGATAATATGTCAGTCATACGACTGTTTGTCTTTTAAATTTCTTTGATAAATATATTTTATTACAAAGTTACAAAATTGTCTGTTCTAACAAAATTTCGCTAAAATCGTTCGGCGCCGGCTGAGTGAATTCGGTGAACTTTACATCCAAAATAGCTGAATCATCAACGAAGATGGCTGGGAAAATCTAGAAATCACCTAGTTAGTGCAAACTATAAAAACCATACCTTTCCACGAATTCCGCTAATTCCATCACCAAGCGCACTACCATTCAAATAAAACCGCAACTCGATATGATCATATGTTAACCCCTGGAAAGAAATTCCCAGGAATAAAAATCAATCCTTACGATTGAATCTCCTTCCTCGATCGGCTTATCGATTTTTGTGACGACTTGCCCGTTAGAGACGACTTCACCCTTTTCATTAATGCCCCAAAAGGCTGTCCCCGGTGGGACTTGATTTAGGGCACATTCTGATGTCGCTACGCCAATGCACCAGGTTCCTAAACGATCTTTTAGGATCCTAAACGACTCAACAAACCTGTTTGCTGGATATCCACTTGCCAATAGCTTTTATTTTGGACGAGTGGAGCTGTGCAGAGCGCTGATCCGGTACCACAAATCCGTTCTCCTTCCTTGAGGATAATTACATCGCTTCCTGAAATCAATGGCTGGGTTACGGTAGCATTTTAGAAGAGATTATTTGTTACAGAAATTTCTAAGTTTCTTAATTTATGAATGAGATTTTTAACTATACGCAACCAACCTGTCTTATTAACATCCAACGCAACCGCCGGCTCATTTTTCATCCGCCGATAATACGCAGCTTCCGTAAAACTTGGCCCCTGGACACATTCTAGACAAGCCCGGAAGCACCACGGCAGATAATTCGTCATTCTGAATCTGAAGTCCAAGCGCGTTGGCCAAGATCACAACGCCGCAATCTTAATAAGACGATTAAAAAGTGTCATAGAGAGTACGTGAGCGCGTGGGTCCAATGGGGAAAGGAGCCACTCGGAGGCCACTTGGGATGCCTCAAAGATCGTGGGGGTTGGGGTCACAACAACATAATAAGAAAGATTATCGTTTCTGGGGAGAGAATCATGAATATAAATGCACAGTAAGAATATGAATGGCAAAATACAAAAGTAAGATGCATAGTTGATGTTGAATGGAGTCTTTTCGTGCAAACTGTATTTAAAAGCTGGTAATTTTGGGTGGTGAACAAACGTAGTAGGCTACAATCATCATTCGCACGGGGTTTTCAATTTGAATGGTCCAAAAAAATGCACCCGACACGACAATAACCGTCTATAAAATCTTATACCAAAATGGGGCGCTGGAAGGCAAGATCGAGTAAACTTTATACACTTTATCGAGATAAAAGGAAATTTCAATTTCAACAACATATTCTATAGAAAAAAACACCTCCTACCAAATACTCTAATATCCATGAGCTATGGGGCCCTGCAATTGGCACCAATTATAATTGTAAGTCAGGTCAGACCGTTGCATAACTCAGGGGTCACCGTCTAGACGCGAATGGACCAGTCTGGGGAGCATGCCATCCAAAGATCATGAACATCATCCTATTCCAATGTCTTTTTATATTTTTCAACCCAATTTCATCATCCGTCGATTGGACTCGCCTAAAGCGATTCCGGGAAATGGAGCTCTATCATTCTATTGGGGTCATGCTCGGTTATACAGATTATATGACCTATGATTCTTTGGTGGGTGAAATTATCTATACTAGAAAATATGTATCTTATCTTCAAGACAAGCTAAGATGACATTAGCTACATTTTTAGAAAGCGTTGGATGAATGGAGAGCGAAAAACCGTGTAACGGTTTTTAGCCAGTTAGGACGTGGATTCGGTCCTGGTGCGGTCTTTTCCTATTTAGAATGGATGGTGAATAGCCTTAAAATTTTCTTTGAGCTTTTATATCCTTAGAAAGAAGATCCCTATGATTATGATTTCCTGGCAGCATGGATCCATCTAAAAATCGAAGGCTTCTCCACTTCCCGAAACTACCTTTTTTGGCAATTTCCGAACGTTGGTGTAATACGCGTCGTAGATGCCATGACAGAATTATCCGTGGTAAAATCAAACCGTAAAATGGACCCAAATTTAGAACGTTGTATGTCAAGATAGATATAGTCAAAACGAAGACCTGCAATATATCTCATCGTGCTATGTGGGAGATGCGGAGAAGTAAGATCCAAAAATCTAAATAAAAATTGCGCTTAGGTTTCTACGCGATAAAAGAAAACTCTACGTCCAGCCACTATTCGACTTTGACTTTGAGCAGCCAATATATGTTCGAGTATGATAGCTCGTTTAGAAAATAATTACTCTTTAGGAAGCATTTATAGATATAATTGCCCGAAAGAAGGGTCGGCCTTGTAATGAGGTAACGAATCCTCGGAAGAAGATAGAATTTTCGTTTAGACATGTGTACTCACACCGCTGGCAATCCGGAACCATCCTCTACTCAGTCCTTCGTTGGTTGATGTTCGCGTATGTCTATTTCTGAATAATACATTGGTACGGTAATTTTGGTATCTTTTTTTGTATCGTTTTAGAACCAAGAGCTTCTGAATCCTAATCTGCGATGTGTGGATTCATCTCGTAGTGGATTTGATGTGCTAAAGGCTCGTTCTGCTGGCGAGAAATTTATGTTTCATGTATGGTGTTTTTGATAATCAAGCTATGGTGTTTAGGACCGTGTACCATGGTTGGTCTACGATGGATGCAAATGTTTGGACTTTTCATGAAAACGATCGGCCGAATTGATTGTTTATTGACTATAAAAATGTCCGAAATACAAGATTGAGCGTTATTCCAAAAATATATGCAAAAAATTGACAATATTTTAAATACAAATTATTGAATTTAAGACGCTATTCGTTTCTTTAAAGGGGCCAGGAAGGTAAAACGAGTTTTGGTTCTAAAATTAGCATAAATCTTTTTCCGTGCATTTGTTGCATACGTATTTCCGGTCGGCCGGCTGCCAAAAAGAAGAACCCTGATCTACTAGACCTTTGAGCTTCTCGTCTTTAACCTATCGTTATTTATAGATTTTTCATACTATCAAATTATCAACTTCCATGATAGATCTGAAACGAATATGTTTAGCTAGCGTGGTCTCGTAGTCCAATCCCCCCCTTCCGCCTCCAGGCTTTTTGGTGCTAGCTGTCATGTGAATGTTTGCGGGTGTCCCCCACCCTTCCACACCTCCGTATTTAGGGAAGTGCCCGTCGGCAATCCGCCATCCTAACACGGCACTCTCACGTCTAGCTTTCTAACCAAATACCCCATGATAATCCGGACACCACTTACCCTGCTAATAACCCTATTCTACCAAATCTATGCCGATTCCGTCACCTCACGTTTCCGGTCTTTATCTGTTATGTTCAAAGATATTGCATTAGGTAATTCACCGCCCCAACTCCAACAACAACCCCTTCCTTTATAGATAAATTTGTTGCTTCCGAATTCGATTACGATCGTTTCCTCCAAACTGCGGATAAAAATGCCGAAAAATTTGTGCCTTTCCAAGACTCGAGCAACGATACTTACTTCCGGGTAGGATTGTGGGTACTTAACAAATTTAACATTCTATATACAATTTCCTACACTCCTCCCCCTCCGCCTATGACTGTCATTTCAGAATTCCTATCGATGTGCTGTCTAATTCAAATGGGAGCTTCAGGATAGATCGCCATTCGCTCGAGAACTACACAAAACATGATTTTGACAAAGAAATGCGAGACCTGAAAAAGAAGCCCTGGATTCCGGTCAAGCGCATAAAAGAAGAGCTCACAAATTGCCTGCACATGAAATATGGGAGCATCAGTGAAAACGATTTTATGGTATGCTTTTATCATACATCATGGCATGTTTCTCACATTTTTAACTTATTATTAGTATTTAGTACGACAAAGGGATCTATGGTTGGATGAATGTCATGAAATTTTCCTGCGCATTAGTTGGAGAACATTTCTATGCTTTTGGGATGGCATTTTCAAAGACGAGGTTTCGTCTGAAACAAATTCTATTGAAGCGGCAACAGAGGTAAATTCAAGTTCAGGAAATTATAATTTTTGCAAGTTCCAGCTTTTGGTCGACATCAGGAAGGAGTATAGTTACAAGAGATGTACAGAAAATTGTTGATTCATTTTCAACAAGATTTGCTGCCTCGGCGCAACGGCGTTTTGATGCGGAATTGAGTAAGATCGCAGAATCGACCCCAGATTTTGATGGTAATTTTGTAATTCGTTCAAAAATCGTGTTTAGGCAACGCTTTCGTGAATTTGAATGATAAGTTCAGGAAGCATATCTCTACGCTATATCCCAAAAAATTTGATCATACTCCATTGGTGAAAAGCAAAGTGCACCAGTTTAATTCAATTGCGTTAAATGTGAGTTTATATAGAATTTATATGAAAGAAAATTAGGTTAAAACGAGGGTTATGCTGTTGAAACCAACGGAGATTTCAAATACAGTGGAAAACTTTTCGAAAGATCTATCTGATGAAGCGTGTGAAATATTAGATGATTGTCGAAAGGAGTTTTGTATGAAGAACGATACGGTAGGTACAAATAAAATATTATAAAATAGTTTCTAGATTGAATACGAGTATGTAAAGAAAAACTCACAGCATACCTTTTTCAAAGAACGAGCGGGAATTGCAAGATTAGGGCCACAGGAGGTACGTCACAATCCCCACTCCCAAATATTGCTTCGTCTATTTTAGTCGCTGATGATGTACACGATTGCGAAGCCAACCTTCAAATTTGAGATTGTCAAGCGTTCGACGAGCAAAGGATTGATGTGAGAATTGCCCCCCAAATACTCTAATTAATTTTCAGCGACTTGGAACAAAAATATGATCATTCGGCCCGGGAACTCTTCAAAGAAATGATGGAGCAACAATTTTCACATGAATTTCATATGCACCACGGCGTATTGCTAGATTGATCTCGTGAAAATGTATATAAATGTCTACGAATTTCCACCGACTCCACACTTCATTTCAGCTTTTCCTTAAAGTTCCCCTTTTCTCGTGACTCTATTGTATTAAAATCGATCGCTTTCCGCTTGTTGCTATGGTACAACTGCGAGAAAACCCTGCAGCGGGGCGAAAATAATCTCCCTTAATCCCCCGAGAAACAAGGATGGATTTGCCATCTATCGGCCCATGTAAAACCGCACAATGCGATGCCAAGGCAAATATTTGTTTGTTCCCAGTTCGCTTGAAGGCGCTTTTACACCTCGAAATCATAAGTTTCGAAAAAGCATCGTAAGATTTTGTTGCCGATGGCAATTTTGGTTTGGTACTCACAATTTTGCGCTCCGGGGTTTGTCTAATTGCACCTGTCAAGCGTGGGGAATAATTAGCTTGTAATTTGGGTTTATTGATGTTGGTAGCGAAAGATGGGCTAAAATAATGGGCTGGGTAGCGACTTCAGTACGGTATGCTAATGTCGTATCGAAAATTCGTTTCGATTACCCAATTCGCGAGGATGCAATTTCGACCTCATGGAATTTTGATTTCGAGGTTTGCGCGCTAGCTAATTGGTATGAAGCGAAAGCTCCTTCACTTCTTCTCTGAATTTCGTCGCTATATGATACCTGAGTAACTCTGTACACAAGAAAATGACAAAACTCAAGCTTTTCTTCGCATGACGAGGATTTCTCATTGTTAGGCCTCTGTTGCGGTTTGTTTTGAGTATCCTCTGACAGGTGAACACAAAAAGGCAGGACAAATTGATCGGGCCATGTCCGGCCCACCGATCCTCTTTCGAGTTTACTCAAGGCAAAGAGGCGAATGGACGATGGCGAAGGACCCGGGTCCTCTTCCTCCTCCTACCTTTCTACCCCCCCCGCTGCCCTGCATTACTTTGCTATTTGCACCCCCCACCATACAGCCACTCCACGTCTCGGAGTGTGCGCCTTCGAAAGGCCGCGCCACATCAAGCACCGACTGCGCTTTGATCAAAGCCCTTCTATCCACCCACACACATATGGTCATCTTTTTATCGCTACCTATTTAAAAAATTATCAAACTTTAGAAAATCGTCAAAAGAATCGTTAAAACATCAGATAAAAATAGCAGCCCTACTTTGGACGATTTTTCGCCTCTCTATTTCGAAAATCCCATAACTATTTCGGAAGTGAAACCACCTGGCTTTCCAAGAACTGACGCAAAACGCACACCGCACTCCCACCAGACACCTTTGTTATTCCCACATAAATTGCGCATCCAACGACCCAGGTGGCACTGTTTCCGGGCAGGTCAAAAACCGGAAATTCACTTTTTATGCCGTGGATCCGAAGCGGGTAATTGTGTTTGAGCGCCGCGCGATTCTTGTTCAAATGCTTGCTGAATTTGCGGAAAAGCCCTAGGCTTTAGAACTGGTTTCATTTTATAAAAACTGATCCTGCTGCATAGTTCTTTTTCTTCGGATTGCGAAAGGCCTCTTTCTCCTTGACCGATTATAAACATCCAATGTTTTTGAAAAAACGCCGGCTCCTCCCCTAGGACAGTGCATCCCGCCGTTTAGATTCGAAACCGTTGTTTTGCATTCCATTCCCGGGCCCATATTTTATATCGAGGCGCTAAGCGGAGGCCTTGAGATGCATTCATTTTTCTTATTGACTGCGGTGGTGTGGAGGAGAAGAGAGAGGATAGCGAACTGTACGAAGGGCTATCCAATTATCTACGTTGACAGTCGACCTTGTCGGGGTTCTTTATCGCATTAACCAATCGATCTATTTGGGCATGACTTTGCATAAATGGGCATAAAATTTAGTGTGTCCGGTATCTCAGATGTCTTCGTCTTCTAACCTTGCCCACAAACCGTTTGGCTACAGATTTGGAATCACTATTTACGCCCGATTGGCCTCGAACGGCTTTCATGCCTTGGAGTCCATAGTAACAGGGGACATTAATCCTTTTCAGCCCGTTTTTGGGGTTTCTGCTGGCCGCGCAGGGTGTTTGCTCACATATTCGTGGCCCACAACCGCCAAACCGTTCCCTTGGTGACCTGTCTCTTGCGTGTTTTTACGAAAATTGTCCCGCTAGGCTAGAAGATACAACTAGGCGCTACGAAAATTACCGGAAATGATGTTTCATCGTATTTTGGTGCACCTAACTAGAGCCTTTCTAAAAATTTTTCAAAAGCTAACAACTAAGTGTCGAAATTAGTTTGTTTGACTGCCTTTTTGATGATATAAATTAAAATTATAGCCACAAAAATCCTCCCAGCTTGAAAACTTTCGAAACCTATATAAATCTAAACAAAATTATTTCGCATTAACACGCATCGATTTAAATTCTGGCCATGATTTGGATTTTCTAAATCGATACTCTATACGCTTGCCTGCCTGATTTACAAATGAACTATAGGCATAAAATAAAATTATGACTCACAATCTTTGGCACTTCTCTCAACCGATGAACTACTAATTAATTAGTTTCAAGGCTCAATTTTTTTCCAAGCAAATCCCTGGCTGATGGCAATTTCGAGAGATTTGTAGTTTGTTTGCTCCCGCGCACTGGGCCCCCCAGTGTTGCATTTGCTGTCCTGTTGATCATTATCCAAAGAGGGACCCAAAAAGAACGAAAAAAAGAAGACGAGTGTGACCTTGAAATGGAGAACGCTTTCTTTCTTCCTTTCTCGATGTTCAAATGCTTGCCTTGCTTTTACAGCCTGAATCATTTGTGCGTCCACACTTGTGTGCCTTTCTTTTCCCGCCCTTTGCCTTTCGGACCATTATACATTTTGTAAACAGTGGCTGACGGGTTGTATCGATTAAGTCTTCTCTATTGTGCGAATTTCTGATGCGAAAAAAATGAATATGAAAGAGGAATTGAAATTCGGGCAGGGAGAGAAATGCCATACTCGCGGCGCCTATTCGCATGTCTTTTGTTCTGTCTTGCGGGGGTGATAAGCCGATAGACGAATAGTTTTTGAACCTGCCGACCCGGATGGCGAGCAGCTATAAATTTTAATTGTTTCTTTGGTATTTCCGTAAGGCTTATTTTGATGGGGGCCAATCAGGGTGTGAGGAGCAACAAAATGCATTTTTATCTTCTGGTCCATTTCGGAGATGCCGGAAATGAGATAATAGGGGGGAATTGGCCTTATGCCCTGCTAATATGTCCCATTATCTCCAAATTGGATTTTGTCTATTTACTCAATTTAAGTATGTTTTAATGCGTATTTTAACACCATTATTTAGGTATGATAAATTAAATTAAATTGTGCTCGCATACATATGAAGGAGGGTTGAAATGCTGCCGACAATCCATCAATATCTGTGTGGAGAAGATGACTACAAGGTTGGAAGCTATAAAATTAAAAAATAAATTTGAAATTTGAACAGTTTTTGCCATCTCATTGGCGCAATTCAACATTCGCTACCCTACCACACGTCACCGAATGCACCCAACATGTCGAACTCAGCTGGGCGCCCTTCATTTTTCTTCTAGTTTTTAGGTAATAACTTTAATCGAAGGACTACCCAGTTGTTTTAGTCCTTCTCTCCTACTTGATCTCTTCCGCAGCCAAAACGGAAAACTCCGAACGTTTACCCCGATTACCCTACGGATCGTAAGCGTAAAATCTTAACCTTAAAAAAGATTTCAGTATATCTGCATTGTCTTAGTGTTTGATCTCACCATTTCTCTACTCTACAACCTGGCAAATGTTATTAAAGAGGAACCGGACGCCGGAATCTATCTGTTTGGCGATATTCCGCAATATCTCGGTGAGAACAAGCCTTAAAAAAGTTATTAACTGGTTTTCTAGGAGCTTGTGCCGCATTGGTGTTCCTTTATGCATCAAAAAACCGTGGACTTGTGACATCAGGAGTCCTATTTAATTATTGGCTACTGTGCTGCCTGTGTGGATTTACGGAGTTCCGATATATTATCAGCCTGTGGTGGCATGGGGTTAGTTAGAAGCCTACTCTGTAATATTCAAAGATTTTAGGTAGAAAGTCCGGCAATCGATCAGTTCCGGTTTTTCCTCTACGCTATCGGCTATCCGCTTTACATATTGGAATTGATTCTGTCCTGCTTTGCCGATCTGCCGGAACGAAACTATGGAGGGGTTCGTTTTATTGTAAAACGATTAAAAATAAAATTTAGAAAAAAGAATGCCCGGAGATGCAATCGTCATTTCTCAGCCAAATCACGTTCAACTGGTTCACACCCTTGGCACGGCTCGGCTACAAGAAGTCCTTGGACAAGGATGATCTCTGGAATTTGAATGATCGGGATAAGACCTGGACGCTGCTGCCAAACTTCATGACTTACTTCCAACCCCAACACAAGGGTAAGTAATCTAACCACAAACTATTACCCTACAATTTCAGCCTACCAAGAAAAACGTCGAGCCGCCGGCAACTCCTTCGAGCTGAAGGAAAAAGAGTTCCCCTCCATCCTGAAGCCGATCTTCCAAACCTACAAGATGACATTTTTGGCTGCCGGGTTTTATAAGCTGATTTTCGATCTGCTTCAATTTGCCTCGCCTCATCTTTTGAAGCAGCTAATTACATTCATCCAGGTAGTTAAAGGTCGCCGCCTCAAAATTAAGCTTTATAGGACCACAATCAACCTGTCTGGGTTGGTGTTGCAATCGCCATGACGATGTTCATTGTTGCACTGCTGCAATCAATGGTAATTAGACTTCAAAATCGTTTTATAGGCTATTTTTAGGTTCTCCACCAATACTTCCACGACATGTTCCGTCTTGGCATGAACATCCGCTCGGTTTTGACATCAGCAGTCTATAAGAAGGTAGCATGACCTTTTATTTAAAGGATTATGTTTTTAGGCGCTTCTCCTATCCAACAACGCTAGGAAAAACCGAAACGTTGGAGAAATTGTTAACTTGATGACCGTGGATATCCAACGCGTTCAGGATATGACGACATTCGTAATGCTCTTCTGGTCTGCTCCTCTTCAAGTAAGTATTCAAATAACGATAATAACCACCAAATCTCTACCTTTAGGTCACCCTTTCCATCTACTTCCTCTGGCGTCTTCTCGGTTTCTCCGTCCTGGTCGGCGTGCTGATCCTCATCCTCATGATCCCCTTGAACATCTGGATCTCCATGAAAATGAGGACATATCAGGTTTTCATTTTTTAATGTTTAATGCTACCATTCTTTCAGCAAACGCAAATGAAATATAAGGACGAGAGGTTGAAGATGATGTCTGAGATTTTGAACGGCGTCAAGGTGTTGAAACTGTATGCCTGGGAAAAGAGCATGGAGCAGATGGTTTTGGAGGTAAGAACGACCTCAAAAGCTCAAGCCGATTTTTTTCAGATACGCATGAAGGAGATCCGCGTCTTGAAAGAGCTGGCTTTCCTGAACGCGGCGACAACGTTGTCCTGGAGCTGTGCGCCGTTTTTAGTCGCTGTTCTTACTTTCGGTGTCTACGTGACGGTGGACCCGGTGAACAACGTGCTAACTCCGCAAATCACATTCGTCGCCTTGACCCTGTTCAATATCATGCGATTCCCGTTGGCCATCTTCGCCATGATTTATACGTAAGAAACAAACGCTGAGAAAAACAACTAAATCTTGCAGCCAAGCCCTTCAATGTCACGTCTCAAACAATCGTCTGAAAGGGTTCTTTGCCGAGCAGGAAATGGAACCTCAGCTTCTTAATGCCAAGGATACTAGTGGTAACGATTAGCCAAAAATACAAAAGTTTTTTTATAGAAGATGCCATTCGAATCGACCAAGGAAACTTCACCTGGGAGTCATCGGAGGAAAATCCTTTGCTAAAGAATTTGAGTCTATCCATTCCGCGTGGTTCTCTTGTCGCTATCGTTGGAAAAGTCGGATCCGGAAAGAGCAGTTTGTTCAGCGCCATGCTAGGTAAAAAAACACGTAACCCTCAAAATAAAATTAATCCAGGAGAAATGAATCGCGTTGGCGGCCACGTTGACATAATGGGAAATATTGCATATGTTCCGCAGCAAGCATGGATCCAGAATATGTCACTTCGAGACAACATCCTATTCAATAAGCCGTTTGATCGAGAATTTTACGATAGAGTAAGCAACGCTTCAACGTTTTTCTACTTTTTAGGTCATTGAATGCTGCGCTCTAAAGCCCGATCTAGCTACGTTGCCAGCTGAGGATATGACTGAAATTGGTGAAAAGGTGAATAGCATTGAAACCTTGTCAATTTGCATAGGGCATCAATCTCTCTGGTGGCCAAAAGCAACGCATTTCACTGGCTCGTTCGGTGTATTCTGGCGCTGACATCCTCCTCCTTGATGACCCCCTTTCCGCTGTTGATGCACACGTCGGAAAACATATCTTCGAACAAGTCATTTGTAAGTGAAGCGCAACACTGTTTTCTAAAATTCTTTAGCATCCGATACTGGTGTTCTAAAGCATACCACCCGAATTTTAATCACCCACGGCCTGCATTTCCTGAAATATTGCGACCAAATCGTGGTTATGAAGGGTTCGTTTTAAAGTTCATTTAAATAATAAGTGTTAAGATGGGCGAATCTCGGAAAAGGGCTCATACCAAGAACTGATGAAATCGCAAGGAGCGTTTGGAGAATTTTTTGGAAGAATATCTGGTCGAAGAGGCAAAGACCAGAGGCCGATCTGTATCTTTCGGAGAAGATTGTAAGAAAATCAGAAAAGCTTTTTCGAAATTTGTCTTTAGCTGAGGACGTCAGCGAACTACTCAATGAAATCGAAAAAGTGGCGCCAGAGAAGAGGAAGCGGATTGAGTCTCAAATTAGTCAAGTCCATTCATCTACGGAGAGTTTGAACAAACAGCCACCAACTCCCATCAAACGAAAGGTAAACTAGCAGGTGCAATTTGTAGGGTCTTAAAGGTATCTGTTGCTCCATCGCTGTCATCCCCAAAGGCGAAAGAAGAGCTTGGAAAAGCTGAAAAGGAAGAGGTTCCATCAAATGATGAGAAGAAGGCGTTGTTGGATAAAGAAGCCTCTCCGGTTAAAGGAAAGCTTGTTGAGAAAGAGGGAATGGAGACTGGAAAGGTATTCTTTAAACACCGGATTATTAATTCCCCGTTCGTTCAGGTGAAATGGACTGTTTACACTGTCTATTTGGCGGCTATTGGATATGGTATCGCTGCGCTTTTCCTTGGAGTCTATATTTTCAGCAGTGTCCTTGGTGTAAGTTTCAATCAACCATAAAAAAATTTATACCTAGTTTGCTACGAACATGTTTAGGTATTTTCCAATCTGTGGCTCGCTAGATGGTCTGACGATGCTAAGAAAATCCAGGGCGATTCAAATGGCGAAAACCAAACGAGATACCGTCTATTGGTGTATGCTGGATTGGGCGTTGGTCAAGGTATAAAAAATTATAATTGAAAAATGGTATATATTATAGCCTGCTCAATCTGTGCCGCTTCCATTATTATGGCTCTCGGTATGGTGCGAGCTTCAAGGATTTTGCATGAAGGTGCTGCCTTAAATTTCGTAAATAAGTGAAATTCTGTATTCCAGGGTTCCTGGAAAATATCCTGCATAGTCCAATGAGCTTCTTCGATACAACACCACTTGGTCGTATTTTGAATCGATTCGGAAAGGTATCTAACACATCTGAGCAGTCCGCTAATTTGGATTTAGGCTCAGGGAGGGTCCTTAAAACTAGATTTTTGGGGATACAGACGCTAATCTCGCCTAAAAATGGATGAAGGGGGCTTTCTAGATCTTTCTTTTTTTTTAATTAGCATTTATGCTTGCAAATATCTTTAGCCAAGCTTATAATCATAATCATCTAAATATATATTCCACCCTCTAAACTAATCTGCTGTGCCTGGGGGTGGTTGTGAATTGGAGGCTCTTGTGCAGGATATCAAATGCGTCGACACCGAACTGCCGGAATCGATCGGCGAATTCCTGTACGCATCCGGCGAAGTGCTGCAGTCATTTCTGATCCTGATCTACGTGCTTCCGAAAGCTTCGATCTTCTACTCCCTCCTCGTCGTTGGCAACTATTTCATCTTGGTACTGCCTCTACGCGTATCTTCTTCTTTCCTGCATGGCTTTATGTTTGAGAGTTGGGGAGAAAAACGATTACACCTATATTAAAAGAGTTGCATAATTTAAAATCCTTTAGCGACCCTTCCCAACCCTCAATATCTTTATTTCGGCATATTGTGCATGTGAATATTTTGTTAGTTAGACGCCCGAGCATGATTCTTTATTTAAAGTACAGTACACCCATGCCTAGAATAATTAATAATAACTAACAACTAAGAAAAAATTGAGTTTATCAAAAATTGGGGGAGGAGAAGGTTTAAAAATACTATTGAAGCACAACACCCAAAAGCAAAATTAACAATAAAAAATTCGGGACGTGGACGCGGTCGATACTACGCTGCCGACGACCATCCGAGGAATGGCCCTGACGGCATTCCAAGTGGTCGCCACCCTATTCGTGATCGCCTACTCGACCCCATCAGTGATGCTCCCGTTCTCGATCCTGTTCATCGGCTACTATATCGTCTTGGTGAGGCTCGAAATGCTGCGAGTTGTTCGCTCCCCCCTCCGCCTGCATGCCTTCCCGGAATGCGGAACGCCGTCGTGACTTTAATTTTTTTTTTATTGGTTTTCGTTTTTAAGTTAAAATTTATTTATTTTTCACGTTATGTGTTATGAAGAGGTAGCCTTAGAAGTGCGCTTAAAACCGAGGTCAATTTAACAAAAGCGGACCAAGAGGTCGAAAGTGTAAGTGTAAGCCTAAGCGTAAGCTTAAGCCTAAGCCCAAGCCTAGCCGAAAAATTTATTCTAATGCGTGAATAAGCGATAAATTAAAATCTGGAAGCTTAAAAATTCTAGCTTTAATTTTGCCTTGCACAGCTTGCACAACCACTACCACGCTACTAATAGTTATCCATTACCCCCCTTCCTAAGCATGACCATCTTAGCGGACTGACTTTTTACGATTGTGGGTGTATCTAGCTTCTATATCGTATCGTATACCCTATTAAAATGCATGACGAAGAATGCAGGATATCGATATGCTGGATAGTCGTCTCCCATCGAGCGTGCTGACTTTTGTCGGAGCCCTCGTGCAGGCGATCGCCATCGCTATCGTCTCATTCTACGCAACCCCTAGTGCTGCATGGCCGTCGATTGGGCTGCTCGTCCTCTATCACTATCTCAGGGTTTCTTTTTTACTGTCTTTCATTATTTTTTCGCACTTTGTTCTGTCTGTGTCTTGTCAGGGACGTTTAAGTGGTTTACGTGGTGAGACAATGGTGATGGGGAGCAAGATATTGTTTTAAGGGAAATTGTTGAGGCGCATTAACCCCCCAGCCGAGATCGACAGATTTTTGCACAAAGATATTTTTTTGACGAGGATGGAGTTTTGCAAAGACGCAAACAAGCCTGCCTTGTGCAAATTTTTGCTTAGTCAAAAACGCATCATGGAATTTGCGTTTACATCTCTGTAGCAGAATTAGAAATGAATACACAATAGCTGTGCGTCGGCTGGGGGGTCAAGTGGATTACATCCAAAATCTGTGTATAAACTTCAATTATTTGAGGTTAATAGAAAAAGAAGTAAGGGGTCGCATTCCATAGCTATGTTAAGCCTTTTAACCTTAAAAAAGCGCTTTAAAACCTTTGTCCACTTATTTCCCCCGATTAACCGAGTCAGGATGTGGATGCGATAGACGCCACCCTACCCCGCTCGTTGCTGTCCTTCACGCGAATCGTTCTGAACGTGGCCGAAATTCTGATCGTACTCGGCTGGGCGAGCCCAATCATTATCCCGTCCACCCTACCGCTTGCCGCTTTATATGCCCTGCTTTTGGTGCGCCACAGTGTTGTTGGGTGTCTGAAGTACTACTCTCTAAACCCCACATGATGTGCGAAAAATCCCCTAGCTTCTGTTTCTAACCCAGTCGACTCTCCGGAATTTTGTTATTTAGACACCTAATAATTTATAGTGTTTGTGCCTGTCGATCTACCTTGCTAATAATTGTCAGGTGTTGGTCTTTTGCGTTACAAAATTGTATAGATCCTTAATTTTTTTATTTACGTTCGCAAAAGTCCAATATGTTCGTGTTATATGTGCATGTCCGCCCACTAACTATCGCATTTTAAACAGCAAGTAATGTTCAAATTTTAGCGCTTCTATGTATCGACGTCTCGTCAACTAAAACGTTTGGAATCGACGACACGCTCGCCGATTTATTCGCATTTCCAAGTAAGTTCTAGTATTTGGCCATACCTTAAATCTAGGAATCGATCCAAGGCGCTTCATCAATCCGAGCCTACAATGTTGTCGACAAATTCATCCAAGAATCTGCGACCAGGGTCGATGATAACTTGGCTACCTATTATCCGAGTATTGTTGCTAATCGGTAATTTACATAAAACTAATCGCTTAAATTCGTGAATTTAGCTGGCTAGCTGTTCGACTGGAACTGATCGGAAATATGATCGTGTTGTTTGCGGCTTTGTTCGCAGCCCTGTTCCGTGACACACCTGGCTTGACGGCCGGTCTGGTCGGATTGTCGGTCTCTTATGCTCTAAACGTACGTCTGAGTTAACTAATGAAGCTTAAAATTACGATCTTTAGATTACGCAAACACTAAACTGGGCCGTCAGAATGACCAGCGAGCTCGAGACTAACATTGTGGCCGTTGAAAGGATAAAGGAATACACAGAAACACCTAGGGAAGGCATGGAATCAAATGAAATCCCGGAGGAAAAAGATTGGCCACGCACTGGGGAGATCATCTTCAAGGATCTGTCACTACGGTATTTTGAATAATTCATAGGATCAATTTGATCATATTTTAGTTATCGCTCCGGATTGGACCTTGTTCTCTATGAAGTCAATGCAACCATAAAACCATCGGAAAAGATTGGAATTGTTGGAAGGACCGGGGCCGGAAAGTCGTCATTGACGCTTGCACTCTTCCGTATCATTGAAGCAGAAAAGGGAATAATTCTCATCGATAATGTCGATATTGCTAAACTGAAACTGGAGGTGAGAATCATTGTAAGTACTATGAGAAGCTTTCCATTTTTTAGCGTCTCCGATCTCGTTTGACTGTGGTTCCTCAAGATCCAGTCTTGTTCTCCGGCACCCTGAGGATGAACTTGGATCCTTTCAAGTAAGTACCCAAAAAAAATAGGAATAATGATTTTTAGAACCTATACGGACGCGGAAATCTGGCAGGCACTTGACAACGCCCATCTTGGTTCGTTTGTCGGTGATTTGCAGGAGAAGCTTTCGCATCAGATCCAGGAAGGAGGTGGCAACTTGAGGTAGGCGAGAGTGTAGAATTAAGTATCATCTTTTACTAGTGTGGGCCAGCGACAGCTGTTGTGCTTGGCAAGGGCGTTACTCAGAAAAACGAAGATCCTGATTCTGGATGAAGCTGCAGCGGCAGTTGATATGGAAACCGATGCACTTATTCAGAAAACAATCAAAGAGCAATTCAGCGAGTGCACAGTGCTTACCATCGCCCATAGGTACAACTTCATACTCATCTGTCTTAATAATGGTTTAGACTAAATACGGTAATGGATTCGGACCGTTTAATGGTCCTGGAACGAGGATCAATCGTTGAATTTGATGCTCCAAGGACATTGCTTGAAAACAAGAATGGCGTCTTCTATTCAATGGCTAAAGATGCACAACTTGTCTAGTTCAAATTATTTGTTTTAGTAATTACCACATATTTCTTGTTATCTACTATTAGCCGTATCGATTCTGCATAATAGCTCACAACGGTCCCCCCTTCCCCGGATTCTTTCGCTAATCAACAGTGATAATACCATATCGGTTTAACGAGCTCCGAGCCAGACCAAAACATTAAGCAAAAAAAATTATTATGGTTAGCTCCTGCGGTTATTGTAGATGATGAATCAAAATTAGTGCGTTTTATTTGCTTTGCCGATGTGTGATTGAAATGAAGTGTTTTTATTAAAATAAATATTCGGGCTTGCAAACTGAGTTATGGATACAAATTCGCCATGGAGGTACCGTAGACACATGAGAGCTAAAGTATGGTAAATTGAGGAGTGAAATGTTGATACCTGATGGGTAGTATCGGGATTGTTCTGAGGATCATGAAGGAATGGTTGTAGACCCTAAAAAAACATGCCTATGGACGCATTATGGGATTACCGGAAGTTGTGAGCTTGAAGGTTGTTGTAGCTGAAGGAAAGTCGCCTCAATTTTCGGTACACCACCTTGTTGACCTAATTAATTACGCTATATTCTTACGTTCAAAAAATTACCAATAACGTAGGGAACCTGCAACATATTTGCATAATGCTTCATTTGCGCCGGCATCACTTTCTTCTGTCTGATTCGACGATTACCAAACCAATTCGATACCTAAATATAATACTTTCTTGATGTTCAGCTAAACCAACCTGCTGGACAGTTATATTACACTTCTTGGCCAAATCCGCTTTTTCCTCATCGGTCGGATACGGATGGTTGGCATGAGTGACGAAAAAGTCTTGCAGAATGGCGATCGCTTCTTTGGAAAAATTTCTGCGCTTCCTCCTAATATTCAACTTTCAAGCCGTTTAATTTCAGTTCTACCTAGCATCCAAACACGAATTGCTTAAGATGAGTGCCTGGTTACAAGTAACTTGCTTCACTTGATTTTCGGCCTTTTGGAACCGATCTTCAATAGCATCCATAGCCTTCCGCTTGTCCTGAAAGAAGCTCTTTTGGTGGAGTGCCGTAAACTGACCTCTTCCGTAACAGGCCTAAACGCCTTCTGCAGTTCCAGCGTATCGGCAACCTTCTTCTTCAGCTTGTCACACTCCTAGGAGATGGATGTTTGATGGGGAAGACAGAAGAAAAGTCCTCCTTCCCTGATGGATGGCCGAATGTTTGTAATGCACTTGAGCCACCGTAACACTATCAGACTGGGCAACAGCCAACCAGCGCCCTTGGGGCTGGGACTTACCTCTTGGAGCTCGGATTTCGAGCCTTCGAAGGTGCTTTTGAGGGCGGCCATTTGGAATTTGTAGTCTTCTTCGATATCGAGGTGAGCAGGCCTAAAACCGTATTTCCGCTTCTATAAACTTGTCAGAATGCCATCATGTGGAAAAGGCGACATTTTCGGATTTTTCGACTTCTAAATCGTGTTTTACAGGTTTTTACAGGAGAAACGGCTTAGATTGCAAAAGTGATGCTATTTTTTAAGCACACCGGGAAAAAAAATCATTTTAATGGTGAAGATGCGGCATGTTAATTGAACATTTTACGCCTATTCTACAGTACCTTGAAGTTTCATCTTCAGCATCACACGGTCCACCATGTTCGGCTTGGGAGAAGTATCGCTCCTAAATACAATTTTTTTATAACCTACGATTCCATTAAAAACATACCAACATCAAATCGACCTGACTATCCGTCTCCTCCTCTTTCATAAAATGAAATACATGCGCTTGAAGGGCTAAAATCAGACGTGAATTTGCGACAATCCCCGATCCCAGACCGTTCTCATTCTTCCGATCGCATAACACATCAAACATAGCCCGAAAGTACATGCTGTTAGAGAAATTCTCCCTGAATATCGTGAAAGTCTGAGACGGAAGTCTTACAATAGCGGTGGGATCAGCTTTTCTTTTGCGGCAATTTGGCTGAGGGCTGCCATGAGGGGATCGATTGCATCTTCGTATGTGATTGGATTTGTAACACCTACCACGTGAGCCTAAAAAAATCAAGAAAAATTAGATGACGTTAAAAAGTTGCATCTATCAATGCTAATTACGAATGTTACACCGAACGAAATCTTTGTATATAGAGTTATTTCTTCGCTTTCACAAATCTTCGCAACACGGTTTTGACGAATTTCGAAATTGCCGAATGAATACAAAAATTAACAAAATAATGTCGCTACTAAATTTAAGTAAACAATACAATAATAATGCCAACCTGCATCATATGCGGATCATGTTGCGGATACATCATAGATAAAATAATCGAAGAGATACCCTTACTGGCTGACTGTTTGGGTCAATGATCCTGAGAACCCCCCAGGTAGACCCGATACCGTAATGAGCAAACATTTCTGACAGGCTGTGGCCAGTGCAAATCCTTGGGGGCCCCCATGGATCTGTGAGGGATCTGTATTTGTATTCGAGCTGATCCGATTTGATTGATGAGGTCAGCCGAGGTAAGCGCCTCTAACGTTTTTTGGAAGTAGCTTTTTTTGACGCTAGTCATGATTTTTTGTAAATCCATAACATACAATAAAATCAAATTAAATACCTTCTTTCCTCGTTTGGCCAGCGGAGGCATAGTGCAACGAAGCGCCAGCAACAAGACCCCGAAAAAGACAGGCACCACTGAATGTTGCGAAAAGGGGCTGATAAGTTTTTTCTAAATTTGATCGCCGCGATAACTTGTATTCACGTGTATTGAACGATATCGATCGGCTAGAAATCTTCATTGCATAGATATAAAGGATTAGATCAACAAAGAAAAAGGAAGAAGTTCGCCAAGACCCGCAATGAATTTGTATAGTGAGCTTTGATAATAGGATTTACATAAATTTGACTAGAATAATACTGATCGCAGTATACAAAGATGTACATTAAATCATAAATGTTATAAAACATGAAATAATAAGGCAAATAAAATAATCGTACGTCCAATCGTGCAGCTGGCCGACCCCCATTAATTTTTTCACACCATCTTTTGAGCCGTGCCTGGAATTAAGGATATTTTACATCGAGGAAATGCTGAACAATTACTATAACTCTATAGGATTACCTCAAAGCCCACTGGAACCAAAATGACTGGCTATTCTGCATTAGTCGCCCGTGTTTGTGTAACATATCGGATACTTTCGCTGCCCGGGCTTGCATCCTAAAAAACACCTTATCCGCAGGTCAATTTGCAAGCGCACAGCGCTCCGCGTTTGTACGAATCGACAATGGAGTGGAACGGAGTCTGCTGCAGAAAGGGCATCAGCGAAAAGTGAGAGCCACACTCTTTTTCGATGTTGAACTTTGAGATATTAGCCAGCAATTTTGTTTCCGAGGGTGATATTTCAGAAAAATGTAGCATTAACAACCTACCTCTCAAGCTTCAAAAGAAAATTGCTGAGTTGGACTGCAAACACGTCTCTTTTGATGTGGTGCGGTTTTACGTAGTCAACAACACCCAGGTCATGCAGTCGTCGCGCATTACTACCTTGGTCGCCCTTAAATTTTGCTAAATATACTAATTTTGCTAAATAAATACCTGCAATGGCATTAATATCCCAGTCACCCCCATTTGTAACATTTCGTTAAGTGTATTCACACCACCATGCGATATGATAAATTTCAGCGTGCTCGTCCCTATTTTGGATTAATTCTTGATAGTGCACTCACCTAGCATCCGCTTTACCGGAAGCCATGCAGCAAAACGTACATTTTGAGGGATCTTGATTCCCTCGAATTTTCGTATGGATGTAAAATCGGCCTGCCAGATCACTGGATAGGGCAGTACTTCGAATGCAGAGACCATTTCGTGGAAATGTTTTCGAGTCATGTAGGAGACCTAGAAAAAAAATCTCTTTAGCTAAAAAGAGATTCTTTAAAAAAAAAGGGTTTTTGGGTTTGAAAAAAGAGCGAGATTCTCTGATGCAGCAAAAAGCGTCAAATTCCCTAACCTCCGAAACATGAGAAAATTCGAAGGATCAACCAAAAATTGCTGGCACCTAGGAAAACCGGCCGAATTTTGGCACTTTAATTGGTTTTTTCATTTCGGCACGTTGAAATTTTTCTGCTCTAGTCTTAATCAAAAATAAAGTCGAATATAACTGTCATAATCATGCTATTTTCAAGCATGTGGTTACCTCGTGATACGACGTGGTGACGAAGAACATCGAAAAGCGGCAAAATACCAAATATTGGAAGTGAATGGCGTTTGAAACTGCGCTTTGAGCCTGTACCCGGCAATTTTTTGGTTGATCCTTCGAATTTTCTCATGTTTCGGAGGTTAGGGAATTTGACGCTTTTTGCTGCATCAGAGAATCTCGCTCTTTTTTCAAACCCAAAAACCCTTTTTTTTAAAGAATCTCTTTTTAGCTAAAGAGAATTTCGCCTTTTTTGACTGAACTCTGTTCTTACAATAATACACTTTCGTGCAGAACAGCTTTTTAATTGACCCCAGGAACGGGGATATTTTTTTATTATTCCCGCGTAAGGCAGATGTCGTTATCATTATCAGCCTGACCTCTAACGAGCCCGACGCTGGGGCGCACTAATGACCGACATTCAACCGCACTCCACCTCGACTAGTCTTTATGCAAAAAGACTAAAAAGGGTCTGACAGCTACGACGACATGCAATGCAAATACACCTGCTACTTAATACTTAACGGCTACATATGACAAATCGGAAATCATCAAAATTGCGCTAACGCATCCTTTTTGTAGGCTGCATCTCTTTCCACTCGGGGAGTAGTAGTTGATTCGAAACTTTGACATAGGAAATGATCGATTGAATCATAAGAATATAGAGGGGTTCGCTAATAATTGCCGCACCTCCTTGCCAGGTCCCTTATGATTTTTTTAATTGTCCCCTTTTAGCCTCCTGCCCCTTTAAATAGTGGTTTTAATACAATTTCTGACTAAATATATTCTTCGGATATTTTTGCCTGTGGTGCTGATTCTGCGCAAAAATCTTTTCGAATGTGCCTCCAAATGCTCGGGCGCATTATGGGCGCGCTAATGGTCAACCGAAAAGATTGATCATCGGTGCTATAATCGTCCTATCCAACCAAATAAGTTTGATAAAAATAATGTAACAAGTGGGGTCTGTTAATTGGCGGGGGGAGATAGGGGTCTATTAGTGGGGAGGGCAAGGAGAGGCCCAGACAGAAAGGGCGCGCGCCCCGTATTGCGACCTCAGATTTTCACGCAATCCGACCGTATCTCAACGTAGAACATTTATTTTACGATAATCTGTTCAGTTAATATTAAAACAATATATAGTGCATCACTATGAGAAATTTCAGCGCAAACGGACCTCGACAAGACACCTTTTGACCCCAATTTAAATTTTGAACTTCAAATTTAAATTAAAATTTTTTGAAGGCCTATTTTGAAAAAACGCTTCTTCCTGTCCGAGATTAGCATTAAGCCAATACCTGTGCAAATTTTCAGCCAAAACCGTCCATGGGAAGGCACTTTTCGACGACTACAAAGGTTTTGCGGACATACAAACATCGTGACAAACGCAGACCCCCCCCCTCTGAGTACAAAATAAAATCGCTCTTAAAATTCGAAAATTAACTTTTTTGAAAATTTAAAAAGCTGATGTTATGCAAAAAATCCGGCCGGTTCCGGTGGTATATTTAGTTTTACGATCCGATGCATGGTTTCCGCGGAAATCGGGTAAAGGACCCAAAAAGAGCCGCGTGGGGGGGTACCTCAACCCAAAAAGGGTTAGCGGGCTCCTCCCGCTAACTGCGCTTTGAGCCTGTACCCGGCAATTTTTGGTTGATCCTTCGAATTTTCTCATGTTTCGGAGGTTAGGGAATTTGACGCTTTTTGCTGCATCAGAGAATCTCGCTCTTTTTTCAAACCCAAAAACCCTTTTTTTTAAAGAATCTCTTTTTAGCTAAAGAGAATTTCGCCTTTTTTGACTGAACTCTGTTCTTACAATAATACACTTTCGTGCAGAACAGCTTTTTAATTGACCCCAGGAACGGGGATATTTTTTTATTATTCCCGCGTAAGGCAGATGTCGTTATCATTATCAGCCTGACCTCTAACGAGCCCGACGCTGGGGCGCACTAATGACCGACATTCAACCGCACTCCACCTCGACTAGTCTTTATGCAAAAGACTAAAAGGGTCTGACAGCTACGACGACATGCAATGCAAATACACCTGCTACTTAATACTTAACGGCTACATATGACAAATCGGAAATCATCAAAATTGCGCTAACGCATCCTTTTTGTAGGCTGCATCTCTTTCCACTCGGGGAGTAGTAGTTGATTCGAAACTTTGACATAGGAAATGATCGATTGAATCATAAGAATATAGAGGGGTTCGCTAATAATTGCCGCACCTCCTTGCCAGGTCCCTTATGATTTTTTTTAATTGTCCCCTTTTAGCCTCCTGCCCCTTTAAATAGTGGTTTTAATACAATTTCTGACTAAATATATTCTTCGGATATTTTTGCCTGTGGTGCTGATTCTGCGCAAAAATCTTTTCGAATGTGCCTCCAAATGCTCGGGCGCATTATGGGCGCGCTAATGGTCAACCGAAAAGATTGATCATCGGTGCTATAATCGTCCTATCCAACCAAATAAGTTTGATAAAAATAATGTAACAAGTGGGGTCTGTTAATTGGCGGGGGGGAGATAGGGGTCTATTAGTGGGGAGGGCAAGGAGAGGCCCAGACAGAAAGGGCGCGCGCCCCGTATTGCGACCTCAGATTTTCACGCAATCCGACCGTATCTCAACGTAGAACATTTATTTTACGATAATCTGTTCAGTTAATATTAAAACAATATATAGTGCATCACTATGAGAAATTTCAGCGCAAACGGACCTCGACAAGACACCTTTTGACCCCAATTTAAATTTTGAACTTCAAATTTAAATTAAAATTTTTTGAAGGCCTATTTTGAAAAAAACGCTTCTTCCTGTCCGAGATTAGCATTAAGCCAATACCTGTGCAAATTTTCAGCCAAAACCGTCCATGGGAAGGCACTTTTCGACGACTACAAAGGTTTTGCGGACATACAAACATCGTGACAAACGCAGACCCCCCCCCTCTGAGTACAAAATAAAATCGCTCTTAAAATTCGAAAATTAACTTTTTTGAAAATTTAAAAAGCTGATGTTATGCAAAAAATCCGGCCGGTTCCGGTGGTATATTTAGTTTTACGATCCGATGCATGGTTTCCGCGGAAATCGGGTAAAGGACCCAAAAAGAGCCGCGTGGGGGGGTACCTCAACCCAAAAAGGGTTAGCGGGCTCCTCCCGCTAACCCCGAGTATTTTGGAAATTAGAGAAATGCGTTTTATTACTTATTTACTGATTTTTACTTTTGTGATCCTCAAAGATTAAGATCACTTACCCGGGCCAGACTGCCAAACGTGACGAGCACATAATCCCGCTTCAGCAGATCTTCCAATTCCAGTTCATCTAAGAAAGTGAGAGTTCGTGTCGCGGTCAGACAGGCGTTTGTACAATTCTGTGTCAGCAAATTTAGTCGACGAGCAAGGGCGAAAAACCTGATTCCGATCTGCCAACAAACAGGCTGATCGGTCGGCTCCATTATTGCTGGCATTCTGACCAATTAATTGTGGTAATTTTACCGTTGTAGGAATGTGTTGGGCTATTTGCGCGTTTTTAGGGACTTGACGATCCTCATATCTGAAACTGCAGATAGAGATAAATATCCTGAAGCAAAATGTGATCGACGAAGATTTTTCCTTGTTTGGCTGGAAGGCGATTTGTCGCTTTTCAGCCATGACTGCCGGCAATTTGGATCGTAAGTCATGTGTATCTAGTGGTCAGCCTCTTTTTCGAACCCGTTCACAAGAATCCCATGCACTTTTCACCTCCCTCAACCTCGGCCAAATGGCCTCCTAACAAAACATAACAATTCCTAGGGCCACATGGCCCTGTAAAACCTGTTCCACACCCCTTCCAAACAATTTTTCTTGTTTTCTTTCTTCTGCTCACCTCGCCAACCCCGCATTATACCCAAAGTACCGTATCCTATGCGAAATTGGGCGCACGGGTTCGACCAAAAATTGGTAACGACTAGCATACAATAGCCGCTGGGATTCGATCTCTCGCATCGACACCTAAAACGGAGAATGTTCCACGGCCGGCAAAAACGGGGGAGCGAAAATCACCGCGAAGGGGTTGTTTTGTACGGCACGTGGTGGGTATGGCCGTTTTTGGAACGGATGGGGATAGATGAGAGAAAGGGTAGCAGATGCTAAATGGCACAACAACGATGATATGTATAGGTCAAAGAAAGCAAGGTCTAATTAGAGGTCGATGTCCAGCTCATAGCAGCTTTGTTTCTAAGTACAAAAGCCCCCAAGCTTTGAACTGTACATAGGAAATACGCGTGCCGTAAAGTGCGAAAGAACATCGTATTTTTCTTGCGATAGAACTTCCCGTGCCTTGTACTGTTTGGGAGGTACGCTTTCACTAGCACTTCTTGCTTACACTTTCTCCCCGACACCTCTGTTTTCAAGCTATCTTCACACTTACAAATAACACAGCCTTCGACCTAATCGAGTGACCTTTTATCCGAACTTACCATACTTCTCGTTAGCAATAAATCAATATGCCTCCAAATACCTACCCCCGGTACCGTTCCGCGTGCCCGATACTCTCCGATAGCTCGTATGATATATTTCATACCACGCGCAATCGCATTGACACATCTTTGCAGAAAATTCATCCCTTTTCCGGTGTATGGTATTGCTAAATCAGGTTAATGGTTTCTGCTATCGTTTTCGCTACCTGTCTCTGGATACGCAGCAGGACTAGTCCCTGTAACGCCAAAGCTTCGTAGATATATATCATACAGAGGCCAATTCGAAAAATGGATGACCGTTGTGTTGAAGAGAGAGGAAAGGGCTGAAATGCAGTCCTGAAATGCGCTACAGTAACTCTTTGGAAGGCCATACGTTCACATGGAAATCCACCACGATCAAATCCGGTTTAGCGGTTTTAAGATAATCTTGAAACATAGCGGAATGATAAAGAATATGGCAAAATTGAGCATGCCGATTGTCGAATTCCTGATAGGCTATCATGCCACGCATCTCAAACACATCGTCATCGTCTGGAAGGGTATTGATAGGTGGATTAAACAACAAGTTCGCGTATTAGTACGTATTTCCCGATTTATGCAGAACTACTGAGGAAACGAGAGAGAGAGCGAGAGAGAGAGAGAGAGAGAGAGAGAGAGAGAAGCAGATGCTCAGAGAAGTTAAACTCCCTGGACGTGCGACTTAAAACTTACCAAATGGATGATAACTTTGCCAAAGAAACTTCTGTGAGTATTCGGCGATTCTTTGTCCTGAACACTACATTTAGCCGTGTAGAAATGGAACCTTCTGAATCATGATTGGTGAGAATTATTTTCCGCCATTTCCGTGGAAGACTAAAATCAGACCTGCCAACCGGGAACACCTTAGAAAAATATTATACTCCCGCCTATCAAAACCTTCGTCTGAATCCAAGTAACATTTGTCCCCTGCGGAAAAGATCCCCCGACTTCGCGCATCATCACATCGTGTGAATAGCAACCCGTTAAGGGTAATAATAAAATCTCTTTTCCACACACCGTACCAAAATACAAGAGCTGAACAAGCAGCAAACTCATAATCTCGACGATGGCAGGGTTCGGAATATTGTGGGTCGGGTTGTGGATTGTGGCATGGGGAGTGAGGGGCGGGAACTCTCCATTTCCCCCTCAACCATCATCACAGTTTGAGGCTCGAAACACGACGAGGCACCCAGCAAATAATAGGGAACAGTTTGCCATCTTTAGGTTACGTCGAGAAGAGGTGCCTTTGGCGATGGCTGGGCAAAACAGGGTGAAGACGAAAGAGCAGGTGTAGGCAATAATCACATTAGCACTACCTTCAAGCACCTTCGCTTGCCGTGACCGTTTCAGGCAGGTACCTCTTTAAAATTATGTTTTTCAGTGCGTCAAAGTTACTGTAATGTGCCAATAGACGAGGAATATCAACCTTAACGCGATAGTAAACTTACGAGAAGGAATTTTTAAGTGTGCTGAAGTTAGAGAGCCTAAAAAGCTAGCAATGTCGAACTTTGGTCATTTTCCGCCCTTTAGGCTACGTAATTTCTTCAATCTAATCGTTTCGCAGATTCTACAAAATACGTCATGAATGTCACGTTGTCATGCCCGTAAACGCAGGTATGTTTCAATACCTTCACGTCCTTCTTATGGCCGCTTTAATTTATTTAATTTATTCCGCAACATTCTAAAATCCTCGCCGCCGTGTTCTGGTTTTTGCTATTAGTCCAGATATTCGATTAGCTGTCACTGATAAGGCCGGTAAAAGGGCGCTTTGCTAGATCGCCGGGTCGAGACGGCGGAACCAGACATCCGTGACCCAATGTTATTTCTAAAGTCTGGCAAAATGATTCATTTTTCGATATTTTAGTGGAATTAAATCTACAGTAAACCATGCTAGTTACGAGCCTTGGACGGTTTCCGACACGATCCACAAAACACCTGCACTCTGGAGATACCCAGTGCGGGTAACTGGTTTTTTTACTGGCTCGACCTTTGTCCTTATTCTCACACCTAAAACTAAATAAAAGCCTTTGAAAACTTCAAAAAGGGAAATTCATAGTATTTTTAACCCCTGCAACCCCTAATGGCCATTTTTTGATCTAATTGGTTCATATGTATGTCACACCACCGCCAAATTCCCCTTTCCTTTGTCGTCGGATTTTTTCTTCGGCTTATTTCAAAGTGCAAACGATCAGATGCGGGATCATTTTATGGAAATGCCCTTGTGTAAATTTCACGCTTCACCCTTATCATTTCGAGGAAGAATGAACCCGAGATTATACGGCTAGACACCTCTTATTCCTTTGCAGGGCACCCCTGATTTGGACCAGCCTCTTCTTGGGGGTTAGAAAATGGGCCAGTTTCACAGGGAAGGATTACGGGGACACCTCCCCATTAGAAGAAGGAACAAAGTCCTCGGCCAAGCCCTTCAAATGCACTAGATTCTCGTTATTTTCTTGGCTTTCTAAAAACTTATTTTGACTAATTCGCGCAAACAATAGATGTATTTGTGTGTGTCTGCCCTCTAAGAATTTTATTTACGACTATAAAATGCTATTGTTTTTTGTCCACATAAAATGTGTCATCCTCCCCGACAGTGTGTTTGTTTTTGATAGTGTACGTTTATACCAGGCAGCTGAGGGCCTTTCCGGTTGTTTGTAAAATCCGCGCTCGCTCTTCACTCTTTTTCACGATTCTGACGCTTAAAACTCTCGGCATTAATTGCTATCTGGTCATGGAATTCGGTTGTCTATTTTTTACTTTCTCTTTACTGATCGATAACGTTGTAAACTTATCTTTTTTCAGAACCTACGTTGATTGCGCAATGGCCTCAATGGATGAACTATCACAGTTGGTTTTCATAGTTTTTTATTTAGAGGTGTAAAAGATATTTGTTTTCAATGTCACTTTATATCATCCATTTAGGAGCATTGACCGGGATGCCGAGCGCTACGTCAACCTCCTTCGCGACTTCGTGGCAATCCCATCCATTTCCGCCGAACTGGAACATTGGCCCGATTGCAGAAAGACGACGGCGTATGTGAAGACGGTTCGTTAGCTTTCCCGATCTTCAATCCGTTGTTATAGTTCTTGGAGGAAAAGCTACATGCAACGACAAAGTTCGTTCCGGCTGGACAGAAGGAAGTCAATGGAAAAATGCAGGAGGTCGGGTTCTGGCTTTTTACGCTTATTCTTTAATTGTAGATACCTCCTATTCTCTTTGCTGAGCTTGGGAATGCGCCCGGCAAGAAGACGCTATTGGTTTATGGACATTTGGACGTTCAGCCGGCTGCAAAGGAGGTTAGATTACTTGAAATTTGGAAACTTTTCGGTTTAGGATGGCTGGGACACCGATCCGTTTGTTCTTACCGAGAAGGATGGGAAATTATACGGCCGCGGATCGACTGATGATAAGGGGCCTGTGCTGGGGTGGCTGATCGCCATTGAGAAGTTAAACGAGCTCAAAATTGAGATCCCAGTCAATCTCAAGGTAACAAAATTTTCGTGAACGAATGAATTCTGTTTCGTTTGCAGTTTGTCTTCGAATCTATGGAAGAGGTTGGCTCCGAGGGTCTCCCCGAAGCTCTACAGAGCAACAAGGAATTCTTCAAGAATGTCGACTACACGTGCATCTCCGATAACTATTTCCTCGGCAAGACGAAGCCCTGCTTGACCTATGGCCTGCGGTATTCTTTAAAATCTATAATTCATATTTCTTTAGCGGTATTAACTACTTCTTTGTTGAAATCACCTGCGCGAAGCAGGATTTGCACAGCGGCTGCTACGGCGGGAGCATGTAAGCGTTTATCCATTCGATTCAAATAAATTTTTTGTTCTTAGTCCTGAAGCCATGACCGATCTGACGTGGCTGATGTCTACGCTAGTAAACGTTGATGGCAGCATCAATATTACGGTATGCATTCGTTTTCGCGACGAGGATCATATGTTCAGGGTCTCTCGGAGATGATTGCACCATTGACTGACGTCGAAGATGCTGAATATGCCAAGATCGATTTTGACGTTGCCGACTACAAGTGCGTATTTTCTAACGGCCAAGAAATAGTGTTTTCATTTAGAGATACCCTTGGCGCTCGTGGATTGACGAAAAAGTCAAAAGAAGAGCTGCTGAAGGCCCGTTGGCGTTACCCATCCCTATCCATTCACGGAATTGAAGGCGCCTTTGCTGGCAGTGGTTGCAAGACGGTCATCCCAGCCAAGGTGCGTCCCGTTTGCAGTATTGAACCTCTTGTTTAGGTTGTCGGTAAATTCTCCATCCGCACTGTGCCTGATATGACGCCGGAGCAGGTCGATGCTTGCGTCGTGAAGCATCTGAACAAGCTTTGGGAAACACGTGGATCGCCTAATCAGCTCAAGTAAAAATGTGCGATGTATTTTTATCATTTTGATAGAGTGACTCCTCAACACGCTGGCCGCCCGTGGATTGCGAACCCGTTCAACGAGAATTTCTTGGCAGGCGCGAATGCTGTGAAGGCTATCTATGGTGTCGAGCCTGATCGCACCCGGGAGGGTGGTTCAATCCCAATCACCGTGCTTTTCCAGGTACTATAGTTTCTATTGTTGCTTTTCAGTCCTTTCGGCCAAAATCCTTTTATATAAATTATAAATTTACGTTTCCTAGGAGATCACCGGTTCGGATGTGTTGCTCCTCCCAATTGGTGCCTCTGATGATATGGCCCATTCGCAGAATGAAAAGATCAATCGTGATAATTACATCAAGGGCATTAAGGTTGGTATTTTTTATGAGATGTCTATGAACTCTATATTTAGGTAATGGCCCGATACTTGCTAAACCTAGCTTGAGCCGAACGCCGATAACGCCACAACCACAATTCTTTTCTTGGGTCTACTAAGTGTGATGTGATGATCGCGTAATTTTTTTTTGTGTAGCTGTTCTATTTTCCCCGTGAGTGATGTGATACGTTCGAAATAATGCTTGTATAAATCTTTGCCCTCGAAATGGAGTTCTCCAATTGAACTGTGACGTCTACGTGCGGCCTGGCCAAAAATCTAGTCGCTACTATGTATGGGAGATCCCGGGACTCCCTTGGTTCTCGTGAGCTCGTGCTTGCTCTATCCAAATAGGGGTGAGGGCAAAGGGGAGGAGGAGGGGGAGCTGTACTCCCACATCTCGACCGCGGAATTCTGGCCAGTCATTTTGGATCGGCACTCTCGGCAGGGCTGCCCACTTTTTCAGTTCGATAGAGCTTGCAAGTGGCCGATCTTCGAAACCTTATTTGAATTTACGGGAAATTAAGGCACTCGTGCCACGTATTCTCAAAAAATTACGGTTATCTCTTTTCTACAAAAGTATATTTTAAACTTTTCGCGATCCTATTTCAGCGATTCCACCAATGTTCCATTTCAGTTTTTGAAAAGACATCGCGGCGATAATGCGATGCTACTTACTGCCATTCTTATTTTGGATTTTCGCGCTGCACGCCTACGAACATGATATGTATCTAATGAAACTCGTTTTCCGATATATCTACGAAAACGATAAAAAGTGTAAGATTTTGCTCTGAATTCGAACCTGATCCGCTCGTAGCCTATAGGGTTCTGATAGCCGTATAATTTTTGACTTTCAAAAAAGTAGACAAAGGGATCGGATGCCCTTTGAAAAGAAGCTGCATTTTCTAGGTGGTGATCCTTTTTCGAGTCCTCAATGGCTGCCAGCTTTTGCCAATTGTTCGATCGAATGTAACCCGGAAACAGGAATATGTCTTACGAACACCTTGATTGATCTACAAATGTGCCGAGAGTGTAACTAAACCCTTCCAAATACGACGTTTAATTTTCTGCAGTACCGCTCGTTTGCATTGCTGGCATTAGAGATTATATGGGGTGGTCTTCTACGACCCCCACTACCCCACGGAAGGCAACACCAGCCTGGCCAGCTCGGCAAGTTTCATTTTTTCAATTTGTTTGATTACTATTTCTAGAACAACTGCACCAGCTTTCAAAATCAACACAAAAATTAGTACCGCAACACCTTACAGCAATATTACTGCGTTTAAAACCGGGGAACCGAATTCAGGTATTTTAAAGGACGAGGTTATATTTGTATTCCTCTTCCTAGGATTCCCGCTTGTGTCAAAGTCACCAAGGCTTCAGGTTTTATTGTTTTATATAAATCATCCGGAATCTAGGAGATTTTAAAAATTCGGAAGTTGAATTCAACGAGCTCGAATACCTCTGAGCAGAACATGAGCAACCATTTTTTCGATGAGGAACCATTGTAAGCAAATACAAATGTATTCTGTGTTAAGTCATCCGGGGAGCGGCTAGAGATATGCCTCATTCAATTTTCAAGAATTCTTGGTAGTTCGTTTTTAAAAACGTTTGTTCGAGATTTTATTTAAAAAATAGCAGGAGTCTGGGTAAGATTCAACTTATAATTTTTTTTAATTAAGGACTGCCGGTTTGTAAAAATCAACAACCGAGTATTGTCAGACTTGGATTCTCTATAAAATGAGTAATGCTTCTATCCGTTTTCCGGACCCGAAAAAAGCATCTCTTATTAGCACGACGTTCCACACGGCATCAACAATTTCTAACAATATCTACACTCCACAAACCCGTCTAGCCTTGCGGAAATTCGGTAACTCGTGAAGTTCGGTTGCAACATTTCAATCGTCCATTTTTCAGGAGATGACCCCAGCCAGCCGGCCCAGCCTCCCGCTGTTTTAGTGCCCTCGGGGATTCCGGTGTGCACTGCATTCTTTTGTGAGGGCAAACAACGTTTTAGGCGGACACCTGGGCAGCAGCAGCAGCAGAAGAAACAGATCCTGACACCAGTTCTCGCACAAACAATGCCGGATTTATACAGAGCGGAGGTGTGTTGTGTGTGCCACATTTATCCAGTCATAGGCTAGCCCTCAACTCTAACAAACTAGTACGCACTTTCCAAAGAACATATGCACCGAAAGGATATGGAATGATTTCCGTCAAAATTCTCGAAAGTTCAGTTTGAAAGCATGATTTTCGAAAATCAGAATTTGAAAAGTTTGGGGCTAGTCGTTAGGAAATTCCACCCCGAGAAAGAAAGAGTAATGTAAAGGTTCGAAATTCTGATCTTAGCTCTGAAGATACAGTGTTTTGGCGGCTCTACGAAAGAGCAACTTGTCGAAAAAAAACTTTCCAAAACGTTTTGTTTGTCGTCAATGTAATTTCGAAATATGTCGTTCCCAAAATATAGGTTTCAAATGGCTTTTCAAGAAAAATAGCTTTCGCAAAATTACTTTATATATATATATATATATATACTTTATTCAAAGGTGGAGTGGGAGTGGGCAATGTGTAGTGGCCGCCGGTTCAGAGGTTGTATAACATGCGGGGGAACAAGGGGGGAGGGGGAGAAAAACCACAGAGTGGGGGACAGGTCCATTTTTTTAAAGTTACACGAAGCTCTTTGCATTTCCCAATTGACCTTCTTTGAAGACCCTAGGCGGGAGCTTATTCCAGGTTTCCACAACCTACGCGGGAAGAAGGGAGACCGGGGAAACCCCCTTTGTTAACTATGGTCCGGGAGGTTTGTGCTTCCCTAGAAAAGAAGGGGAATTCCTTATGGAAGATCGGAACAACAAAAATTAAGAAAAGTTTCAAAAAGACTTATTTCTATCCTCCTTCTGTTCCGGTGCGCTAGAGTGGGAAGGGAAAAGAATTTTAGTCGATCTGGGTAACAGGGCATAGTCGAAAAAGGATTTTCGAATCTGGCTTTTCGACAATACGATTAAAAAAATGACCGCTCGCCCCTAGAATGAATCGGATACTACCAAAGCGCCTCGCAACTTTAAAAAAAAACTTTCAGACCCCTACGCTGATTCACTTGGGGTCTCGCCTACCCCAAATACGCTCATCTCCACGACATATTCGTAAGTTGAAACTTTATCTACATCCCAAAACCTAAACCCAACCCTACAATATCGTCTCCGTTTAGCGAAAGCGACCTCGCTTTTTATGACACCCTCGAGAAGGCCTACGAACTGGAGCAGGCAGAGCAAAGTGGACAACCCATCCTCCCAATTATTCCGCAAATTTCCCTTTTAGACTCCCTCCTGAATTCAGTCCCCGTAGACAACGGATATGGGATGACCGAAGATATAAAACCGATTTTGCCCGAAGAGGCCCCGGCCCAAGTCGATGATAAGCCGGCTTACAACGCCGAAGCTGGTAAATCTTCCACTTCCTAGCACAAAATCACCCCCGTTTTCAGACGCATTTGGCAGTTACGGTAGTCCGCCAGACGAGAGCGGTGAGCTGGAAGATTTTGGGAACATACCGGATCCATATCTGAAGCATAGAGATCCAGCAACGACCTTGGTATGCCTTAAAAATTAACCAAGTCGAAGCTGTTTAGCCTCCGATGACCACCACAACGAATTTCCCTGAATTAATACAACCCCAAGAACCGCCATCGGTGCCTAAACAATTTTTCAAGAAAACTGGACGAACCCTTATATATTCCATTAAAAGACCTTTGTCGAGGTAAGAGCAAAATTGATTAAAAAATGTATTTAGCGAGCGCAATCCACTAGTATCCGGCGATCCGAATATGGAGATTCTAGAAAAAATGAAAAATGATCGAAGATACGCGAGAATAATTGTTGAACATAGTCTTGGTGAGATGCATATCGCTTTTAATAAGCTCGTTTAGAAATAAAATCCGATACGTTCCACCATTGTTGTGAATGGGCATTGGCGGGGGATGTGTGATCGACATTGGCAAAAAGTGATTAAAATTATGATAAAACTCAATGTAACGTTTAGGTGCGAAAATATTGCCCAAGAAGCTGTGGGCTGTTAGTTTGTGAAGGTGGTTGCCAAAAATATTTTTTAAGTATGTTTTTGTCAGATTTGGAAGGGCTTCAATCATGTACACGACTGCTAGATGTTGACCCAGAAGAATGTTATACAAACCTAAGAACAACAAAGCCGTAAATTGATCCTCTCCTAAAATTCATCCGCTTTTAGAGAACAAATCGAACTGCATGGTGTGAAAACGTTCAAAAATCGCGAAGATCCCAGCCAGAAGAAGACCCGAAAAATTCGGTACAAGCGCCGCTTCAAAAAAGGCAAAAAGCGCGGTTCCGGTGTGATGAGAAGAAGGAAAGTGAGAAAGATAAGAAAACACCAATTTTGAGTTATTCCTCATTTTTGCCCCTTCTCCCCTCACTCTTCGCTTTAATATTATTCACGGGTTGTATGATTCAATACTTTAATTAACTTATTCCAACCGATACTCATCTGAATAAAATATTTATTAAATTTGTCGCCCAAATGTATTTTTGTCATAAAAGTCGTATGGAACTTGATAAATGATTTGGACCAAGTTGCGCCTGGAGTTATTTGGAAGGGAATAATATTAATTGAGGATCGGAAAAGTGGAAATACCTAGTAGAGTGAAAGACCCGTAGTGAAAACGGATATTGGTAATTCATAACACACGGATAATTGTTTTTGTATAGGAATAAATAGCGAATGATGGGAGTTTAATATAAGAGTTTAAGTTTCAGGAATATATAAGAGTTTAAGTTCACCATTGATGTTCACCGAAAGCTTGAAAGAATATTGTTGAGAGGCAAATCAATATCAATAGAATTGGGATTGTTTTGTGTATACCACGGCCATGATGAAGTCGAGATCGCAATTCTTCCCATTCTTCTTCACTGATTTTTAAAGGATGGACCTAAGTGTACAGTAAAATCTGTAAGGTAAATCTCACCTCTAAATCAGCACATTTCACGCCACAATGCTTCTCAAATTCACCCCGCTCACATAAGCAGCGAGTCATTATTGTCTGAAATTTTTAGCCTATGCTTTTATTTGAAAAACTCACATGAAAACAATGCTGCGTATGTATGTCATAAATCTTATTCAGCGCCCATTTTACCATTAGGCACTCATAGTTCTTCTCGGTCTCTTGGAATGTTAATAACCGACGGGAGGTGTCAAGTTTGATTCTGAAACTTATTTTCGAAGGAGAAGTGCTGAAACTCACCTAAACAATTTGTGTAAATCAAAGTCATTGTCCTTTGGCGCGCTGGCAGTTTTCGTACGAATTTCATGCTCACAATTTTCAAAAATGTTCTCCATCTGGTCGGCAGCGCAACTAGTATTCTAAAGGGGTAAGTAGTATTTTATTGGACTCCACGTGTAAAACGTTAGAATATGACTAAGTAAAAGGTTATAAATACCTGTGTTGCCGAACATTGGGTTTGTAAGTAACCGAGCGTTGCGATAAATTGCGAATCCGGGACCCGGCGTCTGCTGTCCCCAAACTGACGCGAAATATCTCGCGTGGGAATTACCTAGATCAAAAATATATTTTTATATAGCGCTAAGCTTTGGAAACACTGCAATCTATATCAAGTTGCAAAGCAGATAGATCATCCCAACTCCTAAACTTACAGATGGGACCAACAACTGGTCGAAAGTCTTGTAATTTTTCTGATTCTAAAGAAGGGACAGGGTCGTTTATAATATGTTTTCATAGTCAAAAAGGAAAAATTAATGACCCACCTCTCGGTATGTTTTCGGATGAAATTCACTGCATTTCCTTTGCGCCTCGTTGAAACCGACGCGGGCAAAAGTGGAGATCTATACCCAAAAATTTGCATATTAATAAACGCTATACCTGATTGGTAGTACAATATCCAACGCGTTGATTAAAGCAATGATCGAGGAACTAAAATAAAGGGCTTTTCAAAAATCCTTGCAAATCCTACGTTGTAATGGATGCACTTGAACTGCAACGGCTCCGAGGTGCAAATGGCTGATATCCGGCTGAAAATTAGGGCAAAGCACTCGTGGCCGGCCGTGTGGTTGCAGGACTTGTCGCTGCAATTCCAATCAGTTTTTAAATATATAATAAGGATATATAGATCAACTTTTTCAGTTTCTTTGTGGATCTTTGGACTTTGGCGAAAAATTGGACCGCCTTTCCGTTTATCTAGTCCACTGGGACCCTCTGGCGATGATTCGATTTCCGAGGAAGTTCCCGGGTATTGATTTTTGTGCAGAAATGCTAAAAAGTTGGTGTTTTCCAGGATGAATTACACCTAAGAATTACTTGAGGCGAAGCCAATTTCCCGCAGCTAGTTTTATTTTTATCGGCACTTTTATCACTTAGATTTTGTAAATAAATGTCACCTACCCCGCAACGATCATTGTCCTAGATGTATCAATTTCTGAGTCATTAATTGGAATCCCAGGAATGCACGTGCTTTACTGCTGTGGTGGTGACCGGAGATTCACACGTTTTTTTACTGGGATTATAAAATTCAACCAATCTGAAGTGCTATATCCGGCTGACGATTTCATAGAAACACGCAGACGGATCGGGTTTGAACGACAAGTACGAATTAATTTTAACCGGGCGACTACGAACCTTGGAATATGAGATCTGATGAAGAATGTGGAGGCCCCGACGAAAAAGAGCGATATGACGAGGAGTAGCGGGGCTGTCCAGAGCATCGGCAACTCCGCATCGGAGAACCGTCTCTTGTCCCCTGGTCAACCCTAAACATAGTTATAAATTAAACTAATTAGCGTTATTTAAAGCCTAAAGCATCCCAGCTACGTTATGGAAACCTTCCTTCCAAAGGCCCCCCTTTATCCATTTTAGATCTGTAACCAATTAGGCGGGTCCCACGCTTTTATTGATCTCACTGGGCAAGCAATGAGACCCAAAATTCCTACTGTCCGTCGAAAATTTATATACTAATTGTAAACCCACCACTTGCTGACCTCAACCTAGTTCTATCACGAATTTCGATGGCCCCGCTTCATTCAGACAATTCCCACAAGCGCACTGATGTGTGGAACTCCACTAAAACGGATTCTTTAAATGTCCGGATTCACACAAAGAATTGAAATCGCAGTCAAGACGGGTTTCTAATGAATCCCCGTTTCACAAGGTAAACAACAAAAAAGAACCCAGGCGAAGCGATGCAGAGGAGCAACCCCGGCACACCGCCTAATCTGGTCCCCGAGTAATTGTGGGCGCCCATAACGGAAATTCATAATCTTGGAGCCTCCCGCACGCATCAAATGGCTTTTTTCGATGGGGGTTGGGGCCAAGAACAAAATAGAATTTAGGTAATGCAATTGCTAGCAGACTACCAATTAAAGAAAAAACGCTCCAAAAGATTTTTGGGCTAAAGTGAGTTGGACCCTGAAGGGAATTATTCAAATTTGATGAAACCTAGAAATTTTGCCAGTTTTTCGGTTAGCAGGGTTTCGTTGCCATGCGCCCCTTAAAATCCAGTCGAAAGTCTGTGCATCTCGTCTAACAAATATTTAGCTTCGCGTGGATTAAAACACAACTTCGCCTAGCAACTGCTAAAAACCAGGCGGCGAAAAATGACTAAAATTAGGCACCAAGGCTACTCGCTTCCGCTTCTCCGCCGGGTGCCAACCGTGCGAAAAGCCGACAGTATTTTTGGTGCACGGCTGGGAAAACGGGGGACCCGGTGTGATTACGCGGTCGTGTTTTCTATTCTTACGCCATCAACAAGGAAAAATCACCCTCATGGCTCTTTTCAAAAAGTTCCTGGTGAGGTGAAAAATATTGCCAAGGAGCAGGCAGCCCAAAAAAGCCATCGCAATACCCAACAAATAACGGAAAACCCCGAGAATCGATGCCCATTAATAAATGGGCCGTTCTAGAGAGGGGCGATGAAGGCTTTTATCGGATCCTTCTGCAGTAATTTCATAAAATCCGCGAAGCCAGAATGGGGACGGCGACGCGGGAAGCCAACAATCCGTCTCCGGGCCATTTTTTGGCCCGCAGCTTTAGAAAGCCAGAAATAAACCCGGGTATACCTGAGAAAAATAAATGGAAAAACCATAAATCAAACACGCCGAATTTTCGCGATTGTTCGCCCAATACTAATTCTGCCATTTGTTATGGGCTATTGTTATAAAAAAATAAAAGGGCAGACGGGGGGGGGGGCTTTAAAAACGCAGAGATTGATATGAAGACATCGATACATGGGGGGATAAAAGGTGTCATGGCAGGGAGGAGGAGCCCCAATTAACGGCACATTGTCCATAAGCCCCCGGGTGGGTGGCACACAGAAAATGGCTCTAATCCTAGACCCCAAAATGAACTAGTGTGTGAGGGCGTGTGTAAAAGGGGAGCAGTAGCGGGTGGGAAGAAGGCGTTGTATGGATTAGATGGGTCGAGCTACTATCCGGCTAATTGTTGCTATTCAGTGGAAAGAGAAACAGAATGATGGTGGAAGGGGGGAGCGTTTGAGCGAGGGAAAGGCCTAGACGAATCTTTTTCCCATTGGCTAGTCAAACCGGGGCCAAAAGTCTGATGCACTTGAAACGAGTAGAGTTCAAAACGTTTTCCTTAAAAAAACTACCGTATTTCTTCTAATATAGCTCTAATATAATTCGTTTGGTGATTTTTATCAAAACTGTATCTAAATGATATTGTTTATGGGAAAATGGAGATAGATAATTGTTTAGGCATTGGGCTGGTCTTGTCATCGGTTTAAAGCTTTTCCGACGTGGCTTGAATTATCAAGTAGTAGCAGAATTCTAAGCATCTACCGAATTTTGAAGAAGGACGGTAAAAAAAATTAAATGAAACTAGAGTCTAAGGCGTCAAAAAATCGGTTAAAGTTTTAAGTTACTTGAATCCGAAATACTGCCCATCTAGAAAACAAATTGAATAACCGGAGACTCTGAAGACCCAAACTATCTTCCCCACCCCATGCAGGGCATGTAGGAAGCCAGCCAACCGATGCCAATATATGTATTTGCCATACGGGAAGAAATCCCACAAAAATTCGCCCCCGGAAAGTGCCTACCGCCTGAGTGTCGCCCTTCCCCTTCTTTTTTTGCCTGAGCGGGATTAGCCGGCCCGGGGGGTAATCCGCAGAGATCCTTCCAAAGCAATCATTTTTGGATTGTCTCGCGGTGGGATATTGTGGTTGTTTGCCGCAAATGCTGTGCTTATAAGGTTATTGATCGGCGAGGCGAAAAACCATGTGCGGTGAAACTACTATGTAAGTAGCTTTGACTGCAGTATCCAAATCAAAAACTGTAAAATCGCACAAATTAACAAGGCGCTGATTCGTTTGTCGGAACCACTATGGAACACAGCCAAGAACGTCTCGCTTTTTCGGCCCAGAAGAAGAGGATAAGGGGCCAAGCCGTGGCAAAGGACCCAAAATTGGAAACTCGAATGGAATTTCTGCGGACGGCCGGCCCAGCGCGGCGCTTCATCAGAGGGATAAAGGGGGCCCATATTGGACGAGGGAAGGCCTTAACTCCAACCACACAACGGCTCTTGACGCCCAAGAGCTATCCCTTTATTCTCCACAAATCCGGGAGAAATTTAGTATACGGGGAGGCTTTACTAAAAAGGTGGCAACGAAGTATTTTTAGATGAACCAGCTATCGGAAATGAGGGGGTTTTGTTGGATATGTGAGACAGATTTCAGGCGGCTGCAGAAGCTGTAGACGTAGATAGACGACCTCGGAGGATGATGCGCTGAAGAGATCATTAAAATATGCGAATTTCAGAATTCCTGACGACATATTATGGTACCTTGAATTGGGTCCATGTTTTGCCCGTAGAAACTTCAGCGTAACTCTGTTATTCCTGAACCGTAAATTTACAGGGCTGCCGTCTCTCGCACATTCACCCCAAAACATTGCCGTCTCAACGGGCTGAAGCGGAACGTTCTAATAATAAATCTTGCGAAAGGAGCCGCCACCTTGCCCGCACAGGCCGCATCGACATGTCATTGAATAATCAATCAGTTTCGATTTTTATTTCTCGGGGCTCGCATTCGGGGCAGTATACGACAAAGCTATTGCCTGGGCTTTGCTATTCGGATATATGCTGCTAACCATTTTAGACGCTCCCTACGGTTTACACAGATACACCTAGTTCTAAAGAAATCTAAGGTGCGAAATGTATTGAAAACTATAGGCGACCAACTCTATAATACGTGTCGTTGAGCTAAAGACATTTTTAATCTGGTCGTCAGCTCGCAGTACGAAACGCTCGAAAAGACGGTTCAGAGCGTTTAGCACAGCTATTTTTCCAGTGTCACGGATTCAATTATGGTGGAGGCCCTGGGGGCATCATCATAAACATCTGCATACTCAGGGCCATCATTTCCCGCCCAACCACAAAGACATCTCCGGCTCATTCGATAAAAATAGATTTTGTTTGTCTATAATTCGCGACCCCCGAAGCTTCCAACCTTTTATTTGGTCCTAGAACTATTCAATTGCGATTGTTTTGGGTAAAGCTTACATCCTCAACGCAGCCCGCCCAAGAATAGCCTTTATTTCTCTTAACAATCCAAGTAAGAACATGAGAATTTCGCACTTGCTACGTGAATAACATTACGTTTCTGATACACTACTGATTTCCTAGAAAGCCTTTGTATTACCCATTTTAATTCGCTGCCCTCCAAAGAAGTTCAAACGTGTCTCTGCGTCTCTGCCTGGAACGCGGTTCTTTTCGTTGCACTACGACCTTGTTTACCTCTCGGCACCTTTTTTGAACAAGGCCCCCACACACCCTGTTTACGCCAATACAATCCTTATTCATACAACATTTTCAGGCAATTATTGAACTAGAATATTTCTAATTTTGCTTTCTATCTTCCCGGCCCTGTTTCAGGGTTTCTTAGAGGCTTGGCAAGGGTGAATCGCAAATATTGACTAGGCGGCCTGAACTGCCCCGTAAATCTTTTTCCGTCGCGCTTTTCGAAATTTTCGAAACTACCTTTTTGCCCTGGAGAAGACCCAGCAACCTGCACAATAAGCTTCATAAAACTCTATATTTTTATTCTAACACTAAAAACCTTGCAACTGACTTATGCGCTATGAATGAAAAATGAGTAGTCGAAAACCTAATGAAATTTTGCACATATTTTCGGCCGTTCGCATTGCGTAATTCTTGGCGCGACTCACTAATCTGTATGGATAATTTTGTGCGAGAGCAAACATTCGCGTGCATCTCGATGTCAAACACGAAAGGCGGCATCTTTCGGGCCACTTGCAACACCACGCAGTTGCCTTGTCTTTCCGAGAGTGGCCATTAGGACGGAGTTTTCCTTTTTCCGGCACCTACCGCTGATTTTTTGTTTTTGTTAGCTGATTCTTCCATTTCATTTGTTCCTAGCTTAGTCTAAGGTTTAGAGATGGATGCACCAAATGGTGCTCCCAGCTCATCTGGGCGAACACGCCGCTACAGATTGGAACATTCGCCTTTGCGTACACCTACGTAAGTGCTATTATTTCAATAGCAAATTCTGAATCGTGTAGCTAATCGCTTTTGCCATTTAGTTCTCCTCGCCTAACGGTCGAAGAGATAGACGAGCTTTTGGAGCGCTCTGTCGACACGGGATTTTCCTATGTTGATAGGTAATTTAGAAAAACCCCTGCAATTACAAGCATTTAGCGTGATCTACCGTCCATCCCGATATCAAGATAGCACCTATCAAATTCCGAATTTGACTGGTTTTGGCGCCGCCACTGGGGTGCAGAAAATAAATCGTGGTGTCTACCAACAAAGTTCTTTCGGGACTACCAAGGTGAGCTCGAAGACGTGTCCCCGAAGCCAGACTTTCAGACTACCTTCGCTGGACTCCTTGATGTTCTCGTACGATTGCTAGGCTCTATCCCTGGCTTCCTGCTGTACGGTATCATCTGGCTACTAAAACCAGGTAGCTTCCAATGCTGTATGCTAAACTCAGCATTTTTAGTTTCTTTTCTTATAAATGTCCTTGTATGGACCACCCACTATCACTTGTGGTTGGCGCAAGGTCGTCAGCGGCTTCGAGTTGATCAGGAATTTTGTAAGTTCATTCGAGAAGAATTTACATTTATATTTAGTATCTCGACTCTCAGCATGGGGCCGTTACGTGCGGACTGCTTCGGTCGTTTATGAAGAGTCATCCTATATGGATACCCTCGGCTACATTGTCCGTACTGCCTGGCGCCACTATCCCCCGGCACGATTCCTCTGGAACATCAGCCAGAAAATTGATGTATAATTCTTGCTTCTGCACAAAATTTGGTTTTAGAGCTTCTTCGCCCGTTTTACTTACCTCCCACCGCCTTTCGAGAAATTTTACATACCGGTCTCATCCCAATATTTCGACTCCTTCAACGTTAAAAAGGTTGGCCTGGTTCTTGCATTAGTTAAATTATTTTTAGGGATTTTCGACACCACCAAGAGCCCAGCATGAAAGTCGTCGCGAAGAGAATTCGGAAAGTCTGACAACAACCCCGCTGCGACGCGGCAGACCATCCAAAGCATCTTCTGTCACGAAGCGCGTCACTGTCGACACCTCAGCTCCTGCCTCGAGACCGGCCAAAACCATTACCTCATATAGCTCTGATCACGACCAGGATGGGTACGTTTTACACAAAAAATCTTTTGAAGCTAAAAATAATATGTCACCAAGTTTGGGTTAATACTAAATTTCAGGAGGGCACAGTCAAATGGAAAATCCAGCATGAAAAGCATGGCCACCCTGAACACAGCTGATCCATTCCTCAGAAATACCGCTAGCACTGTTTTACTGGCCACGAAGAACGCCGCTTTGAACTTCCTCTACATATCCATTGGCCTGGGCTGGTGGATTTATGATACGGCCCGAAAAGGCACGGGATTTCTCGTGGAAGCTGTCCGGTAAAAACTCTAAATGCTTTCCCTATCGATAGTTTCAGCTCTCGATTTGCCGATCGTGCCAGCAATAATCATTTGGATATCAATTCCCGATCTTATAATCTGCGTACTCGTAAGACTACTGAAAGGTTTGCTAGCACCTCGCTGATCCAAAACCAAGATTTTAGCGTCCGGGAACACTCGGGCAAGAAGCGCTTGGCTGCGGGGGTTTGCGGATATTGCTGGTGGTTGCTTCCGCTGCTATTCCTACTATTGGTTCTGTTGGCCAGCCGCAACGACGACGGTAATTATCTCTCTGCGTTCTCTACTTTCTTTAGTTCGCGAGGGCTACAGACGTGGCGATCTGTCACGGATGACAGGCGGCTTCCTCAATGAGGTTATTTCGATTCCAAAGAACACCGGTGACCTGTTACTCACGACGTCTTCTACTGGCTACAATAAGCTATCATCTGGAGTCAAGACGGCCGGAAGCTACATCAGGGCCGGGGGCAGCAATGTTGTTGATGGGCTGAAGAATCTATCAACTGACTTCACCGGTACAATCGGTGCTGCAGGAAATTCTTCGTACAATGCCGTTCACCGTGCCGTCGCCTGGCTTGGAAGAAAGATCTTTGCCTTCCCGGCCGCCATCTACCATTTTATTTCCGATGGCACCAGCAAGGCGTACAACAGCTCGACAACAATGTTCTCATCGCTGTACGATAGCGTTGGGGGTTTCCCAGCAGCGGTCTTCAACGGCATCAAACACGGCTTTGGCTTGGTCTACAGCGGCCTGAAGCATTGCTTCGGATATATCCACAACTTCTACAATTGGATCGTAAATGTCTTCCACGGTGGCTGGACTGGCTTCTATGACCTGTTCTACTCATTCTTCCGCGTATTCATTGACATCGTCCTCGGCGTTAAACGTGGAATGATCGCTTTCACCCACTACACATTCGACACGATTACGGTAATTAGGCTTGCTCTGAATAACTTTCTCCTAGGATGCGGCTTCATCGATCTGGGCCTTCTTGCATTCGCCATCGACCCATAAATCTGAAAAATCTGAGATCTCTGAGAAGGCCGAAACCCACTCGCACAAGACAACTGAACAAAGTGGGTTGCAAGCTTTCAGCCGATATTTCAATTTAGCACAGCAAAGCGGGATTGATGCCAAGTACCTTGATAGTATGATCACAAAAACGATCGAGGCTAAAATTGCTGCGGCCAAGGAAAAGGGCCTGAGCAAAGAAGATATGGCAAAACTGATCCAGGTTGAAATGGGTCAACATGCAGAAAGTAAGACCTTTCAATTTTCCTCAAACGTTGTTTAGAATATCGCAGCGAGGTCGATAAGAAGGTGTCTGTGCAAGTGGAGAAACTTGTTGAAGAACGTGTCGAGGCACTTCTGGCCACGATCGTCTCCGAACACTTGAGCAAATTGACCGTGAAGGCTGAGGACGTTGACCGTTCCAAGATTGAGTTGCTGGTCAAAAACGCAATGCGGAAATTCTACCTCGGTAAGTTAATAAATAATGGGGCCATAGCTAAAAAATTGTTTAGATAATACGGGATTGGCCGATTATGCTCTGGAATCTGCTGGAGGATCCGTGGTGACGACTAGATGCAGTGAAACATATTCGAAAGCGAGTCGATTGGAGCGAATCTATTCTATTCCATTGTGGTATAGCAATTATGGCCCGAGAACCGTTATCCAGGTTTGTGACAAGTGCCTTTTTTGTTGATTGATTTTTAGCGCAACTCGCCAATCCTCAATCCTGGTGAATGCTGGCCGCTTAAGGGATCTGTCGGATTCCTTACAATTCAACTGGCCCGTCCCCTTCGCATCACTTCCGTTTCTTACGAGCATGTCGCTGCTGATCTCACTCCAGAAGGACGTATCCTGTCTGCCCCTAAGGAAATTACGTTCTTCGTACGTTAAGGGCCCCTTGGGGATACATATCCATTTAGGCATACAAGGAAGTAAACGACGTACAGACTCGTGTTAAGCTGGGAGATTTTGTTTATGATATCAACAAAGACCCGCTGCAGTTCTTCGAAATTACGGTAGGTTCACTCAAAAAACGCATCATAAATCCACTTAAGAACATTAACCAAATATAATAAATCAACGATTTAGGTTGACCCCGGTTTTCCCGTGCTCTATCTCGAGCTCCAGGTTGATTCCAACTACGGCGAAGAATTCACTTGCCTATACCGACTTCGTGTCCACGGAATTCCGATCCTTGACAAACCACAATCTGAAGTTACTCCCGATGAACTTTAATAGTTTATGTTATATAGCTCCCCTTCCTCACTTGCCCTCATTATCTTACTGCCCACTCTCACTTCCGCCATTATCGGCTGCCCTACTTCGGGGTATTCTCACGGTTCGATCTCATAAGATACCCCCATCCCCCAAAATTTTCCGTAGATTTTTGTTGTACGTCCCGGTGCCCCCTTTCGTTCTTCTAATAAATTTTTCGGAGGTGGCTATGCTGCTTCTGTTTAATAGAGCTGTAAAACACCTCCAACTGCAAGATAATCACCCGGTGCGAGGATTAGAGACATTGAACCTAAACCCCGTCAGCACTATCCACCTCGGTAAAAGTCTGGCCCTAGTACGCGACAGCTGTCTAGCTAGCTTTGCTGAGTCAACGGCCAGCTGTGGTGACCATCGCTTACTTTTAGTCCCACCACTGGTGGATGCGCTCGCTCTCCCGGTTCCACTGCTGTGATATTTTTTGCATCATTGCTGGTCGGCTACGTGGCCTTAGCTCTTCATTGGTAGCATGAGGAAATCTTTCTCCTCTATATCCCTGGGAGGACGACTCCCGGTTTGGCTTGAGACGGCGGCCTCGACCCACTGCTTCCAGCGCTGGGGCTCCGCGCATGTTTCGGTTTTTTGTTCCCAGACATTGTGGGAGTGTATCGCTCTACCTATATAAAGTTAAATTCGACAGTGGGACAGCGTGAAATCATTGCGTTTCCTACCGTACATTGAGATGCCTTGATATCGTAATAACGCCAGGTTGCACAAAAAAGCCGGGCCGTTCTGGCTTTGGTGTTGTTTTTCAAGAAAGACGTGTTTTTAGGGTGCTTACGTACCATGTCGTTTTAAAATTTTTTATGCTCTACAAGATGGCCATATTGGTTGGGCTTGCAAATACTTGCATCGTTTTCTTTTGGACTTTCCTTTTGAACATTGGACAAAAATTGCTAGATTTTCTGGTCCCGCTGACATCTCGTCGTACATGAGGCGTGGTAGATCAGAAATAATAGGGATCGCTCATCGTAAAAGGTTTTTCTTAAACGATTTCTCAGATGTCTGTCGAAATTTGGTCACCCTCGAAAGTAGAAATTATGGACTAGCACGTTACAGTAAGCTCCAATATTCACGCGCTGTCTGAAAAACGACCATGGCAAAAACGGCAAGGTATCTGTAAACCCTGATACCAAATAATGTCAGATTCGGTCACAGAGCCACCAAGAGCATCCATTTCCCCCCTACTACTTCTGCCAGCCACGTCGTGCCAATTTTCGCCATAGACTGCCATGTTTATGCTTTGGAAGCTAGGGTGGCTTGAGGGGGGAAGTGTGCAGGCGGTTCTGTGGGGCAGGGATACATCTGGTGGATGCTCCTCGGGGTGCTCTTATGGGGAGAACCGGTCATAGGATCGATCTCCTTCCACACATTCTCCTGCTCCCCTCTTGGCGATCTTGCAGCTCGACTCTCGAAACGCCTCCAACGGGCTGGGGCTCCACCTCCTAGCCCCTCGTTGACTACCCAATTTTAGACGGTCATTCTAAATATTGCTGCTTATGGTTGGGCTGAGGGAGTTTTGGGTTGTCGGTAGATTTTGCTTAGATTAGTACAGTAACCTTTTGGACGCGCTACTATTGAAGGATGGCTTATTGTAATTATTAAATTAACAGTATTAATAACCTTCTAACAAAGAATCTTGATGTAGATCCAAGGATACCCTCAGAACCCTAATATGTCAAACCTCGAACCCTTCAGGGTCTCTTTTCAGTCCAATCATCAACCCAATTTCCCGCGATTTCAGATGTGCAAAACTTGAATCAGTCGCGCAAGCTTCTTCAACAGTTTTCTCCCCTAACCACCCATCCACCAGAAATAAGGTCAAAACCCCGGTGGCTGACCATAGGCTAGCCGGGTTCCGCTGTAATGGCTGACCCTTCCTGGCCCTATCTCAGCTCACCATCACACTCATACTCCTATTCCCCCTTCCACGCCCTCCAGTACCCCACAGCCTGCCAGTATCGATGCTTTTCTATAGATTTATCTTATCTTGAGTGCTCTTAGTTGATCATTATACACCAAATAACTTTCAGGCACATGTTGAAGTTCCTCATACTTGTCCTGCTCGTCTCGTTCGTCGCCGCCGAGGAGGAGCAGAAATTGAAATGGAAGGACGATGATGGCTTGGAAGTCAAGGTATTTTATTGGACGGGCTAGTTCGGCGGTTCAGTGATGAGGGATGTTTATGAAAAATTTCCAAGGCGTCTACTCGCATTTTCTCACGTAGCTTGCAGCATTTAAAAAAAATGCAGGAAATATCTTTGATAAGCATTTATCAAAACCCGTTTCAGATCATCAAGCCCGTCAAGGCAGAGAAGTGCAAGCTGAAGTCACAGGAAGGCGACACCCTCGAGCAGTACTACCGATTGACCGACAAGGAAGGAAAGGAAATTGGAAGCAATTTCGGAAAGAAACCGTAAGTTAAAAATGAAAAGTAAGTGTACCGCTTCTTCAGATACACATTTACCCTCGGAAAAGGGCAGGTTATTGCCGGTATGGAGCGTGCTATGACTGGAATGTGTATTGGAGAGAAGAGGAAGGTCGTCATTCCGGGAGCTCTCGGATTCGGAAACAAGGGACGAGAACGGTGAGTTTGAGAGGAATTTTAGGAATTTTACGAAATGTACATTTCTTGGATTCTCAATTTATAATAAGTTTTTAGCGACAACATCGTTGAGGACCAGACCCTCTACTACACCGTTCAGCTCGTCGATCTCTTCCGCCCCAACCCCGGTGAGAAGTGGACCGATGAGGATGGACTCGTTATTGAGGTCGGTATAAAATTTGTGGGGGAAGTGCGGAAGCAGCTAGATGTTGAGAAAGAGCCGTCAAAGACCTGTTTTGCGAGTCTGGGTGCCGTTGAAAAAATTTCCGCGACAAACCCGGGACAATAGTAATGCCCCTAATTTCAGGTCAGCCACCAGATCCCCGAGTCTGAGTGCCGCAAGTCGGAGGTCGGAGACACCATCCACCAACAGTACACGCTGCACCTTGAAGACGGAACATTCGTTGACTCGTCGTGGTCTCGTAATGCCCCCTTCATCTTCCGTCTCGGAAACAATGAAGTTATCAAGGGAATGGATAGGGCCATGACTGCCATGTGCGAGGGAGAGAGGAGAAAGGTTCGTATTAAATTTATATAATCCGCCTGAATTAATCGAAAATAGCTACAAACCACAAACAGTTCTAAAATAATCTTGCTCTAGGTCATCATCCCCTACGAACTCGGCTACGGAGAGGAGGGACGCCCGCCCCAGATCCCCGGAAAATCCAGGCTCTACTTTGACATCCAGCTCGAAAAGCTGATCAAGAGGGATGAACTCTAAATCAAAATCCCCCCATTTGTTTTTGTTGATCATTGTATTTTGTGTCCTTGTTCTTCCATTCTAGCGTTTGCTAAATGTTATTGATCCCAATCTGTTTCGGACACTCACATTTGCATACGGGGCCGCCATCGAATCACTTTACCAAATTGTAATTTAATTTAATATGTACTGCCTGATAAACTATAATGTCTTAATATAACTATAACGGGGAAAACGTTGAACAGGAAAAACAATGGAGAAAAACAAAGAGGTGCATAGGAATTTACAATAACAGGAATTATACATAGATCCTTACGAATTCCAAAAGAAAAAAAACAAATTATTTGTACTAATCACGAGTGATCAATTCTCGGTGGCACAGGCAAGTAGTATAAGCCGCCAACACATTACGAGCTTTCCGCTCCAAACGACGAGCTCGTACTAGACGTTTTTCGTATAAAGCCTTCTCGTTCAAGAACATTTCCTGATCAATTGGTTCCAATAACTGTAAGACCCGGCTCAGCTTTGCGATCATGTTCCCAACGCATTCTTGCTCACAATCAGTCAGAATCGGGCCAAAACGGAGCCCGAAGCGAAAGAACGTTTCCCGATGCTGGGTCAGCGAGCGTATTCGCTCATTAACCTAAATTTCTTAAAATGGAGGCTTATAAACAGTATCCGTACCTTCCAGGGAAACTCGGGCCTGTTCGGTGTGTGGTTAGGGTTACGTCTCGCGGCGACCAATTCCTAAAACTGTTAAACGGGAAATGAGAACGACCGGCCTCAGGCGAAGATTCGGATAGGGTGTCGCTATCGGACTCGCTGCTGCCATCTGCCTAAACAATTTTTGAAAGCAAGGTTGGGATTGTTACATACATCGTTTGCCTGGGCAGCCGGATTTCGCCAGGCCTCCTGAGCGGCCATCCGGTAGCGGCTCTGAAAATTGATGGTACTGAGTGCAAAGGTTGCAAAGGTCTGATTAATCAACAAAGTAATTTGGAACTTGTTATGTGTCATTGAGTTAAAAAAGCTTTAGGTTATATTAAAGGTAGGGTATACACTCGCTGATACTGGCGTTATAAATGTCGTTGCAAAGCCTAGTAAAATTCGATTTTTCTAACACTATTTTGAGCAGTAAAAAGTTCTAGACACTCCTAAAGCCAGCTCACAATCAAAAGAATATACGTTGGCCAAGAGTGAGTAACGATATATTGAATTGGTTTTTCTTGTGAGCAAGGGATTTCGATGAACCCGGACCGGCAACGACTACAAGGCAAGCAGCCAGGCCACTCCTCCCATGGCAACCGCAACGAAAAGTTTACAAAATCCCGGCGTGACATTGGTGACGTAAAAAGTTAAATAGACAGAAAATTTATTATAAAGGTTCGAAAAAAAGTGTTCTTCCTAAACTGGACCGGTTTTTCTGATGGCAATCTGGCGGATCGCTATTTCCTACAGTACTTTAATTAGGGAGTGACGAGTAAGTCTTGGAAAGCCGCACAACTTAGACTCCGGATGCGGAAAATGTTTTTATGAAGGAATTGGGAGGAGAAAATCCTTTCCTCGGTTGATGGAGGCCCAAGAAAAAGAGTCAGGTAACAACCAGGAACGCAAAAAAACAGGTGAAATAAAAAGCATGCCCTAGGGACGCCAGCTGCACAAACGATATGTTTTCATAATTAAGGGAGGTAAATTTAAAGGCTAAGCAAAAGGGATTATTAAAGAGACTTGAGAAACGGGCGTTAACTTACAAAACTCGTCGTCAAAATTAACGTCTCTGTGGTAGTTGCATGGCCATTCAAATTGCTACATAAATACAGTCATAGCAGGTTAATATGAAAAAGATGATGGTTGAATTTTTAGAGCGTGAAGAATCGAAAATTTACATGAACTTCGTGAATCGACAAACTCTCTTGGTGAATATTGATGAAGTTCTGCTTACAAAACTGCTTCCCTTCATGCCGCATCCAACACTTGTCTGGATCTTTTAAAAAAGATCCGAAAGTGGCCCGTGGTTTTTAGTTTTTGTATCTTTGGTAAATCGTATTTGTGTTTATTGTTCATACCATGGTAATTCACTTCCAGCAAATTAACTTACAACGAATAAAAGTATTTGACTTTTTAATTGGCTCCACGTTGCTTCCCTGTTGTTGATAACAAAAATTTTTTTGGCGATCATCCTTATAATCGCTCCCCATATACTTAAATGTAGTTGAAGCTCGACAACCATTAAATCCATCGCTTACTGCTTTAGATTTGCCCCCCCTTCTGATTGCCCAATATGCCGCATTTCCGCTCATAAAAGGGCTTCCTCTTAATATCCGGCGATTCAAAGCACAATAAACCTCTGGGAATTCCCCCCTATAGTCATGACAATTGATTTCCACATCAAAGACCCGATCAGGTTTTAGATAGATTTTTTATAGACTCGACCGTCCCCAACCTCTGCAACAAAAACGAATCGTTTTCCTCGTCGTCGAACCTGTTTTGTTGGGTCCCTCGGTTTTTCCATTATGGCTTCAGAAGCCATGTGGCATCGACGACCCCCCGGTGCAGCTATGCAAATAAGCGACGGACTCCCCAAAATTTCGGTAGAATTCCGATAGATCTAAACTATCCGAATTGTTGAGCCGAATTTTATTGGTTCTTCCTACAAACTATCGAAATTATTTAGCGCGCGTTGCTTAGCGCCACCACCTTCCCTTTTTTGCACTGGCCCCTAGCCGGACTAAAGCCCAAAGCATGAATGCCCTTACGTTCCGCTTCCCCTTTTTTGGTTGTTCTTCAAAAACACAAATCCATTCTAGCGCGTTCTCAAGGACATGGACTTATGAATCGAGATTATGTCATTGGTTCGACATTATTGGAGATGCTTGCACAATTATCGGAAGCTAATCCAACTTATTGTTGTTTTTATGTTAATATATGCATTCCATCGATACCATAGGCCACCAAAAGTGATAGCAAAGGTGAACTAAGAAGGTTCTTGTAAGAGCTTGTTTAGAAATATATTAGTCCTGAATGTGCGTGTGTTGATGATGACGGTCAAGAGTATGACTTTTGTTATGCACTTCCGGAAACAGGAGCATTGGGCAAACGATTTAATTGTTCTTATTTAACGCAGTTAAAGGAATTAGGTAAATAATGCGGTCGAACCGTTTTTTAGAAGAAATTATTTCAGGACTAGTGCCTGAAAGTAAAACTATTGATTTGGCGTCGGAAGAAATGCCTGATCCTGTATTTGTTACTGCATTTTCCGATAATCATTGGGATGAAGCAAAACGGATGGTATTAAAAGCTATGAACAATTAAAACCCTGTAGCAGATGTCGCTGGTCCGATTATACTGGCCTAAGCAGCGAATTATCATCTACAGCCTCGGAATTTCTGAATACACCCAAGATTACATCCGGAAGCAGTGTAATGTGGAATTGAGGTTTTGGATTTTGACGCGATCTTTCAATAGTATTGCAGAGAATTCAAATTCAAAAAATATCCAAAATATGTCTCCCAACTTTTCGAGTATCGATGGAAACCGATTATAATTGCGGTAGGTAACGGATTTACTAAGGTATCTTCTCTCAAATTAGGAAACCCTCAACGAATTCGGTGCTATTTGGTATATGGATAGTTCGATAACATTTAAGAAAGCTGATTTGTCACATGTTTATCAGGTTTGTTCTTTTTCGCGTTTTGGGTACATCCGAACCGGAGTTTTTGGGAGCAGGATTAATTTTAGTCATACCAAATGTAGGGATTCGGATTCAGCAAGGCCCTTTTTCAGTTAGTGACGTGTCGAAGAAACCAAAATCCGGTGCAACCACTGCCGTCAATAGCACAACGGGATATTCGAGAAAACACAACCGCCCATGAGTCCGGTTGGGATCAAAAGCAATGGCAAGAAAATGTGAAAGATTGTCGAAAAGTAGGTCGGAAGTCGAAAATTTTAACATGTTGTTCTAGGCTGCCTATTTATTCCACGGCTATACGGGTCACGGCATTTATCCGGCAACTTCTCAGCGTAAGAACGCATTTAATTGTATTATAAGTTGCTTAGATGTCTATCAATATTTTCCAACCAATTTCAAAGAGATTACAAAGCCTAAGGCAAAAATGTACGAAGCGGGTTTTATATTTGCGGTAAAGACGAGTGATACGGTGGAGGGTATTTTGAAATGGTAATTTTAAAACCTTTTAAAAAATTCTTCGCTTAGGTATGTGTTATGTGCACTGGAAGATAGTTGTATGGCACCAAGGGGAGTCCCCGGAATTTCGCTAGGGTGCCAATTTGGAAAAGACCGATTTTCGTAAGTTATTACTGTAACTATGTATCAAAAATTACCCCAGTTCCTTTGCGAAATGCCACCGCTACGATCAATCTATCGTCAACCTCCTAGCAGCCAATGCAAATCATTACGATCGCCATTATTATGTTTCTGAAATCGTTGACTTTTTCAATGTGGTGCGTGGTCCCGGACTGCCTTATAAACTTGACCTCAGTTGTGACGTAAAGAATTGAGAAATAGGAATTTATAAATAGATTTCATTTTCGTTTCTTGAAGCATTGAACACCAGTAAGTGAATAAGCACTATAAGAATCACGGCTCTTTGGAACACAGTTCTCGTCACGGAAAAAAACGAGGGTGAAGGATTGGGCAAGGGGGCAAGGCGGAGATTGAGAACGAGCAAAAGATAGGGAATACATGAGCGAAAGACAGAAAGGAAGAGTTAGTCTTCTTCTTGTTCGATGACACATTGCTTGATTTTTAGTCGGAGGGGTTTCTTCTTTTTTGGGTCCTGAATGGAAAGTAGGTTTATAATAGCTATTGATGCACAAACCCGGATTTCCACCTGGGAATCATTGACTTGGACTTGCAGCCGAAGTTTGTTAGGAGTAGGCTGATCATCTTGAATGAAAGCTGACAGATGGCTGACAATCTCATCCTCCAGAATTAAATCCATTCTGCTGGCATTCAACTAAAAAAACGCATTTCAAAAACCAATAGCATCCTTACATTCAGAATTGAAATCTGTTGATCAGCCGGCGAGAAAAGCGTGAATTGAATCTGCGGATCAGAGGCTGGCTGGGGTGGCTAAATTAATTTAGTTTTTTCAAAGCATGTTATTTGATACCAGGCTTGGTGGTATTGATTTGTAGACATCGCCTCTCATTAGGCCGAGCTCTTGTAATAAAGAAAATCTAAAAAAGATTGTATCAAATGGTGTTAGGGCAAGCTACCTTTCTGATTTCCCAATAACCTTCAGATTATTATCAGCAACGTTGATGATGACAGCAAGATCCTGGAGGTTCGCCGTCATCGAATTGCACTACAAAGAAAATATAGCAAACAAAAGATCCCATACTTGTTCGGCCATCAACCTTTTATAGTGCCGATCATCAGCGATCTGATCATCAACAGCAAATGCTTCCATTGCTTCTTCTAAAAGAATCTGTATATCACAAAAGATGGTTTACATACCGGCCGGCAAAAAGTCATCCATCGGCAAATCGGAAGCGATGACACTCATATCATCATCAGAGACATCAGTTCGAATGGACATTGTGTCAAAGTTTGAGGGATCTGTCATATTTTAAGGTTACTTCGAAATTGTTCAGTTCTCTTACCAATCTCGCTCGCCTGATCGGCGCTGTATTCTTTAAACACCACTTCTTCCACCACTATCCGATCCCCGACGGTCCTTATTTCAGTATGTTTCTTGCCGGCTTCCAATTTGACACCAGGCAGTTCGATGGGTGGGGTCGGGCTGAGGTTTGCTGAAAAAGGTTAATTGATTTTGCATTCCGCAGTTGCCCCTCGAATCCCACGCCTAAATTCTAGGATGTGAATTTCGAATCCTTGCGAGATTCCGACCCAGTCACCTCCGGAATGGCACTCTACCAATATTTGTGGACACTCAAGTACGAAAATGGACATTCCCCGAAAGGGGCGGTGACCCATCTGATGAACCCGGAGGGGATCAAATTACAGACACCCCTGCTCTAGACGGACATCTTTCATATTCACGTCGCCGCTACGGGAATCTTCTCATTAAAATGGATATGTTTTGGTCAAGGGAATTGTTATTCCTAGTTCCTGGTTACGTAAAGTTTTTGGTTGTTTTTGTTGTTTCAAGAGCCAAATTATTTTTGGCGCTTTGAACTAATGAAGAATTACGGAAAAAAATTACTTTCTTCGTAATCGTTATCCAGAAAACTAAAATTTACATAAATTTAATTCGGGGCTTGATTAAATTTACCTATGTACATATATAAATTTAATCAAGCCCCGGAAGCAACTTTTAGCAACAAGTTATTGAGATTTCGCCGCTCCAGAACGTCTTCAGAAAGTACACGCAACCGTATACCACACGCGGATGCACCCCTCCCCCACGCGCAAGATGCGCCAATTCGCGCGAGAATTTGTCGAAAAAACCGGCGGACCGGGCGGTGTCCCCCTTTGAGGCCCGAAATCGGCTTATAGCCTCCAGGCGTACCCCCCTCCAATGAACAAACAACCACTCACCCACCCTCTTCTTCCTCCCTCACACACAGGCACCGTCAACCCAACCGATTGTTCCGTGTTTTCTTCCGTACGGGTTTTTTATAATGCAAAAACCATTTTTTATTCATTCTCATAAGCTTTGATTTTGGGGCTTAATCATCATTCAAAGTCACATGCGAACTTTTGACGAGCTAGGGTTACTGTAGGTTTTTGGGAAATAGCTTCAGTAATTGCTTTTTTCTAAATCCTGTTCTGAAATTTCCGCTTATTCAGAGAAGCTACGATTTTGAATTGCAGCAATGATGCATCGGGATACAGTAACTTAACGGTTACTGTATGTTTGATTTTAAGCATTCACTTCTGAATCCCGGATTTCCCATGGTCAGTGCATGGCTCCTTGAAGGCTCCCTCCTTTTGGATAATTTCCGATTTTGGTGTTGAATAGCTATAAGGATCTGAGTATCAAGTTATAGCTGATTACCGATATAAAATTACTGTAGGTTTGAACTGCGCCTTCACCTTCTAAATCCTAAGCGTTCACATCTGAAAATCATGTCCTGATGTCACCTTCCATCCCACGGTTCATCAAATGACACCAACACTCAAGCTATCCTTTGTCTTCCCCACCCGACTTCCGCATGCCATCCTTCTTTTTTTGATCCAGGCAAAACTCTCCTATTTCTCACGTTCAAACTGTACAACCCCGATTTCCAGAAGCCAAGCGTGATCCTCCTCTTCCCCATCTCCAGAGAACTCCAAGGCCCCCGAGGCGAGGGACGCAGACTTTATAATTCGAGGGCTCCCCCTCTTTGAGACCAATTCGAGTGCTTATGTGTTGACCGTGTGCCCCAGAGTGCGCAAATCTTTCTGTCTCTACCACCACCCCGAACGTCTCCAGTCTATGCGGCCTTCCCCCACATCCACCCTTCTGGCCCACAGCATCTGTTTCTGCGCCGTCCACTTCATTTGGTAATTGCTAGAACCACCAGTATAACATTACTTCTAGACCGCTTGTGTCACTACACCTTTAATTTATCACTCGATCTATACAAAAAGTGGTAAGATGTGAATACCTTCATCACTCTTTTTAGCACCAATGCCTTGGCATTCAAATTTCCCGAGAATCGGGTTAATTTTACTACTCTGCTGCTCTCTAATTGAAGCTTCATTATGCCCACCGACAATTCAGGTAGTTTCATTCTCTGAAAAATCAATTTAAATTATTTTTAGGCACCCTGCACCTGTACTTCCACAAAATACCAGACCCTATCGGTGGTCTGCGACAAAGCAGCGTCACTTGCAAATGTTCTGGAATCGGTACAAGTCCCAGATATGGTAATTGAAAAGCTGATCATCAGTAATACGCCCATAGAAGAGGTAAAAATAATCAAAATTAACTTATACTGTCGCTTCAGCTCCCAGCTCTTGCCTTCTCAGACCTAAAGATTCGCCGTCTATCGTTCCGCAATAATGGAATGTTTACGATCAACCCAGATGCCTTTGAAGGATGGCTAGCAGAAAATCTAGAAGAGCTGGAGATTCGAAGCAATTATCTTGATCATATCCCGCAAGTCGGCCTAACAAAGCTCACAAGTCTGAAGGTATGCCAATACATGGTTTCCGAACTTTTTCTTAGATCCTCTCATTATCCGACAACCTCATCCGGGAAATCAGCGACAACGCATTTTTGTCGTATCTGAGTCGTACGGCCATCACCAACTTGGACCTTTCCGCCAACAACCTAGCGGAGCTACCGGTTCAAGCATTTTTAGGCTTGGAGTCTTTGAAGCAGGTTTGACAAACCTATTATACCACAACTTCATTTTTTTCAGCTGTCCTTGGATAAAAACAGCTTCAAACACATTCCATCAACCGCTTTGGAAAATGTTCCATCACTAGAGGAGCTGAATTTGAGTGTCAACCAAATTGAATATGTTGGAGAGAATTCGTTGCCACTCCCGCTTTTGAAATCCCTAAGTCTCGAAGTGAACCAGGTAGCCTATCAGAAACTACATAAATCTTCTGCTGAAATTCAGATCCGTGAAATTGAGCCCGAGACTTTCGAGACGGTCCCGCAGCTCACTTACCTTTATATTGGCAACAACTTATTCGCCAATATCAACCCTGACACTTTCTATTACCTGAAGCAGCTGAAGGTTTTGTCAATGAGCAACAACAAGGATATCTCGGAAATCAAGCTGGACAGTGAGTCTAATTATTGGTATCCAGATACCTTCAAATATCTAGGCTTCCAATATCTCCCGATGCTGATTCGCCTTGAAATGTCCGATTGCTCTTTGACAAATATCGTCCCACAGGCACTACATAAATTTTCAAAAATTCAAGTGCTGGTCTTGAGCCGAAATCAGTTGACTGGGTTTGGCCAAAACAAAACCACGATCAAAAATGTTTTAGCATTGCTGCATCGACTTTCTCCGCACTTTCCGAGCTGATTACGGTGGACTTGAGCTCAAACTCAGTAATTTCTTATATCGAATCTCCATAGGTTGATTTAGATCTACAACGTGGAAGATTTCGCCTTCAGCCAGCTTCCATCCTTGGAACATATGGATTTGAGTGGAAATCGGCTGGAGAATCTGCCTGCTCATATTTTCTACGAAAGCTTTGTACACAAGAAGTCGCCTAGGCACCGGACTTTGTTCTTGAATAGTAAGAAAGTTCGAGAAATCGTAATTTCGTTACAGATAACCCTTGGAAATGCGATACACGTCTCCAGTGGCTACGCAAGTTTGTCCGTGAAAATGGAGATATTTTGACGAGCTTGCCAGGAACCCAGGATGCCAGGTTAGTTAGAGTTTCTGAAGATTTCATGATTGCATCATTTTCCCTTCGGATATAGTCTTTCCAATTGTTCTTATCTCCCCGTAGGCGGTCATTCCACAAACGCAAGCTTTGCTTTTGCTCGTCATCAAGAATGGCCCAGTCTGTCAAGGGAGCGTGAAAAGCCTGTCGTCCCCCCATACTTGAGATGGATCGTTGAAAAAGGCTGTGGCTTGTGTATGGTAGAGAAGGAGGGGGGAGCTGCTTGAGCAGATTCCTAACACACCATCTACAAACAAGGCCCTAGGGGTCGGGGTGGGGGGGTGGTGGTAGGGCTATTATGGAGTTGAGAGCTCTCGGTGTGTATGTGTTTGGGGCCATACCATTTGTGAGAAGAGAGCTTCACTCCAAAACATTCCGTTAAGCAGTTTGAGTCAAATAACGATGGACGGTCTGGGAGAAGGCGATTTTTAACAAGGGTACTTGACCTTAGAGTTCGAGGCGTTCGCCAGGGGGATAAGTATGGAGTTAGAAATTGGGTGCGTTAAACTTTTATACAGAAATGGAAGTTAATTTAACCTTTTCTAGTCTTTGAAAAAGGATAATGTAGGACCTTAGGCTATTTACTGCCGATTATTACCTTAGGTTCTTCTAATAAACACCCAGAACTGCTCTTTTTAAATCAGTTGAGGGCACTTTAGAGCGAACTTCTTATAGAATGGCTCTTATATTTTATTCAATTGATCGTAATACCCTAGTAGAAGGGGGAAAATTTGATAGATTTTGATAAATTTTACCAATTTTACCGGTTGAAACTGCCAATAACTACGTCTACAAAAGAATTCTTTAAACTCTGAAAACACTAACTTTAATTTTCAACTTTTCACAGGTTCAGGCGTCTAATATTTCAATTTTCCTAATTGCCACAAAGGGGGTTGTTACAGGGGATTTTATCAAAGAAACTACGATTACCATAATTACCACACACCCCCGTACCATGCTAAAGTATGGGCAACATCCATGACTCGTTTCCAGCTCTAGCACCCATAAAATTCGACCCCCTAGGTGCACCTCCTATTTGCCTCCCATCCTCCCTATCCCTCGCCCTCCCCCAACTATCCTGTCCACCTAAAAGTTTAGATGCTGGTCCCCGGCAACCCTGCGAGGCTTGGATATACGGCAAACGGATCCTGTTCTCCCAGCTGGCGTCAGTCAAAACGGGCCGAAGGAGATGCGGAAATATGCAACGGTCCGCTGACTCACTAGAACGTGATCTCGACGTTTTCAGAAACCCCCTCCCACCCTGTATGGGCAACCACTGGAGGCAAGTTCGACGAAAGCCACGACACAACAGCTCGATGTCTCACAGGCCAATTTGTTGATGCTTGTCGTTGGTGAGGAGGGCTCAAAACAAGCTTAAAGGGATACCGACGAGCCGGTTACCCGGAAAAGAAAATGTCTCGCCCCCCCCTCCCCGGCGCCTCTCCCCCTTTTCCCTTCATTTTTGTGAGGGGGTGCCGCGCCGGCCCTAAGGGTCCTAGTCATCCGCCCGGGGAAAGTTTAGATCGGAATTATTTTTGCATTATTTAACAGCTTTTTAAAAAGTGAGAATACAATAGGGTGGACCTCGAGATTAACAATTTTGGAAAATCAAATTGGAACTTAGCTAGATATCGAAATAAAAAGCCAATAATTAACCGACTATTGACCCAAAAGCCCCTAATTTTATTGTATTCGTACACCCTTTGAAGTAGCATTCCCTAAATTCAGCCCCCAACATTGCAAAAAACGGCGCAACCGAGAAGTCCCAGGAAACTCTCTCCACGATCCGTTGACCTATTATTTCACACAGCAAAAAAAGAAACACCATCGCCTGTACGGTCCACACTCACTTTAACGACCCTTTCCCCCCATCGACCTCCACGGAAAAAGCGTCGATTTGCAGGCATCATTTTCGGCTTCGTCGCGCTGGCGGCGATAGTGATCATCGCGACGACCTACATCAAGCCGCGCTTCGAAAAAAAGGTGATCTCAAAGAGGGGAGTGGGAGGTTGACACGGCCGTTACAGACTCCCACATCCTATCTGAAGACACCGTCCGTCGATTCGGCTTTTTCGACGGCACTTTCTGGGGCGAGCATCATGGGCGACCCATATCGGCATCACCATTCCGCCACCAATTCCAACGTGTTTTTGAACCGTCCTAGATATTGGTGGTTCTAGCCTACCCTGAAAGCTCATGCCCAAAATGTAAAGTAGCACAAGGGTTATATAAAACTAGAGCTGGCCTTATTCAATCCAAATTCTCCCTGAAACCTGGCGATAAAATTAAGCTGCCTCTTGTTAGAAATCTTGAAATTTTTGGATGCAAAACATCAAAATTTGCCTTTTCCTATGTAATTTCTGAGCACAGCCGCTTCGGAGCTAATTTTTGCATACAAAAATTGGGAAAATTAGATAAGAATGGGACTCATTCAGACGCCGCAAATTTGAAAGTAAACTTGCTTTGAATAGGAAAATAAGGTCGCAATCACTTTCCATCCAAGAAGTCTTTCAAAAAAACATGACCGACCCATCCATCGACATACTTCCCTGCTCTATCATCTCGCAACTAGCCCAAAAATAAAGCCTCCTCATCCTAGCCATCCACCCGAAAAAGTAGTCCCCAGTCCACCTGACCGTTCTTTGGAATGCATAGTAGCCGCTCGGGGTCAATTAACGCCGGCCGGTTTTCTCGCTTTCCCCACAGCGACTGTAGGCTAGCCCCCGAAATCCCTTCCTTCATAACTTCACAGAATTTCCCGAACTTCCACACTCCTTTAATCCCAATTTCCTCACCCCCGCCCCTTCTTGTGATAAAATTTTATGGTGGGGGATTTGAGTAGGTGTACGGCGTGGATGTGACCGGGGGGTTGGAGGAGCATCCCCAGAGGAACAGGTTGAATATTCCGGCTAGCTCCCCGGCTTGCGCATCCCATCCGTTGTGTCTGCCCAAATCCCCGAAAATCGCCAGCCACCGAGTTCCCAAATCGATGGCCCTGACCAGTCCCTTACATCCAGCTTCCCATCCCTTCCCCCCTTTTATCCAATCCTGTCCATGAGCTTTTGTGATCTCGTCAATTTGTCATAACAGTTTTTGTGTAATAATTATTTTTTGCGTTTGTATTTTGAAGTAAACGGTTTTTGGATTTTACGGCTTGTTTTTTTAAGCATTTGAGGAGTTTTTATGGTGATGAAAAGGGCGGTTTTCGCACTCCCTTCCTACTGGCTTAAATCCGGAAAAATGAAATATTCCTAGAGATTATTTTAGATCCTCCCATCCTACAAGCTTATTTATGGTTCCACCGCTTTAGTTGAAGCAAAATTCGTATTGCAACATTTAATAACTTTATAAGCTGCGAAAATATCAAAACGTGCTAACCAAAGCTGAGGCACTATCGCTACAGTACGGAAAACGGCCTATTTGCTAATTTATCTAGCATGAATTTATATATTTCCTTTTTAGTAATTTTTAATTGGATCTGTTTATAGATATGATCTGCTTTAACTAGCGTTAATTCTACTCCAAACTATACTCTTCACACATCGTATTCCAGCGGGAAGTTTCATTGCCACTAGCCTACATTGGCTATTGTATACAACCATCCTCATCTAGTATCTCGACCTCAAAAAAACTATGCCTTTCCCCTTTCCCACCTTTCCACCATTCGTACTATACTTATTATTCTCCCCCTTGTATACATAACCAGTTTCCTCCCGGGATTGCTTCGGGTCAAAAGTGAAGGTGGGTTGTTGAATAGAAGAACAAGTGCTCGCCCTCACCAGTCTCCATGTCCATTTAATTGTAGTTGAGAGTCTTTCGCATCCCCCCTTGACTTTCACCACCATCCCGCTGCTCCGGATCTCCCGCCGCGAGCTGAGGAGGGGGTGCGCCGTTTGACCTATTTGAGGGCCAGGGGAAAGCCTTTCCCTCTCTCTACCATCCACCACTTCTTCTCCCCTTCTTCTAGCCCGCAATCAGATCAATCAACCATCCTAATCCTCACTACGACTACGCCACGCCCGAAGCCTCCCTTCAACCCTGATTTCTTACGGTCCTGAATTTGAGGGCCCCCGTAATTTACCTCTTGGATATCCCTGCTGAAAGGGTCACACTTTTGACCGCGACACCTGCCCCCCAGTCTCTCACGCCCTTGCCCCACCCGGAAAACCGGTTACTGTCCCTCGTATCCGCCCTACCATAAACGGTTGCCGCCAAGTCCGGCTTGGCCCAGATTGGATTTCCCAGATCCCCAGCTAGTTTTTAGCCTAATTTTTTTTGATTGGGCTCAATTATTGGGGAAAATTGGATCATCGCTTCTTCTCCCTTTTCACGTTTTCTGCTTTTCTTTTGACTATCCGTATAATCCTTCTCTCTCTCTCTCTCTCTCTCTCTCTCTCTCTCTCTCTCTCTCTCTCTCTCATTTATTTAGGATTCAAAGCGCGTCAAAAAATTGATCTTGCAGGGATCTAACTTTCCCGCACTTTTTAATTAACCTCTTTTGCCTGTTATCCCTATATTGGATTTTGATGCTCGACTCTTCGATTTTTTTTACTCAAAAGCACTTTCTTATCCAGTTTTTAGGATCCCCATCGTCGTCACGCCAGATGCTGAGGCGCCATTGGCGCATTTATGCGCATCATGAAATCCTCCAATACCTACTGTTTCTACTTTTATTAGTCCAGCTGACCCTAGCGGAAAACTGCCCCCTCTTACCCCCATTATGCCGATGCGTCGAGCTAGACAATCGATTAAAAATCAGCTGCCAAAATATGAACCCAAATGACGTCCTGCGGGGTCTCAGTGGCCGACCCATTCAACAACTTGAATTCCATAACTGTACACGTCCCCTAAATCAGCAAATACCTAATATTCCGTTGAAGAAGATGGTCCTCAAAAATTGTCTATTGGAGAAAATACCCGAAAATGTGAGAAACTTAAACTTTTCAAGAATTTGATTTTTTTAAAGATATTTTCGTCGGTGGCTTATACATTGGAAGATCTTAATATGGCCAATAACAGATTTACTACTGTGCCTAAGCTTGGCATCATGCCTCACCTAAAAATGTTAAACCTTGATGGCAACTTGGTATGACTTAACTTTCAATTGATAATCAAGAATTTAGATTGATGATATCCATGAGGATGTATTTTTGGAAGTGCCTAATTTGAAAATATTACGACTAGCCAACAACAAAATTTGCGACCTCTCTGGGTAAATGCATTTTAAACCTATCGCTAATTGCATTTAGGAATGGCCCTTAATGAAACTAAAAACTCGCTTGAATATTTGGACCTCGGTTCAAATTGCCTGACGTCGATTCCGGCGGCCAATCTGCGGAATTGCATTAAATTAGCGTTTTTGGACCTTTCTGGAAATGAGCTAACACAGGTATGGGACGCTATAAGTTATGATAATTCTTTTTTAGATCGGAAAAATGCAGTTCATGAATCTACCGAATTTGCGGGAAGTTCGTTTGAACGGGAATCAAATCGAGCAAATCGACGGAATGGGCTTTTTGAATGTGCCCAGGCTCCAGATTCTCAAGCTCAACAACAATTCATTGGCAATTTTTGATGCGAATTGGCTGCAGGCATTCAAGGAACTTGAAATGCTTGATTTATCAAATAATCTTTTGGAAAAGGTAAGCTAACACTAACATTGAAATTAAAGCAATTTTAGCTTCCGCCTATCAAAGACCTGACAAGATTAAAGCAGCTTCGCTTGGATGGCAACAAAATCCACACTATCAAAACCCTAACATTCTTCAACCTACCATCCCTGCAACTTCTCAGCCTCCAAAACAATTCTATCGACCTGATTGCAAAAAATTCGTTCGATTCACTCGACTCTCTTCAAGCCCTAATCTTGGCCAATAATTCCCTCGCAAGGCTTGGTAGGTCTTTTTTCCACAAAATTACCCGAATTCCCTTGCAGAAAAAGGGATCCTTGATGGTATCAAGAATTTGAAGCAGCTGGATTTGCATCAAAATATGTTGACTGACCTTGGGGATACGCTTCATTCAATTCCGCAAGGAACTTCATTAGATTTTTCGAAAAATCGATTGACAAAAATAGCGCCGGTAGGATATCTGCTCAGTTTTCTAGATATTTTCTGATTTTAGGATGCGTTCCAAAATCTAATCAAGCTGTATTGGTTGGATCTCTCGGACAATCTCCTGGAGCACTTCGATGACGGACTATTTGGGCAGAAGCTGGGAAACTTGATTCTAATTAGTAAGTGAAAAAGGATAGTTGCTAACTTTTCTATAGATAATCAACTAAAATGCGACGAGTCTGTGGGAGCGTTTATGAATTATTTACTAAGCAGCAAAGCCCGCGTGTTTTTCCCGTTCCAGCCAAAGATTTTGTGTGCAGGTATGAACTAATTTGCAGAAGAAAATCATAATTGCGTTTTAGGTGCCGGAAATTCTGAGGCCGATTTCAAAGATCTCTTGATCAACAGTGCTGCGGAAAGGTCAAAGAATTTTGCGGCCAATATGGGAGCAACATTGTTGCAAACCGACTCGATCCCACAATCGGCTGGTGGACCAAGGTATCGTGCTCAGGTTTTAAAAATGCTACCTTCAAGGCTAAGCCCGTAAATGACCCTTTAGTCACCCCATTCCACAAAATCAACTAGCCGGAATGGTGGAACACTCAAAGAGACGCCTGAGTCAGCTATCCGATCCGGAAATTGAGGCACTGATTCGGGCAATACCTAGTTTTATGGTGAACGTACCCGGGCTCGGAAATGTGGATATCAGCAAGGTATGAATAGAGAATAAAATAAATAACGATCTTATTTAGGTGGATCCATCACTTCTAAAATATGTCCTAAAAGGAGGATCAATACCTGGTGTTCCTCAGGATGCGACAAATAAAATCCTTGAAGAGATGATACAAAAGTTCTTACCAAGAGTAGGCTCTACGATGGAAACCATACGTATATTTCAGGCAAATGGCGCGACAGTAGAACGAAAACCGAGTGTCCCTTCGGTGTATGGCCCGAGAATGGCAGAAACTGGTGTAGCAAATACGTTACATTTGCCAGTATCACCTCTGAGGCACACACCAGCCGGTGATCCGGGCAAAGCCATGCAATTAATGAGCTTACTACCGCCCGGCTACAACATTTCTAAAATCCCGCTCAGCGTTGTACAGGTAGGAAATCATCGCTCAAACTTCACTATCGATCTTTCAGGCTATGGCTAACGATCAAATCCCCGATATATCAATACTACCCCAGGATTTAAAAGATTATTTGCAGCTACATGCTGATAAGTTGCTTGAAGTGTTTGCTAAGCCAAAGGTAAGGGCTCCGATCACGTGTACAATTCTTTAATTTGAGAATAACGTGACGTTGGACGAGATTTTGGCTAAAATTCCGAGCTTCAATCGAACAAAACTCGAGACATTTGAGCCGTATGATATTAATGCTATTTCCCATGAGCTTATTCATGAGGATGATTATGATGAGAAGGTATTTTTCATGCCTACAATCCCATTACTGATTTTTAGGCTAAATCTGCAAAAGTGTACATCTCTATCTTCCTAATTATCGTCGGAATCGTGACGATTGTCGTCCTCGGCTTTTTATATGTGCATGTGGAAAGAAGATCTCGACATCGTGTTGCTCTCCAAATTGAAAATCCTCTAAGACTCTCATATAACAAAGATTAGCATTCCACCCCCCCAATCAATTGCTTTAGTTCCTAGACCAAAGTTTATTAGATCTTACCCCAATACCCATGAACTTGCCCACAAATTGCTTCAGAGTTTTATTTGCTCAAATATTAGTATTATATTCAATATATATTCTTGTCTTTCATTATGCTAGTTTATTTTCTAGTAAATTGCCAAATGTTTTTTGTTAGATTTTTTGCTTGCCCGCCACCCCACTGAAACTAGTCGTGCCTAGCCCCCCGGTACTTCCGTGTGTTGTATTTTTGCTCAAATTCCGCCATTCCATTGCATATTTGCCGCTTGTTTCTTGCTTTCTATTGTGAATACAGGGTCCCGTTTTTTTGTGGATAAATATTTGTGCTTAATTATTAGTATGGCATGGTGATTGGATGAGTGTGTGAGTGTTTGGGGAAGCCGGGGGGTATATCCGGTGAGGGGGGCTTCCGCGCGATTGTCAGGTATATGTGTGGACAGTGAGGGGATGACCTCCAAAACCAGATTCTAATCGTTGAGGCTAGTAGGCCAAACCTGTCTTACCCGAATATTCGCCTGGTGCGTGACAGTAAATATGTGGATTTTGATATGGAAAAATTGGAATTTGAAATGGTATTATAGGGGTTTCCGGAGAAAAGGGGATCCAGTGGTATTTTGGACGGTGAAGCTTGATTTTTTTAGCAAATACGGTGGAAAATTTACCGTTTTAGTGAGATTACCACATTAAGGGGAAGTTGGTGGTGGTGTATTAATGAATAAATGGCAACAGTTATGTATACATGCTATATTGCCTCGCTTAGGGGTTGCAGAGATACACAAAAGCTCCAAACCTTTCTGCTTGGAACGTTATAATCCTGTTGACACCCGCAAACAACCAATCCTAGGCCTCCCCAACCTCATGATCATGATCATGACCTAATCCCCCAACACCTTTTCTCACCCACCGAGCTTCCCGCTGTCATTCCACGACCCCATTTCAAGGCCACTTATTGTTTTTTATGTTAATCAGTAGCCAACGGGAGACAGAGAGATACAGTGGTCAGGGTGTCAAGCCGACGGGTCTACGCGCGGCTTGTGGTGGTGTGCATTGAGGTGGAGGTGGGTGAGATATCCGAGCCTTTGGGCAGGGTGGAGGGGCTGACCCAGTTGTGAGCAAGGGCTCTGTCGGCTATTCGTCCTTTTCAATCCTCCCCCTCCCCCTCTCCCCTCCCTTCACGCCCAATACGTACAAAGAACCATTCCCAAATTTTTTCTGTCGTCTTTGAAAATGGTGCCCCTATTGGGCCGATTTATATTTGTATTGCTAATAATCCCGGGGATTTATTGTTGCCCGGAGATTGTAAAAGCTCTATGTCAATGCGGTGAAGTGACGGGTGGGGTGGTATTGGATTGTTCCGGCCAAGATGCCAGCCGGGTGGTACAGGTTGGTTTTGCCATACCCTTTATTAACTCTTCTTTTTCAGATTCTCAAACAATATCAAAACGGCCTCGGCGTCATTCAAGCCTTGAACCTGCAAAAATCCCAATTAAACCATCTGCCATCAAACTTCTTTGCGGGACTCTACATTAAACGACTCGATCTAACCCACAATAATTTGACGACTATCGATGATCATGCTTTCGAAAAAATGGAACCAGTCCTGCAGGTAACCGCAAATTGTGTCAGCAAATTCAACGTATTTTTAGGAGCTTCTTCTCAATCACAACAACCTACATAAGTTGCCTTCTGTATCCCTGGCTCCTTTAAAATCCGTCATGCGCATCGATTTTTCGAATAACTCTCTGACGGAACTAGAAGCGAGTGACGCTCTGCCCAGATTGCCAAAGGTTTTATCGATTTAAAATCGATTCCAAATTATTTTTAGCTCTTCGACATCAATCTCGGCTCCAATAAAATCAATTCGGTACATAAAGTGGTGTTCGAGAACATTAAGGATGTCGTCCAATCAATCAATTTGGGACATAATGAATTGAAAGCCGTGCCGTCATCAGGTTTGCCAAAAGTAAAGAAAAATTATTGATTTTTTAGCCATCCGGGGCTTCAAGCAACTCCAAGCCCTCCACCTACACCACAACAACATCAGTGCCTTGGACAACCTGGCGTTTCTGAATATTCCAGTTTTGAATCTACTAAACCTGGCAAATAATAATATTACGGAAGTTCGTCCTCAGGTTAGTTCTAGTTTATTTTCGCGAATATGATTGTTCTAGGCTTTCCTTAATGTGCCTCGCCTACGTCATCTCTACCTGACAAATAATTTCATCAAAGACATCAAAGCACATCAATTTGCGGCTTTTGAAAGTATGGAGATGCTTGATATGACCAAAAATATGATTGAGGTGGGAGGGCAAAGATCGTATTTGATGAAATCTATATCAGGTCATTCCAAAATATGCGTTCTCTAACCTGCCGCAACTGAAGCAACTCTATCTTGGGTCGAATTTGATCAACAGGATTGAAGAAGATGCTTTTGCTAACAGGTAGAATTTTTATCGATTGTTAGCAGAATTATAGGATTATTTTAGCTCAATAGCTATCCTAATTTTGGCAAACAACAATATTACGGAGCTTCGAGAAAACGGCCTCACCGGTTTGCCAAGCGTTCAACAAATTTCGTTCAAGGAAAATCAGGTTAGTTTTATAAAAAATTACGAAGAAATTTAGATGACAACAATCCATCCAAACGCATTCTTTGGTATCCCAAGCCTAATGATGCTTGATTTGAGTCATGTAAGGTCAATCAAATCGAAATCAACCTTCTGTTCAGAACAACCTGTCTTCACTGCCCGATTCCATCTTTGAAGCCCAGCTTAACCTACTTCTCGTCGATCTAAGCTGGAATCAATTGATGCGTACCCCATACAAATCCTTCAACAGCAAGGCCGGAACGGTGTTGCTACAAGGTAAAACGAAGCACAAGAATGTACAATATTTTTTTAAGAAAATCCGCTGGTTTGCACCGAACAAGTCCACATGATCAAAGATCATCAAGGCATTTACATAAAAAATTCGGAGGATCTAATCTGTGGGGAGAGCCAGCTCCTCCACATGTCATGGTTACTACTCCTGCTTCAAAGGTAATTTTTAGACCGATTAAATATATATTTTTAGGAAAACCCGTTCCTACAAGACGGCACTCAAGCACAAACATTTGAAACTGATGACACGGTGGTTTCGTCTAGCCTTTTGGGCAATACCAAGATCGAGATGAAGCCGCCGCGTCGGCTTTCGGGTCCTTCGGCGCCAGTGGTAAGAGATTCATTTACATAACAGAAACGATGACATTTACAGGAGCCGATTCTGACACCTATTTCAAGCCTGTCCAACCCTGACTTGCCGGCGCGACCGACCAACTCATTGAACATGATCCCTCACCGTCTAATGATGAATGGTGTACGCAAAATCCCATATGCAAAACCCAATCCGGAGTCCGGGCTAATTCATCCGCAACATAACACACTTCCCGAGCTACAGGAAGTTCAGGAATTACCGGAAAAGGTAAGAACACCCTGCTTGCATCTCAAACTTAAATTCTAGGCACCTTCAACAAAGATTCCATATCCATTCACTGGAGAACCCGCATCGGATCTATCCATTCCCCGTTCCTTTCCTGAAACGTGGACCCAATCTCTCTAAGGTTTGGATTTATAAAGTTGCTTATTTAACGTTTGGAATGCCATTTAATTCATATCTTTAGTCATCCTCCGTTCCACTTGGTACCCGTAGGATCGAAGACCCGAGCCAGGCCCCAGAAGTGTCGGCGAATGTCGCAGATGAAGTGCCGGAGCCAGAGGATAACCTTCCGCGTCTTCCAGCTTCTATTATTTTGGCCCCACCACCGAGGCCGAAGACCAGTGAAAGCGATGAGGAGAAAAAGCGGTAATATTTTAATCTCGGTCTAAAGCTTTGGATAGATTCGAGCAAGTGGCTCTCGAAACTTCACTATCACCTCTGGAAGGCGACACCGGAAGCAGCACAGTTGATTTGGATGCCAGGTATTACTTAGTTGCGAATTGATGATAGTTTTTAGTCCGACCTCTTGGGCTCGTTTGACTTCCCCAAGTACCATTATTATCATATGCCTCGCGGTCGTTGCGCTTGTTGTAGTCGCCGTTTTTATTGGTCTCTGCGCGACAAAGCTACACAACATGAGACGGTAGGCTTTTTCTACATATGAAAACTATAGTTTATAGAATCAATAACTCTACTTATGATGCGAGTACAGCAAGAACAAATGCCTATGTGGCTCAACAAGCCGAACAACTAAATGTCATGTATGGAACGGCCGGAAGATCAAAGTATTCCTAAAAAATCAAACAACAAAAGCAATCTCAGATACCACGATGATGCGACGACGCCTCAACCATGGGTCTACAAACCCGGCCAAGCCTACACTTATTACCGAAGCTGATCTACTCCGCCTAAACCCGTCCCGCTCGGAGCTATTACCAAAAATTAGCATTATTTTATTGAATATCTAGTCTCGCCGTCCATTCCTGTACCTTTCACCTTTGTTAGTTTGTGAACCATTGACCTTCAGCGCTGCTCAACAATCTCACATTTCAATTTTGCATCCGACAGCTATGCAATTTCTTGCCATCGTCATTTACACGTTTATACTTTCACGGGAAATGATTGCTGCAAAAATTTCTTGTATGAACATTAGTTTTTTACGCATGCTATTATGCTTGAGTTATTGATAAAATATTTGAAATAGCATGTTTAAAAAATTGCATGATAAAAAATAGCTAAATTAATTCTATGGCTAGTGTAAGGTTCATCACCCTTTCAAAAGGCATACGATATTTTGAGCGCGGCGGCTAGGAAGGCCCGTACAAATTAGTATAAGCTTTTAGCTTTAAAATAAACATAAACCCGGTTTTAGCTTTAAAATCTGCATAAACCTGCCATTCTCATTATTGTCTTCGCACACTCTTTCTGCCTTTTTACAAGAAGTTTCCGGTTGTAGATGAAGCTTGATCTACGCACACCTAACTTAAAGCGCACGTTCAGGGAGGGGCCGTATACTCTGTCCGACGTGTACACCCTTTGGACGTAGGGACCGCGCCACGGCCTGCCCGTGCGACAGGCCACCCTCCTTTGCGGCGTGGGGCGCCCCCGCCCCTTGCCAGGTTGTAGCTGTGGCTGACTGGTATACATCCGCGCCTCCCGAGCGGGGGGCCCGGGTTCGACCCCCAGCCGCGGCAAAATTCTTTGCTTTTTTTCCAAAAAACGTCCCTGAACGTGCCCTTTAAAGCTTTAAAATTAAAGTACATCGTTCTTTACTGTCATACTCGATAGCCGGTGTCCTCATTACCAACTGACCCGAAAATCCAGGATATCCCCCGAATTTGAGCGATATCAATTTGAGCCAATTTTTCCCCTAATCAGTCCACGCTTTCGCTTGTCCTAAAAACGACAGGAGACCCTGTGAATCGTGGCGTTTGAAGTAATTAGCTGGAGCGAAGACGCGCAGGGATCGAGCTAAAGAGAAGGGGTTACGGGACACCACGAATAGGAGGTGAAAGGCACAGTCTCCTTGACCTGGGTAGCATCTCCCCTTCCTAACCACCTCACAGAGGCAGAGCTCGGTCTCGTTCCGGCCCCTCCCACACCTAGCAGGAGCCCCAATCCAAGAAAAAGTCTTTCACCCCCTTAGGCTTCCACAGTCAGATCATCTCACCACCACCACCCCGGGTCAATTCGCGTGCTCTAGCCTCTCGCTGCTGGTCTACCACTCCGGTATTTGCCATGCGCTGGGCTCTCGTATTCTGCTTCATCGGCGCTGCATATTCTTTGTGCCCCAGCTTTTTTAATGTAAGCCTAGATATATTAAATTATGTGCTGTTTAGCCGCTTAGGACCTTGTATATCATTGGCTAAAACCTCATATTATTAAGTATAATTCGCTTAATTCCGTATAAAAACCTGGGTAAGAGGGTATTATAGACCAACTTTCGATGTTTTTAGATCCCTATTCAGTAGATGAATGGATTTACATAAGAATAAGGAGATTTACTTAAGAGGCTATCAGTCACTTTTAAGCTTTGAAAATGCAATGCAAAATCTAGGCAACGAATTATTTGGAAATTTTTGAAATATTTAAAGCCATTTTTAATGCTTCTCCCCCATTTGACCAATTTCAGAATCAAACCACTTGCTCGTGCAGCGATTACATTGATGGAGCCGTAATCAAATGCTCCGGACCCCAAGGGCCTGTACTTGTGGAACGTCTGAAGTCCAACCATGTCGAGATCCGTGAGCTATCCCTCGAAAACGCCAACATCGTCGAGGTATTTGTATTTCTCCCCCCTTTTCTCGAGCTCCCCTATTTCTTAGATTGGACCAAACGCCTTCAAGAACCTTCGGATCAAGAAGCTCGTTTTGGACAAGAACCGCATCACTGGGTTCCACAAGGATGCTTTCCGTGGGCTCGAAAATGTGTTGATCGAGCTGTCGTTGCAGCAGAACCGTATGCCCCAGGTATGTTCCAGTTTTGGGTCCATTTCTAGTGGGGTGCACAGCTGGTTTTTCGACCCTATGAAAACCTGTTTGCACGGGATTCGGCTCAATATCAGTAGATCCGTTCCATCGCCCCAGGGGGTCACCGTCCCGGCGCGGGAATTTGGGTCGTTGATGCGCTGTGGTTTTATTGGGCGGAAAAATTCACAAGCTCTCTTTCGGCGTTCCGGATCCGAAGGAAAGGGTGGGGAGCTCGGTTGCTTGTTGTCTGTCCTTGCCCCCTGATCTACTTAGCCGAGGGCGAGCCCATTATCGGCTAGATCTTTCGCCTCGGAATGTGAGTCAAGGTCAACAAGGAGTGGAGATGGTGCTAAGGGGGAAAGTTGACGATTTCTTTTCAGCTTTGAACAATGAACTCAAGGTGTCTGGGGTGATAATTGGGTACTGGGTAGGCGGATTAGTAAGGTCATGGTAGCGTGAGGGTAGCATAAGATCTGCACCACTCCCGAAATTGACCGGAAAGACAGGTCCGTTTTAGAGTTGTCCTTATTAAAATCAGATCGCCATTAAGACTGGCCGATCCCAGTTAGCAAAATCTCTGTTCCAAATTGCTAAATAAAAGAAATTCAAATCTAATTTCATTCTAAAAAACTGATTTAGACAAAAGGTCTTCGTTTTAATCTATTACCGATATAGCATTTTACAATAACTGAACGTCCTCCGATCTGAACCCGAATAATAAACTAGTTCCCAATAAGAACCAAAAAACGTCGATTCAGGTCCCCACCGATGCCCTCAATGGACTTCGTGCCCTCCAAGTCCTCAACATGCGTTGCAACAAAATCGGAAACCTTACCACTTCCGCTTTCAACAACCTTCCATCTTTGATTGACATCAATATGGGATGCAACGAGGTAAAACCTCAGAAAATTCAGCCCAACATCTCTCTAGATCTGCAAACTTGATGAGCACAGCTTCGAAGGTGTCCGCTCAACACTGCAGAACGTTATCCTCGATAGCAACTGCTTCACTGAGATCCCCGTCAAGGCCATCAAGGGAATGTCCAACCTTATCGGTCTCCACCTCAAGTACAATAAGGTTCGAAAAAGATATTGATCATCCTCAGAAATTGCTTTAGATTAACAAGCTGGTGAAGGGAGACCTTACCGATATGCGCGCACTTTCGATGCTTACCCTCACTGGCAACAATATTTCATCCATTGCCACCGATGCCCTGGTGAACACACCCTCGCTTCGTTATCTCTACCTGGCCGAAAATGCTCTGAAGACGTTGGCCCCTGGTGTTATGGCCCAATTCAAGCAAGCTCAGGTAGCATTGAAACTTGCTACAGGCACTTTAATGTTTTAGGTTGTTGATCTCTCATTCAACGATTTGGAGGAAGTGACCCCTGAGATGTTCTCTGGACTCGAGTCTCTGCAGCACATCAACCTCGAGTCGAACGCCATCAGCAACCTGGCCCCTGGAGCTTTTGAGGGAACTCCCCTTCTCTTGTTGTGGCTGCCAAACAACTGCTTGACAACCCTAAACAAGGAGATGCTCCGCGGAGTTATGTTCCTCCGACAGGTTTGTAAAAATATAGATTTATAGACCATTACGAATTACCTTAGGTTTCCCTGGCCAACAACAACATTCACATCATCGAGCCTGCCTCCATTGCCCATTTGGTGAACTTGCACACCTTGGATCTGGCCGAAAACCGGATTCTCTCACTCCAAGAGGGGGCCATTGTTGGCAGTGACCATCTGACTGTCCGTCTCCATGAAAACCCGATGGTTTGCGGCCAAGATGGATTCCATGTGATGAACGGTGGAGAGGCCATCAACCTCACCACTGAAGCTAACGTTATTTGCCGTGGAGACTGGCAAGCTGATGTTGTTGATCTATGCCCCAAGAAGGGACCGAAGCCGATCCCGCCCCCATGCTGTGTCCCGGTAAGTTAGCAAGATATATATAATTAAAAATGGCAACAAATTCCAGCCTACCCCCGCCCCTGCCACTACTACCACCGAGCTTCCAACCAAGCCACCCACGACCACGACTAAGAAGATGACCACTAAGCGGGTAAAGGAGGAGGCTGAGCCAACCGATGAGAGCGAGGAGGAGTATGAAGAAGTTGATGATGAGGAGGAAAGCCAGACAAAAGCTTCGAAGTGAGTTGACAACACCTAATACCTCGGTCCCTTACAAGTTAGAAAAGCATGCTGTAATTTTGACTTTTATAGGGCCGCCACGACCCTGAAACCGAGCACCACCACCGAGGCTGAGCCTGAAGAGGAAGAGGAAGAGGAGGAGGAAGTCACTACCCCCAAGCCCCACCACAAGATCAATATGGAGCGGTAGGTTCTAGAAATAGCCCAAAAGTCTACTTAAAAAACTCTGACTTAAAACTAATTTTCAGCTTCTGGCGATTGGCCCAACACCCATCACCCAACTCTCCATTTATGAGGCACCAAAAGGCCCTTGGCGTCAACACTGCACCCAAGGTTCTAAAGGGAGTAAGTTGAATCAGACTGGATTTAGTAAAATTTGATTAGGTCAGCGCTGAGGGAACAGAGAACAGCAGCACCGAGCGGAGGCGCAAGTTCTTGGGAACTGTTGCCCCGAAGCCGAGCTCGACCACCACTGAGGGACCTAAGGAGGATGAGTACGAAGAAGTACGAATTACACTTATTACTGTATTAACTGATGTACTTTAGGAATATGAGGGCGAGGAAGAAGAGGAGACGGAGGAGAAGCCCGAGACTACGACTGCCCCATCCAAAAAGGTTCCGTCCAGGGTACTTGAACGACAAAGATGGATGTCAAACAAGGGCTGGAATTTCAAGTCCAGTGAAAAGGTATGTAGCATTGACGGTATTTAAGAAACTATAAATCTTAGGGCAGCAAACCCACTGATGTGACTGAACCCGGTGTCGACTTTGACAAGGATGCTGAAGAGGAGACCGTTCAGGTCGATGAGGCTGCCCCCAGACAATAAGCTTTCAAACCCCCACATGCATTCCCTTGTATCCGATCTCTAATGAACGTCCGTACATTCCACTCTTTGTGATAAATTATTACCTCTTAGAAGTCTTGAAAGGAAAACTTGCACCTGACTTACCAGATACGCTTTCCGGGAAATGGACTCTGTAGCTTCAGTTGCGCCATTTCGTACGGGCTGGGCATGGGGCCTGTGGGGAGTAGTAATTTGACAAAGACCTAAGACGAATATAAAATTCTTTAATTTGATAGAGATTCTTACCCCATTTAGCGAGATCACAGCAGCAACAAGTTTTGAATCTTGCGGTTTTCCGTTTGTGAAGAATTTTTGATCGCTTGATAGCATATCGGCAAAGCCTAAAAGCGATCGTGGTACGAATTAATGGTCAGCCTCACTAGAAAGTTCATCAACAAGCCGGGTAAGCTGCAAGTATTGGAAATGGTCAACATATGCTGTGATGCTGCCTTGTGGTTCGATGTAGAGGTTGACCTGAAGTAATCTTTTTTTGTGCGGGTGTAAAATCCTACCTGATCATTTCGAAGTGTGACAGTTCCAAGGAACGAGACATCGGTTACTAATGGAATCGTATGAGCAAATTCGCCGTGACTCATGTCGACCCATAAGGGCGATGTCTTGATCCACCATTGTTCACCTTCTGAAAGAAAGTGAAACTTTGCAACCGGCCTTTTACTTACCAGCCAGTCCAAATACAGTTTCCCTATTGCCCATTTGAATGAAATCACTCCTAAACGTCGATTTGCCCTCAAATTCAGCTGCCGTGACAAAATCGATCATCTAAAAAATATTATAAGTTGTTTAAAAACTAAACAATATATTTATTCTTCTCTACAATCTGCTCGAAATGTTTTAAACTACTTAGACTTGGAATATAAGGCGGCTAAAAAGCTATTCTTTCTTTCTAGCTCAAAACTTAACAAAGTAAAGAAGCTTTTGGCCAAGTCATATAAGATTAACCTTGTGATCGATTCCATTAAACGGATGATCGGATAGTTCAAAGTTGTTGTTAGTCGCCGAAACCATCGATAATGAGACGATCATTCGTTGCGGCAGCCGATGCTCGTAGGTATTATCGCTCAACTGCACGATTATCTGAAAATGCAACAGAATTATTGGCTTCCGGTATGCTAATTACCTTTGGCATTACAATATCAACACGAATGTCGCTAGTTGGCATCGGCTCCATTCCTGGAGTATCTGCTTCGATCTGAAAAAGCAATACTTGTTTGTTAATTGCAACTTACAATAGCCGTTTGCAAATTCTGCAGCACAAACAAGCACCATCTCAAGGTATTTTTGTCAAACAACAATGAAAATGGCCCAAGTTGAGCGTGAGTGGCGGGGGGTGGAACTAAAAAATAGTTTTTTATGATATCTAGAACCAACCTGGTAATTTATCGGTCATCGGATGATAGTAATTGGCGAATTCGACAAATAAAATGTATTGATCATTAGGGAGGGATTTCTAAAGTTGGTTTAGAATTTGATAAACATTCTGTACCTTAGCGTGACGGTCGCATGTAAACATATTTTGAAGCTCATCCTTTTTCGTTTTCCGATCAGATACGCACTGTATGTTAATATCATAAACCCGGAAAACGACATTAAATGACATCAGATCTGGCCACGAACGTCGAAGTCTCATTTTACCAGTTTCTTCTGTAAAACAATATCTGCAGGCTATTTCCCAAACAAACCTTGCTTCTCACACATCCTTTCTAAATGGTTCTTCAAATTGTTTTCCATCCATTTTGAGATTTCGTTTGGAGCTGTGTAACGAACCCAATGAGATCTGAAGAATGAGATGAATTAAAATATAGCACCAACCTGTCTGAAGAGGCTAGCGTTTTTGGATAAATATCAATGAGAAGGGCGATGAGAGTAAGCTGTATCGCTCCGCTATCAATATTCCAATCAGCCGGATATCCTAAACAAACACGCTCTAATTAAGGCCACTTTACATACCTCCAGGAGTATTTCCATCATCGCACAAATGCAGCTCAATTTTCTTGACCTGCATGTGATATGATGTCTGGTCCAAATCAAATCTTGCAAAATTGGTGTTGCTTTTTGCATGATGATTTGGTGAGCTTGTGATCAATTCGTTCGGTTTAGAGGGGGTAGGGATATCCTGAAATCGTAAATTCTTTAATCTAGGGAAGTTACGGGTGGTGGCTTTTCGGCGGCATTCACGATTTTCATCATATGGCTGTAAAAGGCTATGGCTGAGCGAATCTAAAATATTTATTTCAGTTTTTGGACTATACTCTGACCTGTGGCAAAGTGGCAACCCAAAGAATATCTTCTAAGATCATCATAATTCGAGCATGGATCACCGCCCCATCTAAAAGTTTGAATTTGGATGGCTTTGAGCAGGATCCTCACTTGTGGAATCCTTTTTTAGGGTGATTCGAATTTTCCCGTCGCTAGTTATTAAACGGAGTGGCGCATTGATATTTCTGCGTTGTGTTTCTTCCGCTGTTCGAGCTGATGCTTCGATGCGAAGGAGCTGCCATGAAACCTTAACAAAATAATTAACTACAAAAAAGCAATATTGATTAACCAACCTGCTTATATACAAGAGTCCGATTTGTATTGTGACAACTGATCCTGGTCTTCTTCAAATCTTTGGCAATTGCCCAGCCGGGAGTTCGTGATTCGACAGAAAGACGGGATAGCTGAAAGTTCTCGATCTATGCGCCCCAGCTTTTCCCACCATAAAAGACCCGCCGAAGGCACCCGAGTCGAAATTGATTTCCAACGTATTTACATAGATGCTCATTCCTTCAACAATTTTCTCGGCAAACCCGTACGATCCGGAGTCGGTGTAAATGCTGTAAAAATTTATAATAAAGGACTAAAAATTAATTTAATCTACCTGTCTGGCTTTTTCGGGTTTTGTTGTGGTTTTGGTGAACGGTCAGCATCCAATCGAATTGATACCGTAACTTCATCAAGGAACTAAACAATTTTTTAGTTAGTTTGGCTTGATTTTCTTTACCAATTCAATCGGATTTGTCTTGAGCTTTGTCCATGGTACTCGAACAGCCACCCGATTGCAGTGCGCCTTCGTAATTTTCATCCATGTAGGCAACTCGAGGACCTCCGTGAGAACTTCCTAAATGATTCATTTGTTCGTTCAAACCCTACCCCCTTTTTGAGTTTACCTCATTTAGCTCGATGTTCCTCAACTCGGACTTTCCCCTCAATACATCGAGACTAATCTGTTCCGGCTTTAGATTTCGCGCAAATCTAGAATCATTGGAATTAATAGATGGTCCCGGACTTACTTTGATAAATGCTTGACCAGTTGATTTTTGATGATACTTGCCATTCAAACCCTCTCGTGGTGTTTCAGGGTTTAATCGCTAAAATCATAAAATGTAAGTAGCAAATCAAAAAGTTTTTCGCTTATGACGCATTGAAAACATTGATCGTTTAAGAAATTTATTGAAATTTAGCCAATTGTAACGAAACATGCATTGAATTGTTATGAGAAAAACAGTCAAGCGCGAGGCAGGTGGGCAATCGGAACCCAAGGGAAATTCAGATAAGATTTCCGGATGTTTCAAATGAATAACCAGTCGTAATCGATTGCGATCGGACCAGCGGGTGCCCGGTTATTATCGCTATCCGATGACCTAACAATAAATATCCATCCAAATGGGTTCAGGACAAAAGTCAATGTTATTTTTAACAAAACACGGGAAACGAGACTTATTGCCTCGTAGTTCGTAGCCCGGATGCAAAAGGGGGGAAGGCCAAGAAGAGGTGGTGGGGGAAAAGAGGAAAAAAGATAGCGCACAGCTGGCAACCCCATGCTAACGGTGGCCCAGGTGATCATTGCATATTGATGCACGAAGGTGAGGCCACATTTGGCATTGATCCTTATCTTTTTGGGGGGCATTGTATTGATCGGATCTTGGAATGCCGAGCCATTCCTCTCCGGATTGCTGTCTTTTCTTTTCCATACCCACGGCTCCACACTTTCCCTCTTCATCGTGCCATTGGAAACCGGCTGTCGATCCCGGTAGAAATTTTTGCAGGCCATGAAAAGAGACGCTTGTGTAATCAAAGGGGAAAATCTTTTTGTAGAGAGAAGCAATTTTCACCTGCTTGTTGTGGGCTCTAGAATTGATTGTGCCTAGAATTAATTAAAAATAGTAATGTGCTTGTGTACTTATTGGACGAAAATCGGTCGTCCTTCACCTAGATTATTATTTGGAAGATTCAAATGCTTTCCCGCTACATATGCTGATGTTAATATCTTTTCTCCCCAATCTCAATAAATATTTCCTATCAAGAAAGCTTGATGCTGATTAAAGTTCAAGAATTTTTTCAGTATGGACGATCATCGTAGTAGAACCATCGACGATATCCTACTCGACCAAGCAGAAAAATGTGACAATTCTGGAATGGGGATCTCCTGCGAAATTCATTATTTTCAAGGGCGATCCCAACCCCATGGCGATCCCCTGGATGTAGCATTTAACGTAAAGTAAGTCTACAAACAATATCAAAATACTATATAAGTAATTTGAAACCAAATACGCCCGAATCCAGCAATTATTTTTAGCATTCCCCATGGGACCCATTAGTCACCCACTCAACACATTTTTTTCCAGATGGAAACCACGAGCGGCCGGCTCATTGAGATGTTATGGCCTGTTTTCGGGCTTTAATGGGTCGGCCAGACACGCAATAACTGCCGCTAATTCGATGTTCTACCAGTTAGCGTTAAACAATGAGTCTTCAATTAGTGCTGATGATGATGACGAAACGGTGAATAGATGACTAATTTTCGTATAAATATTGGATTTAGATATTTAGTTACCTGGAAGATGCGTTTGATGCAGCAAAACGAGACGTTAATCATGATATAAAAAATAAACAAAGTCAGAAGAAGATTTTGGAGATAAGTCAGGAAGGGCAACAATCGGAATATAAGGAAAAGATCGACGAATTGGACATAGATGTAAGTTACAGGTTTAAAAATATATCCGTTTTTTAGATAAAAGCAGGAACAACAGTATTAACAGCCCTAATAATAGAGCGTCGATTATATGTGTTAAACTGTGGAAATTCGAGGTAAGAGTAGCGCAAAATAGAGATTTCTTTTCCAGATTGCTTTTAGTCACCTCTGAAAACAACAAGCCATGTTGTGATGCTCTTATCGATGTGCACGATTTCAAAAATAAGATGGATGCCACTCGAGTAACAAACGCTGGGCTAGAAATTACACATGTATGTTTCTTTGACTACAAACTTATCTAAAAATTCTTTTAGGAAATGCACAACATGTCTAGCCGTGGCATCGGCGACCCACAACATCAGAAAGATTTTGCGGAGCCGGGCAACGGCTATTTGACGCAAGAACCTGATGTGTTTCAATATAAAGTAGGCTTTACAATCATAATCTAAAAATCCCCGTTTAGATTGAACCAAACTGGCAATACCTAATTTTATTATCAACTGGTGTTGTAAAGTGCGTGAAAGAATGTATGCAAAGACGGGAAGAGCGCGAAATTTCCGAGCGTGAAGTAAACAAGTAAAAAAATCGGCTTGTGATACGTACAAATTACCTAATTACAGTCAAATAATGGAATATGTTCTTCACGAAACGAAAAACTCGTTTTCCCACTCCTATACTTCTAAGGCTCAAGCAACCGTCGATTTGATAGGGCGGATACATTTTGAATCATTTAACAGGGTAAGTATCACTATTAGATTTGATGCATTTTTTTAGGGCGAACTAAGGACCCGGGTGCGCGATGGAATGTCTTTAATATTAGTGGATCTAACGAATCCTACAGCTACAGAATATCCCGTATCACAACTAGAAACACAGCTATCCCTCCAGGTGAGTAGTTTCTTTAGGTATCTAATTAGCTTAGGAAATACAAAGTGAAATATTACCATATGCTGACATGAATGATTTTGAATCACGGGTAACAGAAGATTCAATCCAAGAACTACTTGATCTAAACCTTTTTGAACGTTCCGATTTGTTGCCATGAGTTTCTTAAAAGTTTTATGTTGTTGTATCTCTGTCTATTAGCTTCCACGAGTTGAACTCATCCAGGTCCTTGCATTTTCACGACCTAGTCCTCACCCGAATACCCTTCCTCACTCAGTTGCTCTGTGATATATCTCATGTATACAATTCTATAAAGATTCACATTTATTCCGAAATGAGAATAGTTGGATGCACCGATTAGTGTGAACATTCCGCATTCCCAAACAATATTATAGGATTCAACATTAGCTTTGGTGCCGCATACGCCTTAGGAAACGATAGTATTCTCCCTTATTATCATGGTAGTTTTGGTATAGTTCGTCCTCGGAATCCGTGATGATCTAAAGTGGGCAATCGTATTTACATGCATTGGGTGCTGAAAATGAGGAAACAATCAGAAAATGAAAGGTTGTGCTCTAGTAGCGTGCAACAAAAATCAGGAACTATCAGGCTCTTTACCACTTCGCTGGGATACCCTGTTGGTATCAAGCTAAAGTTAAGAAATTTGGAAAGTTTAAGTTTATTTTAATATTACTTACCGGATTATATGTTGGAGCACTCATCTGCGAGGTTCTTCTCGATTTTCGACTAGGTGCGGATGGGAGGTGGAATGAATTGCCGTCCATCTAAAAAGACCTTGATGAAAGGATGCGTAATAATAAACCTGATCAAAATCTATACTCAAATCGATTAGTGGTGGGTCATGATCGACAAAGTCGGCAAAATGCCACGGGAAAATTGGGATTGAAGGTGGCATATGGCCGGCCAATGCTTGATCCAACGTTCTGTCCCAATTTATTTGCCCTGAAATTAGAATAGTTATTAATGTATAAATGGTGCAAACCGATCAAGTGGTCGCTCATACCAACTCTTCGGCAAACAGTTTGGATTAGACTTCCCATAGATAATCTACGACCACCCAGCCAAACAGTAATCTGAAAAATATATATAGTATACACAGTGTATAAAATACAGAGGATCCCAGTAAAAAATATTTAAGTGTAACCTAATTAATAGCCCTAATTCGTCTTTCTACTAACTCGAAAAATACCGTGGCTAGTTCGCTGGCAGTTTCTAAAAAATCTGAAATTCATTACTCTTCGTTACTCACCCCTTTCACATTCTTCACTTTCCTCCCAGCGTAATGAACTAATCGAAAGACATCAGCCAATTGCTCCACCAATGCTGTCGTCAACCACAACCCAATTGTCAAGTAGACGAGCGTCGGCAGCAAAAAGTCCAACCGTTTCGGAACAATATCGCCCAGCCCAATCGTTGTTAGACTCCTGAACCAAACTAAATCCGTTTCCTAGCTTTCTTTGACCATAGCATACATATAAGAAAAGTAGACGCTGTCGAAGTAGGAGAGATCATTCTCCCAAAGCGGCAATATCGCCGAACCGGCTGCAATGAATATCAGGAATATCATTGCCACCAAGAACACCTAATAAAGTTGTCTTGAGGATTTTAGTGTCAATTACCTCTCCAATTTCCCGTAACATCTTCATCTCGCCTTGTTTTTTCAATTCCTTTTTATAAAGTGCCTGAAACTTATTTTATTAAACAAAATATAAATATGTACCTGTACTATAGTCATAATACCCGTCTTAGAGAAAGAACCAAGATCCGCAATTGTAATGAGGAAGAGTGGAATCCCGATGGCACCAAAAACCATCGTGAAGATTTTACCGCTTTTTGTTTTAGGCACAACATCCCCGTAACCTAAATTGGGCATTAGAATGTTTCTAATATTAATAGAACCCACCAATAGTAGTCAAAATTGTAAAAGAAAATAATACACTAGATTGATATGTCCATCGTTTCGGGACTTCCTGAAAGTCCACTGTATTTCTCAAAAATTGTAAATTCTTACCCTACTGGGATCTTCTGAATGTAAATAATGTTCGAATGGAATGTGATTTCGTGACATGTTGCTCAGAAAGTAGTAAAGGTGCGTCCGAATGGCTTTTTCCTAAAATTTGACTCCAAAAAACACCCGCTCTCCCCCTACATCAGTTGTCGCCGACAGCTCCTTCACAAATTGGCTTTTCATATCGTTGAGCTGAAAGCGGAAAGAGAAATAGATCTGCTTTGTGGTCTCGTCTAGAGAGGCCACGGTGAGGGGGTAATTCTTCAAGGGTTCATGCCCCCATCTATGCTTTTCTAGGCTTCTCCTGGTTGGGCTCGAGAATTTTTAGTACCATATCCCTATGGAGTTCCCGTGTGCGGTCCTCGGCCTCCCCCTCGAACCAGAAAAAGGCGTAGGCTCCCATCAAGATGTAGAAGAGAACGCCTGGAAGAAGAACGGGTTGCCGGGTGGGCCAAAAGCGTCAAAGGTATCGATCGTTTTTTTGTGTTAAAAAATTGCAAGGAGTTTTTGGTTGAGCATAAATGTTAAGATATTACGAAACTGATAGAAAAAGGGGAGGCTGCCCTTAAAAATTGAGAACGTTCGCTGTCTCAAAGCTTCATAGTTTTGTGAGAAATTTGATATTTAAATATTATTCTAGATTTTAATTTTTATAATTTTTATAATTATAATTAAAAACGCAGTACTGCCTAACATTTGACTAATCAATCATACCTTACCAATATATAATGCAACATGCCACATAGCAATCTGTGCCACTGGTCGCACTCGAGTAGGTGACCCTAAAACCATAATTATTCACAATACTCTATTTTTTTTCTGGGCTACCAGACACCCCGCCAAAAAGTCCAGCCTTCGAAACATCGTAGCCCAAGCGGCGCCGAAAATAAATCACCATTATTATTCTCTGGAGTATCCTTTTGCTTTGATGACGCCGAGCTGGAAAAGCGCCGCTTCCGGCGCATCGACGAGAACATTTCGAAGCCCTAGGAAATGGAGTAAAGTTGGAAGAGCAATTCTGGCACGTGTTTTGTTATCCTGTGAGCTGGTAAATTATGGATAACTGGTAAGGATGGCTCTAGGGGGTGTTTTTCGAAGACATAGCTTTTCCTTGGGGGTGGTAATAATAAGGAATGCCGGGTTGTTGAAAATAGGTCAAAGAATTCGCCGTATATTCGATCAGAAACAGCGGTGACTAAAATATAGTTAGGTCTACAATTAGGAATTTCTGGTTTCCGCCGATGATTTTGTAGTAAAAAAGTGATTGTTAAGAATGCTAAGTACCTAGGCTTTCAGTAGGGCTTTTATGGCCAAAAATCCCGTTACTGCGTGACAAACAAGCAATAATAATTCGAAGGTAAGAACCACCAAAATTGCCAAAACACCCAAAATCGCCCGCCGTGGAGCTAAAGTTGCCAACCCTTCCCCCCCCCCCGCCAACCCCAAACATTCCGGAAGTCGGAAATCGTGGATTTTTCGCAACCCAAGGTGAAATATACGAGTGGCCAACAGGAGTTATACTGGGCCATTTCCTGTGCCCCTTCTTTCCACCTCCCCCCAAAACCCGGAGACACCACCGCCAGCTTCGACACCGACGATTTTTCGAGTGACTGGGCAGAGCCGACCGAATGCATGATTTATGCCTGAAAAAGAGGCCCTGTGGCCTTCCACCACACTTTGAATGCAATTCCACGGCTGCTGGACATTTGGTCCCGAATTTGGGGGGGGTGTTCTATGCTGTTCGGTCGACTCATCGCGGCGAATGCAACTTGTCACGGAGAGGTGTCAGAGAGAATGGAAAAACCAAGCATAAATGTTTGATGTTGCGGTTGGTTTACGAAAAAGTAAGAAAACGTGTTCGCATAAGAAAAATCCACTCGGAATTTTTTTGCTGTCGCTCAAGGGTGTCGTTTCAAATGCTTTGCGACTCAAAGCACACTTACGGGGGTTTTGCCCTGTTTTGGTGCTTGCAGAAATTTTCTTTGATATTATTGCAATGAAAACTAGAAAACTAGAAAACTAGAAAACGTGTAATTCTATCGGCATGAGCAGAAAACCGGAATAAGGCTGCTACCGCGAAACTAACATTAACCCAAGAAAAATGCATTACCTTCGCTGGTTTTAAAGAACTTTTCCCGAATTCGGGCTTGAGGTATTTACGTGGTTACTATCAGAGACCACCGTCTCCGAGTCCACAAGCCAAAATTCACATAACTAGCCCATGCGATTCATAACTGACCCCCTATCACCCCCCCCAACCCCCATCTCAAACCAAAATAGCAAAAATGTTTCAGTGGATAAACCCGGCGTGCCCAGGAAAAGGGCCGGGATCCAAAATGACATTGTTCCTCTGAAAAACGCATTGGCTCTCCTCCAGCATCCCCAGGGGAGCCTCATCGGGCCGGAGGGCGTCAAGGGCTTCTAAGGAATGGTGTGCGATTTATTTCAAAAATCTCTACTTCCAACATCGGTAACCGGGCCCACCCTCGATTCCCAGACATTAGGGGTTCGAATTTAGATTTCCACAAACTCCAAATACTCACCTCCATCTCGACGTGAAGCTGTTGCTGCTCGTAAGGGGTAGGGATAGAATGGAGACACCTCTCAATCAACGTAAAAGCCGCCGGGCAGGGAGGGTCTCCTGGGCGGGCTTGATTAGGACCTCCCAAATCAATTGTCCTTCCTTCTTTTTTGCTAAGGATGGGATCCATTTTAGGATGCAGCCCCTTCCCCCCATCCCTCATTGGGGGATCCCCCATCTCAAATAGATAAAAAGCTAAAAAGAAGCAAAACCTAAAATGTCTGGGTGTAACTGTTGGCCCTCTGGGACTGGAGGGGAAATTAGAACGCCACTCATTTCAGGTGGCTATAACGAGGCAACGGATGGGACGTTTTCCGACGACTTCAATTATTTGCCCCTTATCCACCCGAACCGTTTGGCTGGATGATATTCGATAGCCCGGAGGGGGCTAAATCTACCGTTTCCCGGGCGGCGGATTAGCCCGTCGGGAATGTCGACGCGCAAAACAACGTTTTTCGCTTGCGGGATTTTGAGGGTCTCCTCCCTGTTCCGTTTTCCGTGCCGGAACGCGAAGAAAGAAGATTGAGTTCTGGAGAGCTGCTTCAGTTTTTCGACACAAAACAAAGGACCTTCGGGGGGGGGCTGTCAGTATGTATGTTGTGGGCATTTGCAGAAGGTAAGAGTGCAAGCTTACCTCTCCCCCAGCCCAGCTCCCTCAGCCATACGTCCTATTAATGCGCCGAGTATCTCAAAATGTTCGCCGTGGTCGGCACCCTCTGAAAAAGTTGTTTACTTGCGCCAAAAGTTGTAAAAAAAATTTTTATAACAATATAAGTCTGGGTTTTCTTTAGTTAATTTTGCTGTTCCAAAGTGATTTTTCTATTCGGCTATCTTTGACGTGCCAGAGCTGTCACCGGTACCAAAATGTAGCCTGCTCTGTAGAATAAGCTTACGGTACGTTTGAGTCGAAAAAATAGCGGAAAAATAAAAATATTTGAGTTTTTTGACTTCTGCCATCGAAGCATAGCGGCTTAATCTTCAACTTCTCAAATCTTGAAAAATTTTCTAACACCTTTGGCCGTAAGGGAAACAACTTTTTCGAGGTTTTCGGGCCACGGCGGACATTTTGAGACACTCGGCGCATTAATAGGACAGATGGCTGAGGAGCTGGGCTGGGGGTAAACTGCACTTAAGCCTTGTTGAAATGTGTGCAGGTCGTCGAGCAATTTTTTAGGTTCCGTCTACATACCTTCTTGTTAGCTTTTTTATCGTTGCTGAAAAGTGAAATTTTTCACCATGTAGAATTTCAATAGATTTTTGTCACCCAAAATAAGACCCATCTTTTTTCTGGCTAATTCGGTCTGGAAAGCTTAATGGCCTCCTGCCCCCTCTTTGTTGTCGCCATAGGGCCCTTTATTGTGAGCGATGCTGCGTCATTTGTCTCCAACGTCCGCCCATCCCTATTGGTTGAAATTCACTTCCCTCAAAAAGATCATCACCACCGCCGGCACTTAATCAAAGTAAAAATTAAGGCAAGTTTTTCGAATTCGTGTCCTTGCCCGAGCACTTTGGCGGAAGCTTTTCTCCCGCCTGGAGGGAGACAGCGCGCATGGCATAGGTCATTACACTATTAGCTGGCAAGGCGTCCTCGGGACAGTGTGGTCAAAAAACGTTGGAATTCTTTCCATGCGACTGCAAACTCTGAGTTTTTAAACCCAGGGATTTGTAATTCACAAACTACCTTTTTTACGCCTTTCTGTCCAACCCTGTCAATTTCCCAAATAGTTTCCATATTACCCGGAAATCAGGGCTTTTAAGAGGAGGGGTGGAGACCCATCGCGTTCCGTGCGCAATCTGCACTGGAGAGAAGGGATTAGGAGCGCGGGAATTTATGAATCTCAAAGGAAGCCCTGTGTCCCAGCACAATACTCTGCAAAAATAATTTTCAACTTTATTTAAAATTGTAGTAGGAAATTAGAGCAAAACCCCTGGTTTCCGGTTTGTGTATATGGCCTCAAAGTTCAACAAAAAAACACACTTTCCTTTGGGGCTTCACTGTGGAGAGGGGCGATGCTGAAGGGCTTTCTTAAATTTCCTCGCTTGGGCCGGCTCGCCAAAGAGACGACAGGAGCGGGAAGTTTTTGCAAAAACCTAGAGTGTATCGCCTGCTCAATGAATATTTTAAGGCAGGCGGAAAAGCAATAAAAAATCGTTCCACCTAACGCCGCTTTGCCCCCCACTTCCCATCTTTGGGGCCCATTTTACACATTGGATATACCAAGCATACCGGTACGTGATAGGCTGGCCGGCCCTTGGGTCATTTCTAATTTCCATCGTGTCATACACCTTTATGTGAGATTGACACGCGTAAGGACATATTTATGTATAGCATTACCCCAGCCCGGGGGGGGGGCGGAGGCACATGTTCGTATTTGGTCTTCATTCCCTAATAACTCACCCTCTCTGTCAAAGGTTCATCGCAGAGCGCCGTACACTTTTTACGGAAACGAGCTTTTGGATGAATGCGCTTGTAGCGTGGGCAGCTAATGATGCCGCGTTTCCTAACGCTGCGATTAGCTTGTCACTTCGCCGTTAGTGCCAATCTTTTGTGTGTGGCTGTGTATGTGGGTGCAAAAAGCCGTCCGTAAAATGTAATTTATCCGCAGCTGGCACCCGAATCGCCGTTACCCATCCTCAAACGGCGCCCTAATAGCATTTGGGTTGCTTTTTGAAGTGGGTGTGTCCCTCGGAATCCCACCACGCTTCACTTGGAACCTGGCCGCCAAGATGTGATTTTCAACATTTCTACCTTCCAGGATCTTTCTTAAAAATCGAACCCCAAACGTCTATTTAGGGCTTTGGTGGGAGCGACGTATGTTGCTCCTTCTTTCCTGGAGCCTTGCTGGCCCTACCCTTGCCAGCGTTAATTTATTTATCTCCGAAGAGGAAGTGGTGAGGACGCAAGGTGAGAAAACACGTAGGCTGTCTGAAAATATCGCCATGTAGGCGTCAGTCGTCAGGTTTCGTACATACAGAATGGTGTTGGAACGAAACAGCGATAGAGAGAACGTTTAAAGCTGATGGTAATGGGACGGTTCTAACTCTCGGGTGGAATGCAGATAGCAAAGGTAGTAACATAAGTTTTTTTTGACGTGTTTTAGGTTACCTATAAAGCCGTAAAATAGCATCGGAAGACATGGCTGTACTTCCAGTACACGATTACCGGAAAACGGGCGAGGTGCCGACTAACTTGGAAAGTGAGTTACGATAATTGAATCGGCGCAATAGTGGAATTTGTTAAAATAGTTCCATACCGACGGATATATTTTGATATTTTCAGCATTTTTGGTCGATTATCGCCGTGCTGGAATGAAATCGGGTCAATTCGAAGTTAGCCTTTCCTCAGTTTTATCCCGGAAAAAGGGAAAAATTACAACGTACGAATGGCAAACCGAAAACAAGCGGAGCACGACGGTAGTGCCGATTCACGGTAGGAAAATAGCCGGGTTGTTTTGTGGAACGCTAACTTGTGAAGATGACGCCGAGAATTAAAAGCAGAGCGAGAAAGGCTTGTATGCGCTTACAAAAGAAGTGTTTCTTTAGATGAAAAGGAATGGAACCCTAATTTACATTATTATTGGCTGCGGCATCGCGTTCTTGCTAGAACTTCGTCATTCTTTTGCTGTACTTCCGAGCTTCTAAAAACGGGAATACCACGGGGCCGCTAATGAAGAGCAAATTGCCGTAAGGGACAGTCTATCAAAACAAAACGCGAACCTAGGAAACGCCTTTCATTCTCTAAAAGCCAAGCAAACACAGCTACTGAGCGCGAGCCTGGCCGCTGGAGGAGCTGCACAATGCCTATGAACAACCCTAATTGTTTAGAAAGCTCTGCGACTAATAAATTGAGAGCTTCTATGTCGTTGAAGCCAAGTACTTCGAAGGCTGAAACAACACTGCCAGCGGTGGATGTAAAAACAGCCCTTGTGGCACTCCACGCTGATCGAGATCTATTCACTATTTCAATTTTAATGAGCTGCAAGGTAGGAAAATTGCTGATTCTCCTCAAATTCATCCTTAGGGAAAATTTGCTGAAATGAAATGGGCTATTTGGCGACAAACTGCTAGTGGGTTTCTGGTGATGTGGATGGAAGATGAGGTAATTGAGAGTTAGGAAAGCCTGAAAATTACATCGTCAAAAGCTATGTTTTATGCGCTTTTCTGGGACGACGGTACCGGAGATGAGGCAATGTTGGTAAAAATGCTAAAACCTACAGCCGGACATCAAGAACTGGAGAAATTCTTGTCGGATCTACCTCGTTTTCCATCATGTCCTTGGCACATACAAAACCTAGCAAAGGAACGTTCCTCCAAAAAAACGAACAATTGACGATTTAGCCCATATGAGCAAATAAGGTTATAATTTCCTTCTAACTTTTCTTACTAACCCTAAGTATTATTTATTTATTCAGGGTGGGCGGCGCAGCCTCTTTTGGCAGATTTGAATTGTCCAGAAACCGTAACAGAGACTTACTAATGGTTTGGTACGGTAATTAAGGTTTTGGGAACCTCAAGCAGTTTTTGTTGACTTGCAATGCCGGAAGGCGTGGGAAACAAGAATAAAAGTAGGTCTAGTGCTTGCGTGTCAAAAGCTGATTTTCAGATGGCCAAACCTCAAAACTAAAGAACTGCTTGGGATGGGGATACATATCGCAAGAGCCTTAAAGCATTTGCATAGTTTTGGTATAAACACACCGATGTCGCAATACGGAATTGCATTGTGGCCGAGGTAAACATCGATCAACTACTACTAAATTTTATTAGCAACGAAACCCACAATCCAATGATCGCCTTCATGTGCAGCTGATTGACAATCGTTGACGAAGGTGTGCCAAGTTACAGCTAGTAAAACCGCCTTGAAGGACATTTCCGTGATGATTAATGTACGCAATTTCTCCCTGATGGTGAATTGCGACCAACGCATTGGATGTCTCCGGAGGCGTTGGAAACAAATAACTACGATCAACCTAACGACATCGTACGTTTCCAAAGACAGTCAACCTGACCTAGAACTGATAAACCAACGCGCTTCGTTTAATTTAGTGGGCACCGGCGTTGCCATCTGGGAAATTCTATCTTGTGGAGCTGTTCCATTCCCAGATATCCATGCGAATAAAAGCTAAGCGAACTGCTTAATGGAAGGCGATTACAACGACCACACAACTGCCCCGAATCACTGTATGTTTTTCGAAGGGATAACAAACCGCTTTCAGTTACGACCCACTTTCCACCTCATGGATGGATTCTATTCACCGACCATCCGCGGCCACATTAACCTCAACGTCTCGAAGAATATTCCAAAATGAGATGCGACAATGATACCGGTGACACGATCAAATAAACAATTCTTTAATCCCTAAAGCACAGGTGCCATACAAAACACAAGTGTAAAGTGAAACACAAGTCAAAACACAAGTGGCTAACGAGAAAAATACACAGTAGAAACACAGACTACCCGAATTTATGAGAGTTCAGAGTCAGGTGAATTTAATAAAGCACAGGATTGATAGCGGAAAGATGGCTAAGGATTTAGTAAAGAACGGTTCGTTTTCTATTGACGAGCATTAATTGCCAAATGAAAATTTGATCGGAGGCCGGGAGCCAGCAGTGTTCAGGGAACGCTTCTTGTTCTACTTTTTTGAGGTTATTCTTCTGTTCCTAGCAGTTCACGCTGCTCCTCTCCAGCTGACTCAGTTCCATGAGCATCGGCCAGGCGTTCTCAGTCTGAAAACAGAATACATAGTAAGAACGAGTAACAAAAAAGCTAGCAAAAGTTTCTCTGGAATGCTTAGGGAGATCAAGATCAATTGACCGCTTGAACTGGCTTTGCATAATTGGTTGTCCCAGGACAATACGTCAAATCCATCTGATCACCCTACATTCCATCGAACCCTTGCTATTTGTTCATTTTATAAATTAAACGATGACGTTAGGCGCCAGCAAACCTGGATCCAATATTTCTTCAAGTCAGGCATCCCACTCCAATCGACGGTTCTCCGACGAAAAGCTACAAGAGCTTCTGTAGGCCCCGGAAGATACACTATAGGCAATCATTCCGGGATACGGATTTTTGAATATCGAATTTGCAGAGATGCTCTCCTGCTACGTACATATATCTTTCTTTCATCAGCGGCACGGATTTTCTTGAGGCTGTTTTCGAGCTGGGCGCATTTGTTCCTCTGCTCTCCTGAGATAAATTAATTATTATAAAATACAATCATGCACCAACCCCTTCTTTCTGGAGCGCCTCATTTCCATCCTTCATCTCCATCTCTATCTGCATTCTGAGCAGCTTCTCTAGTTCAGATGTCTGTTGGACGAATCGCTTATTCAGCGTCTTCTCAACGGCCTCGACCCTCAGCGCCACCTAAAAATTTATTGATCGAAACGCTTTAGAAGCATTGCAAAAACAACCTCCAAAAAATTAAAAAAATTAACCTCATCGTCAACCATTTTCGTCCTTCGGGGTTTAGGCTGTTGATGTCGATTCCCACATTACTTACAGCTGGCTCTTGGGTAACGACAGTGATGAGTGATGGACGTCTATAAAAAAGAATCCATAGACAAGTAAAGACTCACTTTTCCTTTAGTAAGCTTCCTAAGCAACCATCTGGGCTTCAGACCCCTCCTCTTCGACTTTTCGACCTGCGAGAGCGATTCCCGGTCTTCGCGATCCCGCTCACGATCCTTCCTTCGCACGGTCGCGGTCACGGTCACGCTCGCGATCGCGGCCCCTTTCTCATCCCGGTCACGGTGTCGATCCTGCCGACGAGCCTGGCTTCGGGTTCCACTTCGACTGCGAGCCATTGCTGCAAAAAAATAACATTATTTAACATAGAAATAAAGGAAAGAGGCTAAAACGGTAACGAAAAAGAAACGAAGAATGCAAGAAAAGTAGCATAGACAAGATATGGAGTAGCCGTGCTTCCGTTCGTGATGGGTTTATTTCCCTTTTTTTTTGTGATTGGAAGGTGGAAGTCTTCACGGATCAAGAAATCCTGGGAGCACCGCGCCTCGGGAGTGCCGGGCGGTGGGTCCTGCGTGGAAGGACCGCCGCCAATATCACTGGCATCACTATGCGTCTCTCCCAAGTCTGCGTGTATTTGATAAGTCCATCTGCCCAGAAATTAACTTCCAACATTTGGACGCTTTAGTGCCTAACTGATATTCATTTAAAAAGGCTAAGATCAAGTTTTTAATGCAGTGGAATTGTGAAGGATTTACCTTAATCATACAATCAAGTTATTTCAGCTCTCGCCCGAACTCGAAAAGATTCGTTTGAGATGCGGCGACTAATTGCGCTCCTATTGCCCGTAGTTTATGGACAAGTTGTTTAAGATGACCGGGAGATGTCGGCGGAAGATTGCTACCAGTATGTCTTCAAACTGTTACTATTTTAAGAGAGATTTTCCGGTTTTCTTATGCTGGGTATTGTAGCCGATTTCAACTAAAAATCAGTAGGAATAAAACTCTTTGAAAACTAAAATGAAGAGACTGAATTAACCCGAAAAAAAATGCTGTAAATGGAACTTATAGGTCGAAGTCTCCTTTATCCCTGATGTTCTGGAAGTGTTCTACATGGCGAGGAGTTGCTGAAATTTGAACTGGACTTGATCTACACCGATTAAAAGCGGTGTTGGATCAAAGTGTGAAAAGAGGCCGAGCATGGCGTGCCAGGGAGATGCCTGCCGTTCCGTGGCTCGCATAATTTTTGTAAAATCTGAAGATAAGAGAATTCTTTCGGGTCATGAAAGTAAGATGCGCTGCGGGTCTTATTTTCTATCAAACATTATGGAGTTTGTAAACAAGAGCTATCGAAATGATACTTCTGCTTGAATGCTCATCTAATTCCGTTATCAAAAGCCGCTGTTTTCGGGATTTTCGATCGCCCACGTGTGGAAGTGCAAGTGAATGCAATCTGCGCATGGATTCCGCAGGTTCAAGGTAAGTGCCGAGGGCGCAAAAGGTATGAAGCGGACGATTGATATGTTTCCTTGTTTTCTGTCGAGATGAGCATAATCAGAATTCTTACCGTCATTTAGCCAGTCCTGAGCAAAGATACTATCAACTTTGATGCTCTGCCTAGCCTTCAGTCCACAAAGACATGGCCGATCAGTTTGGCGGCAAGGTGAAGGTGAAGCATGTCCGAGGTGTGCGACCCCAGATCAAGCTCAAGGACTGCCCCGGTAGGTTATTATGTTTCTAAAATCTTACGCTGTAGCGTGAATGCCTGGTCGTTTCATAAACAGCTTTGCTAAAACAAATACACTGTTTGAAGCGTTCGAAACCTTTACTTAAAGGGATGAGGCGTAGCTCTGGAATTTAAAACCATTTTTTTACTACACGAATCAATTTCAGGGAATACCTAAGAAGGCTGAACATTGAAAAATGGGACACAAACACACCTACGACTTCTTTGATTTAATGGATCGATCAAACGGGTCTAATCGTATTTGTTTTCATTTTCCTGGGGAAGTTTGTTCGTTTTCGGAAATATACCCTTACAATACTAAGTTATTCAAACAGTCAATTCATGTCCCATTTGTTTCTCCGGGTTCGGGGGTAGATTTGTTGTTCTGATCTGTCCCTCTGCTCCAAAGCCATCCCCCAAAAAAAAATTTATTGTTCTGTGATGGCGGACGCCTGATGATTACGGCTGGTCCTTGTAAGTTAAATATTTTTGATGCCATGGTTGAATCGCACGGTTAAATTGCAAATTAGAAGATCGTGGTGAAAAGTATGTGTATTAAAAGTAGAAGAGACAAGTGATTATCAGGCGGTGTTGAATTTTTGAGTGAGATGGCGCCGAAATCGAATTCGCTCCCGAGACGGCTTTATTCAAACGTTTCGGACTTTCAGGCTTTCCCAGACTTTCAACGTATTATGATACACAATTTAATTGGTGCTTGTCGGAACGTCAATTGGTTTTCGGTCCGTAAACTTTCCTTGTCACTACGAATTACACCTGAAATCGTATTATTTTTCCTGAAAAAATACGCGATCCTGAAATATTACTTTCTCGCCGGGAATCGTAGTCTACCGGATAATCGCGGCGGATAAACAATCGATCGGAAGCCGGGATAATTCACGCATGAGCACCCGCCAGCCAGTGGTGTCGCCGTATTGCTGTGGCTGACCGGTTCGAGCAAAAGCCCCCGATCCTGCCCACGTCCCCCTGGAAAGTGCTGAAGGTCTATTAATTGTGGCACATAGCTCTTGTGGGTGTGAGTGTGTCTCCCTCTGGGTCCTCTTGGCTTTGGCTTGGCCATTGGAGCCGGTCCCTATCGATTCCGCCCAAAAGCCCAGTCCGTTGGTCTCCCTCCATCCCTGCTGTCCGGAACAACAAGCTGACCCCCACCGGTCTGTCTTTTCCTCCCCACAAATATTTGTCCCTTTTCCCGTCTCTCGGCGTCTTCAAGCAATCTCCTTTTCGCCTCTTTGCCAAAAGGCCATCACAACAAGTAATTTTAACGTCGCCCTGGGCCTCGGGGCGCTATTTCAAAAACGCACGTTGTTTACGACAATTCTGGAAGCCCTTGTTGGGAAGGAAGGCGGGAGAGCAAATTGAATTTGCGGACTTCATGGCTGATTATAGCTCGGCATAAAGAGTACTGAAGATTTTTTTTTGGGAAAAGGGCTTACGAATTGTTTCCATTTGGTGTTTTTTGGCTTGGCCTCTTGAGATATCAACTTGTTACTCTTCTTCAGCTGCTCAGACATTATCAATTCTGGTTGTTTTTGAACATCCCCGGAGGTTTCCTCGGGGAAGAATTTGTTCGCCAGAGGAGTCCGCCGGTGATGAGTAACGAATTTATGGGGGAGAGATTGCTTCCGTAGCCAGGGCAGATGATGTTGTCCCAAAAATCGTGGGGCCGATAACACGGGCCACAGCCAGGCAGCGGTGGGAAAAATTGGCTCGGGCTATTTCCAGTTTTGATCCTACTAAAAACGAATATAGCCTACATAGATTAGCTAGAAACAATCGCTCTTAATTGTTTCTAAAATCATACAATCGTAAATTAATGTTCGTTTGCATCATCTATATTTCGTCATTCATATTCCATTTAAAGGTGAACTTCGGAATTTTTCATCACTTTTCGTGGTATTCGCTTTATTCAATTTCCCCAACAACCAGGTTCAATTTTTTTAGCCAAAAATTGCTCGGTGGCGGTTAGAATCACGCCTTTGTTTACGGGGGGACCTCTTGCAATTTCGTGGTTATCAGCACTCTATCAGCTTCTTCGCAATGAAGATGTAAACAAACCATTTGCTCGGTTATTTCCCCTCGTAAAAGTGCTCCTTTTTTTGTTTAGGCCCCACCTATATAAATTAATTGCTGTTATTTATAGAGCGAAACCCATCTAAAACCAACTTCTACCGGCAGAATGGCAGAGTTTCCGGATGTTACAGTAAGTCAATTTAATACAAAAATAGTTGTTCGCCTTTGAATCATGAATTAGCGATCGGAAAGGATGAGCGGAGGGTTGTTGAGGAAAGCCAAAACCTTACTCCGCAACAATCTTATTGTGTCTCCCTAAAGATATGGCTAGGGGCGAAGAATCTGTGAAAATTAGATTTGGCAAGACTCCGGGGCACCCGGACAAAAAAACCTGAACGACCCTTTTCAGGCGGAACCCCGAGATTAAAAAAAAATAGCTGGGAAAGCTGGTGGTTGGGCAGGGGCGCGAGAAGCAACTGAAATGTCTAGTGGCATGTTTATTTGGTGGAAGGGGAGGGCGGTAGGCGGGGAAAGCGCAGGTAAAGAAGCTTATTTAATTTTTAAAAGGGGCCCCTTCACGTGGTGGTGGTGGGCCCGGAGGAGGAGGAGGAGCCTCTCGACAAACACGAACATCGGGAGGTAGCCGGAGCCGGGCTTCCAACGCTTCTTCAATAAACATCCTCCCGTGCGCGGCCGCCCAACCTCAAACCACCCCACCAACAGCTACTTTTTGGTCATACGCTGTTATTTCATAGAGCTTCAGTAATGCTGCAGCAGGTGTCAACCGAGTCGTCTTTGGCTATTTTATTTCGAGTATATTTGTCTTAATCGAAGTAACCCCCGGATTAATAAACTCAATTTGGGAATCTTTTACCCTTTCGAAGGCCCTCAAAGACTTCTATTTTCATAGCCAGGTGGCCACAGCGGGCGGTTGATTGGCTAGTGAAAAACAATAACACTCAAATTTACATATTAACAGGCGCAAGCGGCGATATGTAATGGAAAACACAACTTTTCAGCTTCTCCCCGTCCAAACCAAGAACTGCGGCGTACCGAATGTGTACGTCCAGGGGAACCCTGAGGAACGCAATGGAAAGACTACATCCTTACCGTCCACGACGTTGGAACGAAACCGTAGCTTAGCAAGCCACCAACAACTAGCCAAAACCGTAAAAAGCGTATTTTTATAGACAAAATCGTGTCATCCGGTTCGTCAACCACCCATCGATGTCCGATGTGAAGGCCAAGGCTATCGGCACGTCTGCATCCCAGGCCAAGAGGATCATCTGGCTGAATACACGGAGAGTAAGTGGAATACCGCTTTGTTCAGGAAAATTTTGGCTTTAGCCTCCGGACTCTGGCCTGATTGGCGAGGACCTGGCGGCCGTGTCTCGACAAAATCGAGGTCCAATCCTGCATCGCATTCGGCGAGGGCGCGGGTGCCAACATTGTCTCCCGATTTGCGGTATGCGTTTATTAACTTTTTGGAAATCGTTTGATCCCCCATAGATGGAATACCCGAACCGCATATGGCCATTATTTTGGTCCATTGCACTCCGACTACGGCTGGAATCCTTGAGGATGTGCAAGGACAAGGCTATTTAAAAAGAAAAACATTAACAAAAACACATCTAGACTACGAACGGCGTCTGGAGAGTGGCGTCATGCTGGATGGGAGCGTGGGATGTCCTAGCTGCCCACAAATTCGGATCGGTTGGTATATTATAATTATTCTTCATTCAGTATAGTCCAATTCTCAAAATTTTTCATCAATCCATTTAGAACGAACGCGACAAACAGGAATACATCGACTCCCTGAAGAGCACCTTGAAATGTCAAGTTATAATCACAGGTAATAATCTTTAAACGTTCCGCCGCAATACTCGGTACAAAATTCGCTAACTGACAAACAATGAGAATCATCAAGTCCCCAAAAACAACACCCACTTTTCAGCAAATATTTGCTCGCCTTCTCAAAGCGCACAGACATCTCTTCCTTGCCGGGAACTAACCTGGACGACGTGAGTTACTAGGAAAGCAGACCGTACTAATATACGGTAATTCTAGTGTGGATGCGCTGCTCGTTTCAAGCCTGGGTGGAAAGGCCAGCCATTTGCAGTCGGTGTACACGACTCATGGGAATATGGAATCGCAAGAAGACGACGTTGCTGGTTGTTGACAATGTGTGCGATGTGATGAGCGAGGCTGTGGTAATAATTATCTACATTTAGGAAAATAATTTAGCCTGACAACTTGGCTCGCCTGCTGATCCTGCTCTGCAAGGGATGCGGAATGCTCAGCGGTGTTGCTATTCCGGGCATGGAACGTCAGCGGACCCTCAGCAGGTAATTCTTACAAAATTAGCTTATCTTTGCTACTAAAACTTCAAAAATCTTTGCTTTATTACACAAGCAAATACAAATAAATTAAAATGTATAGCTCGGGATGGAAGAAGCCGATCGTGTCTGCGACGCCTCTCCGTCACCAACCCCACTCATCAGCCAATTGCTTCCCGGCAGTAACCAACATTCGGGATACTGTATTACACGATTCTGTATATTTCCATTCCTACCCCTCTGTCTATACCTTTCCGGCTAAAAATTTGACCCAACCTTTAAAACCACCTCCAAAACCTCACCCCCCAACATTCCCCCTCAAGCAGGCTGTGGAAGTGGTCACATTTGGTGCGGCCATTTATCTTAAAGATTTCGACTGTTCCTCCCCACTGGCTATTTAACTCTATTTTAAGCTTTACGTCCTACAAAAAACAATAAAAAAATAATGAATGTTCTCGACGGATCATCTGTATACGCTGTAATTCTTTTAAATAAAGTGTCTCGTTTTTGGAAGGCTTTCAGCTTTTTATTGCACAATGGATATGGGAGCATCACATTCGAATCTCACGGAAATTCATCACAAATTTAGGCAGTGTAATTATTTGCTTTTTTGAATATATAACAGAAGACAATGGGACCATAATTTTTCAATTCCAAATGGCTGCAGCATTTTTCTTCAAGTGTCTAAATAGCGTTGAATATCTTACATCTTGATTATCTACCCTTCATTTCCTTGATGGTTGCCCGTTCTTGAGCTTTTGTTCAGCCGTAGCTGTGCTGTTAATCCCAAGAGACCCCTTCGATCAGCCGTCTCCAGCAACCGATCCGGTGGTTTTTGGACGAAAAGATGGACGTGCCCGTAAATCGTCCCCTAACCGCAACGCTCGCCCTGAAAATCAAGGTATATGGGCTTCGAGCCTTTCCAACACGATTTTGCATTACATCCAGGAAAATTGGGCCCTGTTCTCCTCACCTGGCGCCTTTTGGATGCGGCGGCCAGCGTGCGTAACTTGATATCTGGTTGTTTTGGAAAGATGGAAAAGTCACGGGCCCGTCTTTCATTTTCAAATACGACAAAAGCGTTATCGCCGTCAGCTTTCTGGACTAAGAAAAAAAAAAAAGAATCCGAGACTCCGGGAGCATACCTTACTCCACTTCATAGCCGGCTTCCAAGAACTTTGTGATTTATAACTCGCAGGGATTGGCTAAAGCCGGAAATCATACAGCTCGAGCACATGCGGTAAATCTGAATCGACAGTTTGGAATCCAAAATTTTGAATTACTCTTTGATCCCATGAAGCTCTGGCTAGTTGAAGGCGTCGTTGTCTTTTTCTGGTTAATTTCGCACCGGCTTCGAGTTTGAGTTGGACGGAGCTGGAAAATGTCTCGAAAAATGTCGGGTTTTGGCTACCTGTTGGGTGAGAGCATCATCATCTAGGTTTCCCAGGTATCTTCTTCTTCCGATTCAGGCTTGGCAGTTGTTGGGTCCATTGAGCTTTTTTATTGAAGCGATCTGGATGCTGTTATTTGGATCCAAATCGGTGTGGAGATCAAAAATTAAGGAAATTATACCTTAAGGAAAACTATACACGTTAGCAGGTGCGGTATAACAAATACACTAATGATAAAAGCTGAAAATAACATTAATAGGTTAGCGATCAATAAAAAGGGACGTGCCTAAGTCCCATACGAAAATTTTGTCTGTATGATATCATTATTCAGCCGTGCATTAATGTACCTAACAGTTGTTAAAGTACTACCTTTCGGTTGCCCTCTATTTTTCCACAAGGCTACAAGCCACTCCTATGTACAGAGGTTCCCGAGCCAAAATCAATTATTGCTAGCCATGACTGCGCTGTGTAACTACATACTATCCGAAACGACAAGACTATCTCAACACAGGGTATAAGATATATGTAATAAACTGCATGATAGAGCACTCTTTCATAATTATTATTTATTCCCCCAAACCCATATATTGCAGTCAAAATGATAGTGTCCGCGGCGGGATAGTCGACATATACACCGCATTTATTCAGTTCCTGATGCTGAAATTCCATAGATAAAGAATAAGCACACAAAATACCTCTCGGTCTCAACGTAGTTCCGTCCAACTAACCTTACGACAAATGCCGTTAAAAGGACGCCAAAGATCTAAAAATTATGCTGATTTTTTGAGAGGCTCACAAACCGTAAATCCAATTAACATCCAAATTAATGGATTTTCAGCCATTCTTCGGACTTGTTGATGAACATTAGGACTCTTTTCATTTAGAGAAATCTTAAAAGGTTCTTTTTAGGATTAAATTGAATACCTGGGCAGTCAGAGCTTCCGTAAGAGCACCCTCTACCGCTGTAATTCCGCCCCTAGCCGTCCTCACAATCATTATATCGTACGAGGCTTCACATCGGGGTGGCTATACGTAGATTATGTATTTAGATGAAGCTGAAGCATACCGAAAACTCCCAAACAACCATCCCCCTCCTTTGAACACAAACTGACGCTGCATGCAAATTGCATAACTGGTGCTTCTTCGAATGCAAAGGCCTTGAAAAGATATTGAAATTGGAAGGTGCAACCTACCTTGCTTTCCGCATACGCAAATAGTTTCCCGTCTTCATAGACAGGGTCTGACACGACATTAACATCCGTGGAACAACTAAAAAGTTACACCCGTAATTATAACTATTGGGGGGGTTTCTAATTTCGGAAAAATTACCCCCCGGACTAAAATAGGACAATTAAAAAAAAAAAAAAAAAAAAACCCGAGTTCGCCTTGGATCTAATTATAAAAAAAAAGTTATTCCCCTTTTATTTAATTTTCGAGAGATTAGACCAAAAAAACTAAATAAATATTAGACCTGGGAGACCTTAAAATTAAAAATAAATCAATAAAAAAGAAAAAAAATAAAAAAAAAAAAAAAAACAAAATCAAATAAAGGAAGAAGAGAATCGTGAAAACAAAAAAAGGAAAAAACAAAACTCAGGAAAAAAGGAAAATTATTTCTGGGGACCGGGAAACGGGCCACGCTATTTTTGTTTTTTGGGTTCTTGATTCATAAACCTAATTTGAAACCGAGAGGGAGTGGCCGGAACAAGGGGAAATGGATAGGGTTTGGGACTCCCGGAAATCTACAATACCCTTTGGCATTGAAGATTGGGTATTTATGGGCGTGATCTGATTTTGTACATAGCAATCATGAACATGCATTCCATAATACGAGGAAGTATCTAAATAAGTGAATACTTTTCATTGACATTCTCGTACCAGCCATTCCTTCGCATGTCCAAGTGTGGTAGATCTTTTCCCCTAGCAATGCCTCGGTGATTCCGGGTCCATGTGGTGCTTCCTTCATTCAAGTAAATAAATATCTCGCAGTTCTTACGTAGCCTTTCGAATAGCATACGTACAAACCGGTGGTACTGCGGTTAAATGGATTGCCTTGCCGATCGGAATTTCACTAAATATAGTTAGGTTAAAATATTTTTTTTTACTAACCTTGGATAGACGGAAAGGTTCGTGTAGATTTTCTGAGTATTTGACAGCTTCTTTGGCATATAGCACTCCAGGAAATAGGCTCTGAACAAAATGAACGTCATTAAATTTAAAAATTACCGATCATTTTCTGTAATAATTGAAAGGTCATGCTGGAGGTTCAGAATAATCGATGAATTTTTGCCGGTCTCCTAAAGCAATTGCAAACCATAAAAATAACTACCGTATCCATTTGATTTGTACCACAATCATTGGCATCAACCTCAAAAATGATTGGGCGACTTTCAACAGCGAGAATATCCTAAAAAAGTTTAAGTTTTTGGGGAATATTATTACTCGGCGGCATCCGACTTTTTGCGGGAATCCTTTGACAAATGCGGTACCCTCAAAATCCGGCGCCACATGCAGAGTTAACTAAAAAAAAATAACATGGGTATAAAAATAATGTAAGTGAAGCTACCCTGAAGCCAGTTGAAGTGCATTCTAGATCAATTTGATCATTAGGGTTTGATCCAGAAGCCTGATGCTCAAAGGTCGAGCTAGCAAGTTTTCTAAAATTTGAGAAGATCCAGCATGCTATACGAATTACCCCAATCCATCATAATTCAGTTCTTCTTGCGTATTTGCTCCTGGCACTCGAATTTCGTTATTTGACGCTTCTTGAGGATTGCCGGATGCTCCTGAAAAACGTCATTAGTCTGGTTAAACCCAGTTTACCGTAATTATAACCGCTCAAGTTCGGTGGTTCATACACCGGCTTCCTTGTGGTAGCCCAATAGTCGGGGGTTTGCGGCCTTGCCCTAGTCGGGAAAGACGGCTGAAATTTTGTTGTACAAACCTTTAACCAACCCCACAAAAAGTGCACTTACAAATGGTTCGCCAGGTGTAGGGGTTAGATTCTGGTGTGCAGCGTCGTCAACCAGGTGTATTTCAGGTGAGGTTACTTCCTTTGTGTTAAATGCAGCCGCGGTTGGTTTTGGATGTGCTGGTAAATTCCAAGCTATGGTTGTTTGAGTTGTGATTGGGTTATTTGGTTTTTGAGTTTCTTTGTTGATTGATTGTTTTGCATCATTTGAGATTGGATTTGTGTAGGTGGTTGTCGATATTGGGGGCCGTGTTGTAGGAGTTATAGGTAGGAAAACCGGCCTCGTTGGTATGGTAGCAGTGTTTCTTGTAGTAAAATCCGTTTTGTTTGGAGGATTAGTGGTTGGTGTTATAGGCACAAAGAACGGTCTTGTTGTCCGGGTTGTTGCTTTGTCGCTTTCAAAACCCATTTCCATTTCTTCGGAGCTTTCTTCGAATTTGGTTGGTTCTTCGGTGGTGGTTGGCACTCCATGATGCCATCCGGTTACAAACTTTCGTGTCGAGGTTATTTCGTGTGCATTAAAATGCGTGCTGGATACCGTGTGTGCTGCAATTGTTGACCGGCTGGCAGCCGTTGTTTGAGATCGAGAAGGAGATCGGGTGCTGATATCAAAATGAGAAGTGGTTGGCGTCTTGATTGTTGATGCGGTAGCATGCTGGAAATTTCGCGGATCGAAGGCAGCTCCATTGAGGTCTTCGTCGGATTCTTCGACTTCCTCGAAATCAGGTAGATGATTTGGCCTTCCACTGTGTTCGGCCATGAATGCTTCGTAGTCTTCATCAATTTCTGGTTCGAGAGCGTTTGGCCGATGATCAACAGGCGGTGTGAAATGGGTGCCATGGGTGACAAGTATGGGTTTTTCTGTGGTTGGTGCAGCCGGGACAACCACCTGGAAAAATTGATTTAAGCAAATTAGGCTGTAGCAGTTGAGCGTTTGCCCCAAGCATCGGTTAAGCTAGCCTTAAAAAATCAAGGCGTTTATTCATACCTGTCTTGTTGTGAAGTCAGCCGTACGGCTTGACCAGCGAGTAGTTTGTCGTTGTTGGGTTGTGGACTGCGTACGCCATGCTGCGGCAATTTTAATTAAAATGAGGAGAAGTCTTACTGGTTCTTCTGGTTGTGGTGGTTGTGGGATTAGGCCGACTGGTCACAATACCCGAAGTGACATGTGGAGGAGAAGAGCTTCTCGAAGCTGTAGCGGGCGGGTGTGTTTCGGGTCGTTGTGTTGCCTAGGAGCTTTTTTTTTGGAAGTCTTGTGCACGTACTCTTGTTTGCCACCATCCAAGGGTCGATGGCGTTGTCGATGGTCTGACTCTAATCCCAGTAACTGTTTGCCAGGTCTGAGTCTCTGGTTGACGAACCGGGGTGCGAGTAGTCGAACTTCTTGACCATGTAGTTTGGCGGGTTGTCTAAAACTGGTTTTCAAAATGATTGTTAGATTACCGTTGTTGGTCTACGAGTGGTGGTAGTGGTTCTGGTAGTGATTGTCGTAGTCGTCGTCGGATGGACTTTGATACCCTTGATTGTATTCCAGGTAGTTTCTTCTGGGTGGTGAGCTGGAGCTGTAGGTCTTGTTGTTGTGGTTTCACGAGTAGTCCAGGTAGCCCTCTGCGTGGTCTGAAATGGAATTGTTTGCAAAAGGCAGAATTTGCAGGCTTATCAAATATTTATGAAGAACAGATACCGTGGTCGGCCGTGCTGTCGTCGTAGACCGAGTAGGTGGTATTCTGCTACCCTTTATTGTTTGCCAGCTAGGTTCTTCTGGCCTTTGAGCTGGAGCTCCTCTGGTGGTAGTACTGGGCTCAGTAGCTCTGGCTCTAGTTGTCGGACGCGCCGTAGTTGTAGTGGAGGCCGTACGAGGTGGCGCCTGTATATTGTCATTAAAAAGTAGTTATTAAATTACTCTGGTGGTAGTTGTCGTTGTTGTTGTCCTCCTTGTGGTTGTGGTCGCCCTGCTAGTGGTCGTCGTAGTTGTTGGGACTCGAGTAGTAGTCGTAGGTCTTGTTGTGGGGGTTGTTCTCGTAGCTGTCGTGCTCGCTCGCGTTGACGCCGGAGGACCCTAAAAAGAAAACACCTTGAATAAATCCGATTTTTATCGTTTTCCCATGCCCAAAATTGCCTATCATCCAGCTATCAGTGAAAGCGGGTTGATATGAAACCGTTGAGGGCATAATTTATAATCATCCTTCCCTTCGCACCCACCCTCGGCGTCGTGCCATCCACATTATTTCCAGTTTCTGGACCGGAAATATCACCCCCGGCGGTGGGTTGGTGGTTTCCCTTGTTTGCTATTGGCAGCAAGTTGGTGCCCGGCTAAACATTGATGTACTAAATAAGTCTAAAAATTATCTAACTTCGCCCAATTCATTCAGCCCCGGCAATGGCCTTGACAAGTTCACTCTCTGGGACGCCGCTGGGGCCGGTTTCTATCGATTCCCTGTTCAGATGCCTAGACAAATTGTATTTTAGGAATGTTTAATACATACTTGCTGATCTCATCAATTAATGCGTCTTCTAATTCCTTTCGCAGTGCTTCATCATTGCTATTAGACAAACGACGAGTATCCACACTAAATGATAGGGTGTTTTTTGGAACATTACACTTACTTTTGCAAAACCTTGGGCAAAGCCTTGTCGATTTCATCTTCCATGGCTTTTTCTAGACTGAAATCTTCTTTCGGGGGTGTATTCTTGAAGCCATCTTTGTTCAAAAGTGCCGCGTCGACTTGTACAACCGGATCCGGCAATGGGCTTGGGGTTGGGCGCTAAAATGACAGATATTCACAATTCTATGAAAATCGTACTTGTCTTTTCCTCTTTGGATGTAATGCTAAAATCGTGTCTCGGCGAACATTCTTATGCAAGAAATGACGCAGTGTTGGGCCGTACCTAAAAATATAGTTTTTTTCTGTAAGATAGACTTACTTTCTCTGATAATTCTGTACAGCCTCGATCGAGTCACGTTTATTGAGGGCCAAATGGATAAAAATACTGCGGCGGTGTTTCTAAAAGACCTTGAATATCTTAAAGTCTTTTACCTGAGTTGGATTGTCTGGGGGAGGGCGTTTCGACCAGGTTCCCTGTGGTTGCACATTCCTATACCATAAACTTTTTGTAAAATTAAAGTGTCTTACATTTGGCCGGTAGGTCCTTGAGGTCGGCCGAATTGCTGAAAGTTGATTTTTAGGTTTTTAGAATGCCCTTTAAAATTACCTGACTATTTTGTCCTTGCCACCCAACAGGAGCAGCACTTGGTGGTTGGGCAATTTTCCAAAAATTCTTAAGGAAGTGGAGGTCGGGGTTTAAGCGAACATTTCTACCTTGCTGTCCGAAAAAATGAATTCCGGCTGTGGGGCTGGAGGGTGAAAATGTGGAGATCCTTGATTATTTGTAGGTTGTGGATGCTGGAATTTGCGATTTAGTAAATTTGCGCGTACTTTTTTCTTACATTTAAATATTGATTCATCATTTGTGGGCTGTTGAGGTATTGGAAATTTGCCTGGAATAAAGATATAGCTGAAATTTTAAGGGGTAGCGAACCGCATTGGCTTGAATTGGTTGTGGGGGTGGTTGATAGCCTCGGGGCACTTGTCGACTGATTCGTTGCGATGGTTCGGCATAAATGAATTGCACTAGAAGACCCTAAATAAATAAATATAATGTGAAACAATTAGTTGTGATTTATCATATAGGGCAACGATGTGGGTAAAAACGCAGCAACCTTTTTTGCCTTTGATTTGGTTACTGTGGCCGTTAATTTTGCGAATTTAATCAAATTTCAATGTCAAAATTGAAACAGCTAAACAAAAATTATTAAAGATTTCCCAAAAACATGTAAAGCGTAACCTCCTCACCATGAAAATAAATCCATATTGCACGGCTACACTGTCATAACTACGTCTATTGCGTGACATCTGAAAACTATATTTATATAGAAAGAATAACCATAAGCCGCCCAAAAAAATATAGGTGAAAGGCCCCCAATAATAAGCGACGGCGGCTGCGGTTTTTCCGAAAGTGATTAAGCTGCCACCCATGTGGAATGACGGATTTTGCCGCTAGGGTTGGCTGGGGGTCTTCAGGGGGGCGAAATGAAAAAAGCCAGTTTTTCTGCTCTTCGCGGTTGCCAATCATGGATTGCAATCCACCCACTGTGTGTGCGTGTGTGCGGGATATCCGCCGGTGGCGATTTGCCATTGCTTGGAGGGTGAAGTGACAAGAGGGTTTGGAGAAAGCACTCTTTGATAGCACCATTCCCCCCGCCATCATTCTTTTAGTCGATAGCCAATTGCTACGTCATGGGTCATAATGAAGAAGAGTCATTAAGCGGTGGCAAAAGAGTCGCGATTAAGGTAGTTTCTTATACATCGTATATTATACCTCTTATACATCTAATCGCAGCCTTTTCCCATCGTAAAACCTTTTAAAATTCATTTGCAATGAAAAGGCGCGTAGCTTAATTAATAATAACGGTTGAAAGCAGCGCATTGCGGGGGAAATCTGATTGACGAGGTTAAAATACCTATTTTGCCATTTCAGTCAAATAAAAATAAAGGGAATAATCTATAAAGCAAAATAAAGGCTTAGGTATATAAAATAAAATTATAAACATAATAACGTAGGTTCATTGTTTACAAGTGTAACTATTTAACCTCAAATATATTAAATAATCTATGATTTTTAGAGAAATTGATGTGAGACAATTGGTAAAACTGCTAATTTTTCCTTTTTCTATTATCTATTTACCACAAACCTATCTTTTCAACTGTTGAAATCGCGATTTCTGATTAGCAACTTTTTTCTTCCACCCCACTTCCAATCGCTATTCCAGATCCCAGATTAGAATGCACCCGAGAAGCATAGTCCACTTATCCTTTCCCTCTTCCTTTTTTTCTCTTTATCCATTCCAACCCCACCATCCATTGTGCACCTTTTTGGTGGGCGTGCGCGAGATGTTTGTTGGCGATTCGTCGTCGTCTTCGGGGTGGGCCAAGATGACAGCTGAACGGGAGTGATCCCACCCCTGAACCTCATCAAATCCTCCTTCATCCGTGCTTCCGATCGAAAAGACAACCTCAACGGGACACATTGCCCTACAGAATTCTAGTCTCCGGAATTCTAATGTTTTTCCACCTAATTCTATTGCTATTAATCCCATCAGCATTAACGGAAGGGATATCCGATGATTTCCAGGCGCTATTGAAGAAGCACTTTCCAGAAAATGTATGGGCTACATTTTATGTGTAGCATTTTTTTAGAAAGTACTAGATGATGTGTTAGAAGCGATGAGCAAAAGAGCGAATGAAACACAAGAATTCTTGTCAAATACTGGAAATACTAACGGGTACTGCAGTAATCCTCATGTTTTCAGAACGGTTTTAGAACCCTAAATGGAACGATCTCCGATTTCCCCCATCGGGGCCGTTATACCATGGACGAAATGTCAAATTTCTTTTCGCAACTAATGAATTGTGCATATGGGTGGTGCTCATATCATTGGTACGACCGTCATTTTGTATAAAAAAGCATTCTAGTTGCGACCCACCAATGGCTCGCCCCATTATGAACGAATATTTTGGGCAGCACTACCCCTCAAGATATCCCGGAAATGCTATCCAAACCAAGCAGCAAAAGTACAGAAAGTTGGGTGCAAAAATCGGCGAGCCAAGTCGAAAATATTTGTACCCAGCTCCAGCAAAGGCTCCAATGAGGTTGGGAAACTTTGGGAGTTGAAAAAGTTTTAGGCACGTAACAAGTCCTGCCGTTACACCAGCATCTACAAAACGACGACCAGCAGTAACCTGTCCAAAAGCTTGCCAGCCACAATGTTTGACGTCTTGTATGAAGCGATATAACGAGCTGGTTTATGAATTTATGAATAGTTTGACCCAGGTGAGGAATCTAATATGTATATTAAAGCCTAGTCCCCCACTCATAAAAATCCCTAAAGTTGGCAGCTCGATAAAAATGAGTTGCCTTTAGCAATCCATTCAACTTTTCAAGACTGATATCCTTGGCCTCCCAAATCGGCCGACCCCAACCTCTACAAGGAGAAGCATTTTTGAATGGGGAAATACGGCTGCTGAGGAAGATAATTGGACCGAACCCGTAGCCCCATTGGTTGGTATCAAGCTTCTGAATGTAACGCTATTTCTCTTTCGCAAGTTACTGTACCCATTCTAGCAATGGGAAGACGAAAGAGAGCGTCCGGTTTGCCGGGCAGATTGCATGCCTTTGTGTCGTGAGTCGTGCTTGCTTGTGGAAGGAAGACCAAAATGCAGAGCATGTAAGTGATATTTTCAATAATTTTGTTTTCTAAACACACTTTTAGCATGCATGCCTCATTGTAGCCAACAATGCCTTGATGCCCCTCCATTAATGCTTCCATGCCCGGATTTTGATGAATGTTATTGCCCGGCCGGGTTTGTGTTTTCAATACTCAAAACGGGGAAGTTCCGGTCAGGCGCTGGAAGCGATTTTTAGCAAAAACAATGCAATTATGGGGCTTCCCACGCACGAGTCATAGCGATTAGGTTTTTAAGTTGCCAAATCCGCGTAATTTGTCCGATCTTTGGCATCCCAAAGTCATTTTTTTAGGTATGTGCAATGTTCGGATTCCACGTGTTGTATGCGATATCGAGCAATGGCTGTTCGATACAAAGATAAATTAGCGGCCTACAAATTTAGCGATGATAAAGATGTGGAGGTAACGAGATTTTTCTAGCGTCTTATATACAGATCAGAAACCATTTTTCGAATAATTCCCGGCCGTAATGTGAATTCTAAGAAAATCGTGATTAACCCAAACGAACCCAGGGATATCAAAAGTTTTGCGTAGTCTGATTCTTTTCCGGGGATTTTTCTTACCCGATTTCCCCCGCTGTAGTCATTGAGCACCCTTTATTCTTTACACTACAGCCCCGGATCCAAACTGGATACAATTTCAGCCAATTTCCGGAAATCAGACGGCCGTATTGGCCAAACAATTGCGCCTATTAGGAGGTGATTCGCCGGAAGCCACGACGACAATTATGGTAATTGCAAATCGATTCCAGGGCTTTCAAATTAGGGCTTTGTAGCGATTAGTACGTGTAGGATATGATTCTGTCTTAGGTGGACGGTGAAAGCCCGAAGGAATTGCCCGCAAACGCCACAATCATCTTTTTCCCGGAAGAAAAACGCGCCGAGATCACGATGAACGATGGAGCCGTTTTGTTCGAAAATGTAGACTGAATTTTTCGCTATTATCATCTATTTTTTTTCATCCGACGCTGGCCTTGGTTAGGCGTTGCAATTATCAAACTGCCAATATAAAAAAATATTTATTCCAAAGGATAAGTTATTCACACATGGCATTCGACATGATTGTACATTTGATAACGAGCCATTTTACAGATAGTAACAATTTAACCCCGAGTAAAATTTATGTATAGATTCTGAGCAACATGGCTTTTAAATAACCAGAAAATATCCATTAATGTAGCTAACTAGTCTGTACTAATTCACGGTCTTGATGGAAATTCGTTAAGCGGCTTTCCCGAACTGAGGTGCTGTTCCAATTTACATTTCCACAAAACGCGCCGCATCGCCCATTGGTGCTCACTTTCGATGGTTTCCGACTCTGCTACCTTTGCCGCGGGCAGAAACTAAATTAGCGTTCTCAAAACCTGTTAACTAAATATTAACAAGCTCATAAAAACCATTACGCCACTTTGAGCCTCAAAAAACCCGACAGGTGAAACAATCCCACGGATCTATTTATCGAAAACTAACACACAATCTACGAATTTCGGCTCAAACGGGGGAAGTGGGAGCAAACTAATTATTTCCATCGAAAATGACTTTTACATCGTCGATGCTGGGGGCTTCGATTAATCGTCGCTTTTTTGCTGTAGTTTTTCTTGCCCTTCTTCGTCTTGTTTGCATTCTTGGGTTTCTTTTGCTTGCGAAACACTTGGTATTGGCTCCAAGGCAGGGCGAAATTTGTGCCCACTTTCCGCATCAATCCTAGCCACACCGCAAGACCAGACTCCGCATGGGACATTCGGGTCGAAAGAGATTGTTCGGACTTCAAGGGATATGTAGCCGAGAACGAAATCCCAGATTCCCCAGCCCATGTCGCGGGCACGGCCAGTCCAAAAATCCTACAATCGCCATAGTCAAAAATTTTCAAAAAATAGATCTGTAAAAGGACCCTACTCAAAAATAGCAAAAACCTATCTGGCATCAGCCTATCTGGCCTACCTAGGTGAAAACAACCGAAAAACCCTTACCACATGTTCTCCCATCGTCTTCAAAATGAATTCCTGGTCAACAATATCCGCCCTCCTTTCAGCACCTAAAAACATTCTTCTGGTTTATTGTTTGTGGCCAACCAAAAACCCACCTTCCCAACGGCTTCAACCCCAAATATCGCCAGCTTATGGAACAACTTTGGCTTCACTGTTTTACTAAATAACAGAATCAACAAAATGTGACTGTTCCCCACTCAAAAAGATTATCCTTCATCAACATCACCAAATCCAGCAGTGTGTCGATGGAAAATGAATTTTGAAGGTGAATTCGCTAAAAATGGCTATAAGCTATTTCCACAGTGGAACAACCTGTTTAATAAACCATTCAACCTCTTTCCGAATCGACGGGAAGAGAAAACGATCGGCAAGTGTGTAAATGACGACAATGTTTTTTTCTGAATTTAATTATTGGGTGTCACGCGGGGGAAATTGCCAAAAAAAAAACGTGGGATCACGCGGGAAATTACCTGTTATTTGTGTTTCTCGTTCGCAGCTCTCGTCATTTGGACAAGCATAATCCAAAAATTCGACCATTTCTGAGACAGGGACATCCGGGAGTTTGACCGTCCGATTTAAGGACTCAATATATTGACCGTCACAAATTCTAAAAATTACATAATTAATAGTAATAATGGGTAAACTAGCCAATTCAAACTTACGTTTGAAAATAATTACTCATAGCGGCCAGATAGCCACCATTTGCATATAATTCATGTCCATCGCATATAATTCTGAACGTTCGTTGTGGAGTCGAATCGTAGAAACGGCTTGACGTCGTCATACTGCAAAATCTGACAATTTTAAAACATTCCGTGTCTAAAAAGTTGACGCCAAAAAAAAAACTGAAGAAATGGCGGGCTTCGTGACTCAATCAGAGATGTAAAAATTATCCCCTCTAGATTGACCAGAGAACCGCAGAAAAAGGCACGGGATGCCGGCGGGATGTAAATAACAATATCCCCCTCCCGCATCCCTGCCTGTAGCTTTCCACCACCCTCTAAATACCAGGTGGGCTCCCATGGGAGACACGCCCATTTCCGGGGCCCCACGCTCTTCATATTTTACCGGGAAAAAGACCCCAAAAGACAAAACAAGGAACGTGTAGCCTAGGGCCAATTTATTCCCATTATATTGTTGTCGTCCGGAGCTACGAGAAGATACTCGATCCGCCCTGGTGCCTTTCAACAAGTGATCCGTCGGGCTTTTGGACCCTACATCGTGAGGTTCTACACTATATGCGGGCAGAGCACGGATCATATTAACAATGGCGTGTAGTAAGTGGGAATTAGATTGAGTCATCCTCGAAACATTGCGTAGGAAGCAATAAAAACGTGAGGGTTTTCTGAAATTAACCAGCTAATCCGCGACGTCGGCCAACACTCTGCTACATGGTGCTGAACCGTCTAGGAAGTGCCAAACTGGTTTGAAAATCCTGCTTAACACTGGATTGTAGTCTCTGTTCAAAAACTGAAAAAATGTCCGTTTCCCCAGACCTCACAATTTACAAAGGTATCTTGTGCAAAGTCTACATAATACTTTGGACCTAAAACCTACGAGAAATATATTACATTCAAGCAGGTGAAAAGCTTTGCCCGAAGGTCGATCGTCATGACACCTGACCTTCATTAAGCTGATTTATTGCTCGTTTGTTGACCAGTTTGGTAAAAGTCATGTTGAAAGTATGTGTGCAAATTTCTAAAAAAAATTTCTGGAATGATCGCGTGCGGGGTGACATTTTGCCTACATGGTGCCCCCAAAAAAAGTTCCTGCTTGGACTACATGATTACCAAGTTCGACTAGACTGGGTCTAGTCTTGCTATTTCGGTGCTTCCAGGTTATCGGGGGTCGGTTATTTTAGCGGGGGTCGGTTGCGAACTTTTTTTCTATATATCGTGCGGCTCGGCTAATTAAAAGCTGGCCGTTTTTATAGACTTGTGCGCCGTTTGAAATGGTTCTGGACTGTTAGCGGAGGAGGAGACATTAAGAAAAACGTCATAAAACATGTAGAAATTTTTTTTCTTTTCCGTCTAACGTATATGAAAATGGATAAAACCGCGCTATAACCCTGGACTTCGTGACTATAGGATAAGTATTTTTATAATTTTTGATTATCGGAAGCTACTAAAAACAGTATTAAAATAAACTACAATTGATCACTAGGCAGGTATAGGCTAAACAAAAAGAAGATGTGAACCGACCCCCGCTAAAATAACCGATCTCCGATAACCTGGAAGCACCGCTATTTCCACTATAAACTCTAATTCCCCGTGGTGGTGATTTTATGTTTGAAAAATAATCGTAGATGACTGAAGATAATCGTAGAAATCTTCGTAGATGTCCACTAACCAAATGGACTGCTAAGCTGGTAAATAGATACATATAGTGCGGGGTTCCAGAATTGGCAGAAAGCACACTTCTAGTTGTTAACTACCAGGTGCCTGGCTACCGTATGTGGACTCGACAACGACCGGAAATCTCGGCGATTTTTGGTACCACAAATTCAATCCCTAGAAGAACACAATGCCATACGCTAATGAAATTCCAAGTATCAGATTCCCACGGCCACAAAACACACAGCAAAAATTATTGCGTGATTAAAAATGCGTAAATGCGAGTGACCGGCCCTTAGATCTTTGCTGGGTCAGGTGCTCGGTAATTACAGCTTATCCAAATATTCTGTATGTAATTTACACACTTTGGCATATAAAAACGATGTGGGTCACCGAATAAGCAATAATTACGGTTGGAAAGATCGAGGCGCTGCCTAAAATAAGCCGGTGTAGATCTGGCAACACTCTGGCTTGGTTTATCGTGTTCGTCGGCTCCGATCGACCAACTCCGACAATTTTTTCGTGGGAGCCGCGTTCGCTGGCTGTTCTCTGAATCAGAGAGCAACAGCCAAAGATAAATTGTCCTTTCTACGAAATTCAAACTATCTTTCGTAAGGTCCGTCTGCCCAGACATGATTTAAGAATTTAAATTACAAGAATCTCGACATTTCGCCATCGTCACCTATATTTCATTTGCATTCCAATTTTCGCGGCATTAAAAATACGGCTAATCATGTTTGTCCGTCTCTCCGTTTGTCATCTGGAAAAGATTGCGCGCCGCGCCAATTATTGTGAAGGGTCATTTTTTAGGAAACAAGAGTGCAGTCGGAAGGATTAGCGAGCAATTCAGACGCGGCTACGCGTCGTCAATGCGTTGGTGATTGTACGCTATACTCGCTAGGTGTTATTTCCACGAATCTGCAAAAAAGAGGGGCAAACAGGAGGGTAAAAGAATTCCTGATTCGTTATGAGTGCGGCTATGATAAACGTTTTTTGCTAAGCGAAGACTCTACTACAAACTCAGGTTAGATCAACCTCAAAACACATTAATAAGACGTTCTAAACGGCTTTACGATAACGTGCCTTGAGTAAATCGGATTGGAAAACCCGGATTTGGTATATTTTTCTCCTGATTCTAGCGATTACTCCAATCCCAGGTTCAAAAAACTTTTGCTCAGAAACTGTTATTGTTCCCCAATTTTCTAAAAACGGGATTTGTTCACAATTTTAACCCCTGCCAAAAAAAAAGTTTTACCGCATTGCAAAATCCTAATTAGCTTTAAAAATGATTGAATTTAAGATGCTAGGCAAATTTTACAGATGCATATTTCTGTTTTTCAAGGTTTATCTATTACAAGCCCAGCCAACAAGCAAACAAACAAAAATTTATTTTATCACGTTTTTTTCTGTATTTTAAATCCGTTATTATATTAATAATAAACGAAAAACCATTTTGGCGTCGCGCACGGCTTGCCTATTTTCCGTTGGGGAGCCGGGTAGCGCCCGGGCAGAAAGGGGCTCCAAACCGCGATACGCGGGGACCACCATGTTCGAAAAGCAGTATATTGCTGTAGGTCGAATACCCAGTGTTACATTTGATCTTCCAAATTTATAATATAAAATACTCAAATTAAACATTTAAATTAGGGAAAATGGTTCTGCTAGTCTCGTTTAAGATTTGCGAGAAGTCTACCGGGTTAAAAATATTTTATAAGCCTTTTCTAAAGCGAAGCCAAGCGCACTTCTTGGGTGGTCTGATATTTTTAGTATATTTTTGCTACGGTGAGTGTCAGATAACATTACTTATTTATTGAAAACTAGAGCGAAAATTTATCATCCAGAAGAATTTTTTGATCAGCATATATATTTCTAATTGACTATATTGTTTAACAGACTGTCGACTCGCCACCTCTATCTTTTTAATGTATTATTTGTGGGATGCTCTTAGGTAATCTAAAAACTTTGGTTTCATCACAAATTTATTGTCGATTCACGGAGTGATACATAATAACAATGATAAAATACAAGCATACATGATGACTGGAAAATATAGTAATCACGGAACGCCAACGTCAAATAAAAAATGCTAAAATTTAAAATAAAGGAATAAAGCCCTCAAGGCGCCCAAAACCGGGTGTGATGTAATTAAAAGGACAGAATGATGGAATAACTTCGGGAATAGTAGTCGATTCAGTGGTTGGCGGAATGAAGGATGAAATTGGGGGAGAAACCGATTCGTAAAAAGGGAAATGGGAAATAGGAGAAACAGATTGGGAAGATTCAGAAGAAATACTTCCCATACTTCCTTTGCGTTCTTCAACCATTGATACCTTCTCCTCCATCAATTTCGGGACGGTCGTCTTGCCATAAGTATCCTCAGAAGTTATCGGAATATGGACCACCACACCAGAACGGAACTTGCGACGAATGCTGAAAATGAAAATTTAATGACTGATTAATGCATTGTAAAGTGATAAGTAAATAAACGTACTATTTGGGATCATCGAAGTGATGGAAGAGTTTGATTTGGTGAGGAAGAGCCGGTTGGATCTCTCCATTGGCGAGAAGCTTCTCATAGAGAACGAGAGGCAATCCGTTGACAAGTTTCTGTACAAATTGGCATCTCTGAGCATAAGGGCATCGACCTTCGGCCGAGAAATTGGCGCACAGTTTGGTCTTGTATTTGGTGTCTTCGGGCTTGATGGTGGGACGAAGTTCTTCTGGATGATGGGCAAATCGGCAGAATATTCCGAATGGGCATTCATTTAGACGGACAAATGTTTTGCACATTACTGTCTTGAATGAATGTTGTTGTTTCAAGGCTTTGTTTGCAGCCTTCATTGCCGAGAGGTTAGCAGCAGTAGGAAGTTGGAGAAGTGATGGGATTGGTTGCATGTTGTTGTAGTTGTTGTAGAATGATGAATTGATGTTCATAGGCCAACCACTGACTCTTATATACTTTAATGGTATCTAATTGGTGTCCTGAGGATACGCTACTTTCCACTACCATCCGGTGATATGGTGTAACGCACTAAAGAAAAGTGGTGTCGGCATCTGCCGCGCAGACTAGCGCTTGTGATGAGCATGATGCAGTCGTTCGAATGACCACGAATACGAGCTACCTGATAAACTGCAGCCAAGTATTTTTGAAAAATTGATAAATTTAAATATAAGTCGTTTTATTTGACATGAAAAACCGACGCCGAAAGGGTAAAATTATTTATCAATATTAACCCAAACTGTTGCCGTTTTTTCATGAATTACGCCGAATATCGCCTGGTATATTGTCGAATAGCTTATCGATTCCTTCTTCGGCAGCCCTTTCCTGGTTTTTGACTAAATAGCTTCTGATACGTTTCAGTGCTCGAATATCACGCGCTTGTAGATCGTTTACATTAATATTGAACCTAAACGTATTTAATCATATTTAAGGGCCTCTTGGATACCTTTTCAGCAACAATATGTCTATCTCATCGGGGCCGGATATTGGTTTGTCCTGCCCTAAAAGTATAATAATAGGTTTTCATGTGCGTAATTTCTTGGATTAATTCATTAACTAGCCAAACATTCACTTACCTCTAATTGGCGCTGGTTTCTCGGATTTATAGGCATCGATAGGCTCAGTTAATAACTAATCAATTCTACGAATTTCGGAAATTCATTACCCTTCCACCAACAGTATTATCAGACCCTTTAGGCTGATTATTATTTTCCAAATTGTAAGCATCGCGCATTTGCTTTATTTCGTCAACGTAATGCTCTCGACGTAGAGCGTCCTTAAAATACAATGGTAATTGTAAGAAGTATCTCTAAATTACCATAGCCTTCTCTTTAGCTTCGAGCAATTCCTGCTGGTACAGGCCTTGCCGTGCAAGATATTCTGTATAAGCATTTCTAAAACAATGTTATCCAATATAAAAAATAGCACTATTCTCACCCATAACTCTGCACGGCTTGTGAATATCCCGACAATTCACTCGCGTATAATTTAGTTTTTTCTTCATTAACGAATTGTGTGGGATTCTAAGATATGCTCGAAATCGAAAGAAAATATTACATCACTATCCTCTTCTTTTTCTATCGGAGCCCTTGTCCCAGAATTTTCTTCGGCCCATGGATAAGCTGGTTGGGCATTAACCTTATTGAAAAAGTGCAGAAATTCCTCTAAACAAAAAAAATTCAATAGAAGAATTAAATCCCCCACCTTGTATCTCTTTCGCAAATATTGCTGTCAGAAGAATGACGATGATTAATAGTCGTCCAAACATGGTAATCGAAAGGAACATGGAAATCGAAAGCTTCTTTTTCTTTTGACCTGCTTTCTGTCTGCCTCCGGTCACTACGGGAGGATCCGGTTCTGTGCATTTATCGGAAAACTCTCATACATGCACGATGATTTCTGGTTCAAGGTTTTATTAATAGGGTATGTGCAAAGATAGGTTGATCCGATGCATATTTATAAATACAGAACATCAAGCGTTTGCCATTTTAGCGAAAGATTCCGATTCTGATGTTGGCACTCTGTATTCAATCCGTGTAGTCTTTCCCACAAATTTATTCTGAAATTCGCACATAAAAAGTAACCATGAGACTTACCTCGACGATGCTTTTGATTTTAGCAAATTCTTTTTGATTTTCAACTTCTGGTGTGCAAGACGTAAACGACTTCCAAACAATAATTAACTGAAATTCAAATAACTTAGTTGAAAAACACAAAGACCGAACCCACCATTTTTGGTATAGCAGAAAGCTCTTCTAGCGTCTTCTTCAAGACCAGCAGATATTTAAAAGATATTTCCAAATGATCAGCATAGCTAAGAAAAAGCGTCCTTTGCAAAGCCATACAATAAACAGACTAAAACGCAAACATGCTTTCAATAATTACACAAACTTATACCTCAGCAAAGGTTTCTTCAGCCGTTATCGCAACCTTCTTCACTCGTGCATATTTTTCCCAATTAAACAGAATGGTATCAATTTGATTTAATGGCAGTTGAAAGCTCCTGAAAAATACTTAGTACTTTACAGGGCCGAACCAGTTGTTTCCGGCTTCAGAAATTTCCACAAATGGAACGTCAGAAAAGGCATCGTAAATGGCAGCCCGGTGTATCCGTATTACATTTCCATCATATTGAGTAAGGTTTATCGTCTGAAAGATATGTCTTATTGTTTTTCAATCCATCCATTCCCTCCCCAAGTGCAATAAATTAGCCCTCAAGCTTCCCCAAGCTCGTTTCTTCACCTAATTTGATAAAACGGAACCGGATTTTTTTGATCTTCTCGTCCCTATGGCCGGAATGCCGCTTTTTCGGGGAAATCCAAGGCAAAAACGGTCCTTACCAACTTTCCAAAAAGCTGACAGATGATTTCAACCTTCCGAAGACAAGTTGGTAGCCATAGTGAATCGGAAATACGCGCATTCTTTTCCTGAAATATGCCTTAAAATTTCTTTGCTAATACCGGGAATATAGAAGCGTATCGGAAGCGTCCAGGAATGGCTAGGCGTTGCAAGACCTTGCTTTGCAAGTCTGTAGGTAGGTTTAGAAAGCCGAACATTATTTCCAGGCATTGATAGTTCGAGGTGGGAAAGGGAGCGGAGCTCCAACAGCTGTCACTCAACCCGGAAACGCAAAAAAAGGATGTGCACCTTGGGAAAGGAAAAATATCTAGTGGTCAGGACTTCAAAAAGGGTTGAAAATGTTAAAAGCGTTTGGTAAACATTAATCGATATACCAAAAATTAATATTCACTGATCTTAAGAGCCTTGACCTACAAATTTAATAACTTTAAATGTTTATAAGTGCTAAATACGCATCATAAACTACTCAGTTCATAAAGTACTCAGTAAGGATGTAGCTAGTGTACAACCCAAAAATTCTATGTAGGTTCAGTACACGTTCCTCGGCCATATGCTAACAGGCTTTTCCCGGATCGAACCGGGTATCGTTTTACGTGAGCCGCCGGAGTGAAGAGAGTGAAACTAGGAAGGGATCCAAAATAAGGATGAAGCGCTCGGCGAGCGTCCCTAGGCTCTAAAAACAAGACCGGAATTATTTCTCGTAGCCGTGGACCGGTGATAATGTCGACAACAGATCATTCTCGTTTCGTGCACCCGGCTGCAGTGTAGTCGTGCCGAGACATTTATCTAGGGTCATAGCGGCGCATTCAGCACTTTTCTTACCCTATAAAGCCGCCACTTCTTCTTATTGGATTGCTGAGGGTTTGTTGATTCACCGGATATCCATATATATTATCTCCCTAACTAGCCTGGTAAATTAAAATGGAACCAGCAACAAAATACCTGCTTTGCCTTGCCCTTTTCATAGGTAAATTCATCGATTTTTCGTCTCAAAGGCTTTTAGCTTCCATTAATGCTTGTATGAGAATGCCAATGCCTCCTGTCACGACCACCACCACGTAAGAGCCTAGTTTTTACTTGTTAATTCGCAAAGCTTTCCAAATAGGAATCGAATTTGCGACCAACTGAAATAAATCAAGTTTCAAGCTAATTTATTTATTTTAGCCCTCAACCCATCACAACAACGACACCGTAAGCGTTTTGGCTGTATGATATTCAGAGGGTTTGGAACTACATCGCCGCATTCCTGCAAAAATTTTGCATGGCAGTGCGGAGTGAAATTATTTAATTTTTGCCTAGGATTTCCCTTTGGTGTTGTCACCACAAACACAGATAAAACCACCATAACTACAACCACAACTTCAGTTGTCACTGAATCTCCACATGTGTGATTTTCGATTCAATTCAATAGGTTCACGGAAATTTTCATGGATTGTGCTTTCATTTAAAACGGCCGATAACAATAGTAAATTATCTGGTAAACGATGAAAAACTGTTTAAAAATAGTATAGTACTCAAAGAGCCTACGCAGCGATAGTCAACCCATTAAAGGCCAATATTTGCAATATGATCTAATGTAATGAGATGTAATTCAGTGAATCCACTACTACCATTGGCACTGAAGCAACCACCAGCACAAGCACGCCGGTTTTGTCTAAATTGCTGTATTTGCCTGAGCATGAGAATTGCTCCTTTCGGGCTTTAGTCTCTCACATATTAGCCGCACCATTGTACGATTTCAAGTGCCCGGATTTTTTCGAAACTTCTCTGATTTTCGACGAGTTGGGCACTTAATTTACCCAAAGGAATAGCATCGCAGAGTAGCTAGAATTTAAAATTGGGAGATTCATAAACCCGGAAAATCAGCATTTTTTTTAAATTTTGGGATAAGAATTTTAGGTTCCAAGGTCAGAAAAGCCGAACTATTGATTCTATGTAGCCTTCATAAGATAGAAAATGTGAAACGACGATACCTGCGTTTAAAAAACTTAAAATTTAGTGAAGCAACGACAACTACGGGAGAAACCACCACAACTGCCGCTGAGACTACCACGACAAGCGTAGAAACGACGACGACAACGACGGAAACCACGACGACTACTACCGAAACTACGACAACTACTACTGAGACGACCACTACGAGTGAACCTACAACAACGACTACGGAAGCAACGACAACTACAACTGAACCGACGACGACGACCATGACAACCACCACCGAGTAGGTTTTGCCCATCAAAATACTGTGTTTTGACTGACTGCAAATTTCAAGGATCTCAGGGATCTCTGGACTTTACCCCGCGCAACCAACTTAACCGACTATGGCTCAAAATTGTTGTTTAGGAAGGTATGAGATACCTAATAGCACCGGCCTAAATCGGAACTCGTTGTAGCTTGTAGGCAATCCTGTAGGCTGGCGGGTAAGGGAGAAACAAAAGTGCCCAGGGGGGGGGGGTAGCTGAAACAAGAATGTACTCTGAAGTGATAAGTAATGCTTTTTACTTTCTAGGGCAACCACGACTACAACCGAGCCAACGACGACCACCACTGAACCCACAACGACAACGACGATGACAACTACTACTGAGTAGGTCCCTATGAATTTTGAATTTTGAGCGATGAAACATAGAGCCATTATTATTCAAATCAATGCTCCGGATTTGAAAATTCTCACAAGGAGTGTCCTTTTTCAGTCATCCGCAACTAGCTCACTCGATAGAGAATTCCATTTTGAACAAGGCTCCGTTTTCCATTTTTGCAGAATGTCGATCCCTGATTTTATAATATTAAAAAATAGCGGCGTTCTCTTACCAAGCGTGCCCTGCGAGCGAAAGCGACGATTTCGGGTGCAGTTTTTCTCAAATCAAATCGGGATTTTATGTGAAATGCGGTTCCGATGTCCGGTCAAAATTTAATTGCGACGAAAACAAAGAGAAAAGTTTTGCGTTCGAGGATCATTAACATTAATAGGACAACCACCACCGAGCCGACCACCACCACCACGACAACAACCACAACAACGACGTCCACCACGACAACTACAACTACAACAACTTCCGGTAAGACAACAATTTATGACAAAACGACCCTAATTTTAGTCTGCACCAACTGCCCGAATATTTCTGTGGCAACCGGGATTACGGTGATGTACAACTTTGACGCCAGTGGTTGTCGCGTGGCAACTTTCAGCGGCTGCACGACTTATCGGTGAGATAATTTGCAAAATCTCAGTAAAAGTACTTGCTTATAGAACCCGCGTGGGTGTAACTAATACAGCTATCACCAACCCTGTCACATGTCGAGACCAATCGGGAGCTCCTAGATGGTATGTATAAAAATGGTTTAGCAAAAAAAAACGTTATTTAGGTTCCCCGGCGGTGTCCAAAACACTGCGCAAGTTCAGTGTGCCAGCTAAAACGACAATATTTTATGGTAACAACACAGCATTGTCGGTGATTTGGACATTAGCAATGTCCAGTCTTTCTTACGGGTGTATAATAATTGTTAATAAACGTGCGTAATAAATATATGTAGTACAGCAACGCTTCCGTCCCAATAACGCACAAATCGGCACTGGAACCGAAATACGGGATCGTCCCTCCTAGGGCGGGTCTCGACGTCTTGAAAGGTGACCGGATTTTTGCTGCCCGCCCTCAGGACCTGATGTGGATCTAGCCGGCAACTGATCACTTCCCCCGTAATTCACACATAGACCCCTCCGTCTAGCCAGCCTATTTATTCAAATAAGCACTTCGGCCGATCTTTTCGCTAGATTTCTCACGAGATTCTATATTCTATAAAGCACTAAAAAAATGGAATCTACAACCAAATATCTAATTTCTTTCGCTATTTTATTAGGTGGGATATGCCAAACTGAAATTATGATTATTTAGCGGCAACCAATGGTTGTATGAGAATGCCGATGCCCCCGGTTACGACGACGACGTAAGTAAACTTCTAGAAATATTTCTACATATTTTAATTATTATATGTTATTTATAATAAATAATCCTTTAATTTTTATTTTAGGGCCGCACCAGATACCACCACTACCGTGTAAGTTGGTTCACATCACGCAATATTTTGAAATGTATTGCACGTTTTTTTGACCCAATCAAATAGCTTTTCGGCTTGGCAATATTGACATCACTTTATATTCTATTTTACCATCAACTGAGCACAATAAAAAGCATGTAAACTAACGACTATTATTTTTTCTAAAGCACGACAACAACCGGCACAGATGCAACCACCACAACAGGCACCGAAGCAACCACCACGTATGTGTATCAATCATTAAAAGTTTCTGTTGTTAATCGCATGAAAGCACGCAGGGAAATGATTCAATGTTGATTTTAAATAGGATGTAAACACCAATGTTAATTTAGTCTTGTCTTTTTTTAAGAAAAATCGCCTAAAATCCGGTGGTTTTAGGGCAGGGACTACCACTACTGGTGAGACTACTACGACCGGGACAACAACTGAAGCCACAACTACTACGTCTACAACCACTGAGTAGGTTTTTATGGTTTTGGGGGTAGCACCAAAGCGAAAAGCGTTCGATTATGTAGATGTTAGACATAGAAATTTCAATTTGGGATAACTGGCTAATTAATTTGTAAAAAAGCGAACAAGCAATTTCTACTGGTAACATGCTATGTTGGTCATACTTGCATCCTAACTAGCCTGACCTCCCGAGCGTCTATTTGCTTCATGAAATACTTTATTTTTTGCTCTATAGGCCCACGACGACAACAACCGAAGTGACAACCACTACAACCGAAGTGACAACCACTACAACCGAAATGACAACCACCACTACGCCGCCACCTAGTAGGCTCAACCATAAAAATTTGCCATATGATTTCAACGGAATTTTTTATATAGCCTAACAACAATGTGTTTTCAGTCTGCTCGATGTGCCCTGATATGACAATCACGGCCCCAGCCTCAGCAACATACAGCTTCGACGCAAATGGCTGCAGAGTTGCGACACTCTCTGGATGCGCGACATACAGGCATAATCTTTCCAAAGTACCTCAAGATCTCGTTTTTTAGAACCCAGGTTGGTATCACAAGAACACCACTTTCCAGCCCGGTGACCTGTAAGGAAACAGCCTCTGCTCCGAGATGGTAAATAACTAAATTTATCAATTAAAAATATCTTCCAGGTACACCGCATCGATCCAAAACTCCGCAACTGTGCAGTGCGCTAGTTAAAGTCCTTGAGCAGGTTGTGTGCTGCGGCAACTAATAAATTAATAAATTCATCGATGTGATCCAATTTGACTAATAAAGAGCTTCCCTTGAAAATATTGTAAATTTGCGTATCAACACATTTCCAGGATGTGGGGGGGGGGGAGGGTGTTATGCGGGCGGGGGGGCAAAGGGCGAGGATGCCTATGGGGTGGGTGCCGTAAGCTGAAATGGGGGATGAAATCCGAGACATCTTTTCCCCTCTCGACCTGCCTCCTTGCAGACAAATTCACACAAGGATTCCCCGGCATTCAGAATATCTTGCTTTGTCTAATTCGATTTGTCAATCGTTTCGGGGTTTTAAAAAATAGGTTTTGAAATATAGGGAGTACCAAAAATGAGCTCGCTAAAAACTCCGAGAATCGTACAGTTTTTATGATTTAGGTATCTTTTAAAACTTCCGGAAAAACTAAAACAGGAAAAACAAGCCGTTGCCGATACCCATCCAAGGATTATGCGGCTTGCAAGAAAACCCTAACCATGAAAAAATCGTAAAAATTTCCATAAATCGAGGAAATAGTTTTCGTTTAATCGTTCAATCGGAAAAATCTCGCGTCTTCTTACCATTTCTAGGGACTTCCGAATGCAATAAAGATCATACGAATTAGAGCTTCTTTCGGACCCCGAGAGGGGTGGTTTTTGAAAAACCTTTACATACGTTCGTTTTACAATTAAATAGTTGCTACCTTGTTTAAAAATTAGAAAATGCAAATATTTTAACAAGATGCCCCGAACGCTAATAAGGGTATCAGTGAAACGAGTGCGTTCCATCTCGCGATTTCAAGGAAAGCGGGAGGTATTTGGGCACCTTGTATATCCTTTTGATTAACGCTTAAGTATTTGATATCCGGCTTAAACATTAAAAAATTAAAATATGCAAATTTCTGAGCCTAATGCTACAACGGGTATGCCTATAACGAGTTCGTTCCATCGCGCGATTTTCAACGACAGATAGTGGACCCAATTTCCGGGCCTGGGGGCCAGTGGCCGTCCTGGAAACATTTAGCGTAGTGTTAGGTGAAGAGCTTCGCGGGCACCCCCTCGACCAGCCCATTGTCTATGAGGCCATCTTTGCCCTGGCCAGCCCGGCCATCTTTTCCGGCGAGGGCCATCCGCCTAGCCGTTTGCGGGGCCCAGTCTTACTATTCAGTAATTGGAAGCATTGTTTAGGTGCGCAACATTTCTTGGATTTTTGGCCGAGTAATAGGGTTAATTTAGTTAATACAATTTTTGCAGGTGAACAGTGGGCGTTTCAAAAAGTAACGCCCTCTAGCGGTCCGGTTAAATATCCGATTATTATAAGCTTTCAAGTTTTAAAAATTATTTTAATGGTAATTTTAAGGTCATTATATCAAAATGTTTTGGTGGAAAGCAGAGGTACCACTGCAGATAACAGGAAAATTCGATCTTCGGGTTTTCCATATTTTGAAACCGTGAATTTATTAAGTTTAGATATATTAATATTTTTTATAACCCGGAAAATGGGAAAAAGAAACTGCTTAAAAGGATCAGGATATTCCAGGATCCGTTTGAGGAACATGGTAAAATCATGAAGAATTTTTGTTGTAAAGAAAAATCGATTCCCCCCTTTCTTTTTGATACAAAAATATAGAAATGTATGACTTTTTGCCATGCTCTACATATTTTCTGTCCTGCCATTATGATATGTATATGTGGTCATCGTTCGGGCTCAGCGTGCGCGTGGGTCGACTGGTCAGTGGGAGGAAGGCTAACCTCTTTAGAGGCTTTCAATCGAGAACTTGTGCACCAAGCCCCCTAGGGGACAGACTCACAACCACCATCACCACTCCAACCCGCACCAGCTTCTACCCCCTTTACACTACTCATTGCTTCATCTAGTCGTTCCGTTTCTTGACCAGCGAACGGAATATGTTCGTGAGGTCTGCATCACTCGGTATTGGTTTTCAGAACATGTTTTGCGTAGTTACAGCTGGAGCTCGACCCGAAGCTACCGTAGCTCACTTCCTACTGTAGTCATTTTAGCCATCTAGGGCTGTTCTAGGTCTATATTCACCAATCCGCATTCAGGATTTGATCAAGTTTCCGTTTTTTTGGATGAAAAGCTGAAGGCATAATTTGCGTGCGAAAATATGCTTGCGAAATTTGGAAATTTGAAAAAGACCGGTGGTTTAACAGCTTCTTAAGTATTTTGGTGGATTAGACAAACCCTTGGGTAGTTACCGTAATCCTAAAAATTTTTATTAAAGTAAATTCGACAGTTAGATAACGAATAAAATCGTAATAAATCGAATAACGCCCAATCTTACTATATATAAAAAAAGTAATGTCTGTGTGTGTGCGCGCCACTTTGCATGCGACTTCCGTCAGCGTGTTCCAGTAGTATCTCAATTAGGGGGGGTAGCTAGGGGTATGTATGATACGTCATCAGGTGCGTAATGGCCTCCATGACTGCACACTAACAAAATTTTCAAGAATTAGCTGTTTTGGACATTAAAATTAAGTTTTTAGTGAAAAATCCAGGACCCTCTTTGTTAGGGAACCATTAGCATGCGCCGGAAGTCGGTAGCCTATATAAAGGGAAGAGAGGTACCGTTGTCATTTTTTGTCTTCAAAAATCGTGAGATTATGCAAAGCGCAGAATATCATGGGATCAGACGGGGCCAGGGTTGAAAAGTCGCGAAGCGGCTTTTCAACCCTGTTTATTTATTAATTCATCTAAATAATTTCAGCAGTCTGATGTTATTCTTTGGACTCGAATATCACGATTGTCGTTGTCTTTTTAATACAGATTCCTCCTTCCGTTCTTCTCCGTTCCTAAATGTGCAAGCCCCACAGGCAATTCATAGCGCAAATGCTATTCTCAGTGAAATTGATATGCAATTTGACCCGCCGACCATTACTCACTATGCCTCCTTCCCCTCCCTCCTCAGTCAGCTGTTATGGCTCAATTCAGAGCCACCCCCAAAATATTATCCCTGTTGACCCTTGGTCAGACTAATAAAATCAGGTGTACTTTAGGGGGGTGAGGGTGGGAGGCATTGTGAATGGGAATTGAGCAAGAAGTTGAGTGACCATTGGTATATGCATAAGGCCTTTTTGGTAGTATGGCTTTGTTCGGGACCGCCTTCAGAAGGGAGCGCAGTCAGCTGTGCCTCATTTGGCGTGTGTCCGCCGTTTCTGCCCTTCTTTTCCATCGTTTTCTGGGTGGGCATTCCATTGCTGGGACCGCTGGTGCAGCTATATATGATTTGCATTTGCTCTAGCAGTTCCTTGGAATTTTTAGAATATTTTAAGCACCGTATTCGTACAGAAAAGATCGGAAAAGACCAATTTCTCGCTAGACTCTACAAAAGTTTATGGCCTCTGAGTAACAATTCTGACGCTACGTTTCTCAGCCGGGCCAAAAAAAATTGGCCTTCCTTCTTCTCGCTACAGAACCCTCGTGAGCACCTTACGGAGAAGTCTCTTCTAGGTTAGCACGACCCTCCAGATTCACTAAAAGCCACTCCAGAAACCCTCGTCGAGCTGCGCCTCCCCTCCCATTGAGAAAGTTTGGGCAGTGTAAGCTGATTATGGGTACGTCTCGATTGCCTTCGAAACCCCCCGAAGGAGCTTCTTCCACACTCCCGGGGATACCCTAAGTAATGATGGGAGAGGTTTTCTGTTTCCCGATACGCTATCGGGTCGCACTTCTTTTTTTCTAGAAAGATGTCTTGCATAGATTTTTAGCTAATTAGCGTATTTCCTCTAATAGCAACCAGTTCTATCAGCAGCCCCCCTCTAATTAACTTTTAATGATTGAATCGACTTTTTTTCGTTAAGAGTCAACGTTTATGACGTTTTATGGAGGTTAAAACGATAATTGCGAGAATTTACCAGCTGTTTATGATATTTTGGTCGACCGGAAAATACAAGGCGCTTCCATTATAATACGTATATTTAAAAAGATATCCGTTTTGGGTAATGGAAAATAGTAGTGCTTATTTTTGTTAAAGAGAATATAGGGATTTGGTTTTGTAGCGCACAAAATTACACAGCATGAGATAAGTTAAAAGGCCGTTTGCGAGCCGTCCGAACAAGGCTTGGCACAGTTTTTTTTCGATCCCGTTTTTTGGACGTCATTTGAAAGAACATGGTCGAATTAGTAGGACTGCATAGTTTTGAAAGTTTAAAAAGTTTGTTTTTGGGGTTTAAATGGCCGTTAAAGTTGCGTACCCCGAAAAACTATCTCGGAGCTCACTGCACAGAACTGACTGAAACTTTGGGATAATACCTAATTTGGGGTGCTGATCATTTTTGTAATACATTGTGAAGCACGAAAATGGCCAGAACATAGGAATATCGCGTAGTCGAAACAGTTTTTTCGGGTTTTCTTTATGATGGAAAATTTGCTGTAAGCTGAAAGTAACATCAAAAGATGCGCAAAAATTTTCTGCATCGAATGGTGTATTTTTTACAATGCAGCAAGTTTTCCATCATGTCGAAAAATCCTATTTACGGAGCCTCAGCTCAAAAAATTCAAAAATCGCAAATATAAAAAACGTTCCCCAATTTCTAGAGGCGAAATCATACCGATCGCAAAAAAGAGCAAAAAGAAATTCGGCTTCTGAGAGGGGGCTGGAATTGAACTCGGGTCGTTCGCCTGGGACCTGGCGGCGCCCACTAGTGGCTGTCCCCTGTGCCCCCAGGCGAACCATCGCGGGTTCGATCCCGTCAAATCGTCAGTTTCGCGCCGGAAGGGAATTTCTTTTTGCTCTTTTTTGCTTTTGGTTTAGGCTAGTTTTTATATGGGACTCCATTTACATCTGTGGGAAAATAAGCTTTCTTATACATTTTGCGATGGTTTTTCTTGATTTTAGAAAAGCTAATTTTTCGATATGATGGAAAACTTGCTGCATCGTAAAAAATACACCATTCGATGCAGAAAATTTTTGCGCATCTTTTGATGTTACTTTCAGCTTACAGCAAACTTTCCATCA